ATACCAGACTTCCCGGTGGTGGGCCTGTGTGGACATCGGGCACTCGACTCCAGGCTCCGTCACTGGCTCATCCAATATCCTCAACGCCGCTCAAGTGCTTCACGTCTCCATCAACCAGCCGATCTCGGGATTCTTGGAGGTCTGATCTCGGCGTTCACAGAAGTTTGACAATGGATTGTGAGTATTCTCTCATTTGCTGGGTCACTCGTTGAGCCTTGCAAGTCAGAAACAGGCGCAGTCAAGATGTAGTCTAGTTAGACCCAGCGACTCGGGCCTGGCCCGACTTAACCAAGTGTCATTTCGGCTGAAGATTCCTCAGTTCTCTTGCCGCCACCAAGTCCTCCGCGATCTGTGGGCGCCGGGACCCTGATGGAGCCCATGAGAACGGTGATCGCAATTGAATCGTCGCCTGTGTGGCCTTGTCGATCTAGTTCCCTCGCCCGCTCTGCTTTCTCTCTTCCTTCCTTTTTCTTCTTTTCTATTTTCTCTTTTTTTATTCCTCTTTCATACCCATCAAAACTATAGTTGTTCAACAAGGCCTTTTGTGGAATACCACGCCCAAGAGGTCGGGTTCACATCTCTTCACAAGATTCCTGGATCTTCATTCGTGCCCTTGGATGCCCCAACCTCGGCATTTACATCTCCACGATCTGTTTTGACTTGCGTCTGTAGACGTGGCGGCCCTCTTTTTCTTTTTCTTTTTCCCATTTGCATTTGCGTTTGCATTTGCATTTGCATTTTTCTTATTTTTATTTTATTCTATTTCCGTCTTTTGATCTCTCGGATTTCCCGTTGGCTGTCATTTGCCTCTCCCCCCCCAAGCGTTTAATTCGTTTCCACAACCCACCCCCCACGACCAATCCTGTCCACCCACCGTACCTTTTTCCCCGACAATGGCTTCATCTACCATTCGTGAATGACCTACGTTTTGTGTTAGTGGTTTATCCCCAAGCGAATCGGCTGTGTCAGACGATAGCCGCTTGTGGTCCCACTAGTTATCATTTGGGAAGATTCTCGTTTCCTCGCGACCTATTGCTGTTTCTATGGTCCTTGGGCCCGCGTTACTCTTCTGCCGTCCGGATTGTTGGTTAAAACCCATCCCCTCTTTTTATTATCCGTGGCCTTTCACGGCTGGATGATTGTCTCCCCCCGAGACAACTCTCCGCCATGCAGCCCTCACCGTTCCGTCCGCCTATGTTGGGTAACTCGAGTAATTCGCTCGAGTTACCCCCAGTCCAGGCTGTGACGTCGGGCGCATTCCCATCGACACCGGGGATGCTGTCCGCTCCACCCAGTAGACCGGGCAGTGGAATGCAAATGGCCCATCTGTTGCAGCCCATGCCTCAGGGCCCTCCACCGCATCAGCAGTTGACAAGTGCCCCGGTGCCGGTGCCGGGATCCATGTCCGGTCCAGTTCCGGGCCCTTCAACATCCCCGTATTCCCGATTCTACGAGTCGGGGTCAGGATCTCCAGCAGAGAGTGCTGGTATGGCCGATGTACCTCCTATGGGCCCGCTTCCGGGTGGCCTCTTCCAGACGAGCCCGATCGGGCATCATTCGCAGGCGCAGCAGAAGCGCGCCTATCGTCAGCGAAGGAAAGACCCAAGCTGTGATGCATGTCGCGAGCGCAAAGTGAAATGCGATGCATCGGACTCGACTAGTTGTACCGAGTGTCTAAATCGCAAAGTACGCTGCCAGTTTACTAAAGATACAAACCGCCGCATGTCGACTATCAAACAGGTACAGGACCTGGAGAAGACAGTAGCGCAGCAAAAGAACCTACTGGATCGGTACAAGTCGGAGCGCATGCGTCCTGAGCATAGCACGACCGAGGTCGACGAAGCTATCGTGCAACCGGTCATCAGTCTGCCAGAGATTGACTATAAACCAGCGCGTAGGCCGAGACAGCCCATTTCCCGAGATCTATCCGGAGTGCGGTCTAACCTTCGCAAGTATGGACAAGGGATTTTGAAGGAGCCCACGCCTTACCAGCAACAGAGATCCCAGTCAGTTGTTGGTAATGATGCTCCAGACCTACCATCGAAAGATCTCGCAGACCACCTCTTAGCCCAGTACTTCAACTGCATTCACTCAATATTACCCGTCTTGCATTGGCCCTCCTTCACGGCAGATTATGAAAACGTCTATCGCGCAGGGACACTAGTCGGGGTTTCGAGCGAATGGGCTGCAGTACTATTCGGTGTTTTTGCGTGTGGTGCTATCCACACTGTTGAATCGAACCGCGAGAAGCAAGGAAAGGACTACGTGCGAATTTCGTGCGGTATAATCGATGTCTGGCAGGACAGCTTCAACCTCGACCGAGCGCGAGCCGCTTTGTTGGCTAGCATCTTTCTCTACGAGATCAACTCCAAATCGGCGAGTTGGGTATGGATAGGCTCTGCGGTGCGCGTGGCCCAAGAAATTGGACTACATATTGAATCTGGTCCTTGGACAGCCGTTGAAAGCGAGATGCGGAAACGGCTATGGTGGGGATTATACACCTGGGATAGGTAGGTTTCATTCGACCTCTGTATATCTCCTTTGTGCGCATAATACTCACCTATTAGATTACTTGCTCTTGAAATGGGTAAGCCCGTTTTGATCAATGACCAGGATTGTGATATCGATCTCCCTTGTCCTGTGGATGATCGATACATCACAGAATCGGATTCCATCCCCAACGGCCACCAAACAATACCACTGCTCGCCACAATACACGTTGTTCGGTCCCTCGGCCAACTCACTAGGACTTTACGCTGGTCCACTCTTACCTCAGCAACCCTTGAGACATTTGAACGACACTTTAGCACATGCCTTGCCACCTTCCCTCCCTACCTCCAGCCGAACAACGATCAAGACCTCGACCCTCGGTCTCTAGCGCCTGCCATATACCTCCAAAACGCACGCCTCCTCCTCTACCGTCATAACATCTCACCTTACTGCCAACCACACGTTCGTGAATCGGCAATGGATCGCTGTTTCTCGATAGCCATAGACACAGCCAACACAATCTCTCGTTGCATGCGATCTCATGCTGGTACCGAATGGCGAACCTTATTCGCTTCTGCCGCAGGAACTCTTCTCTGTACTCACATCTGGCGATGCTCTCTTTTCCTTCTGTTTCAACAGGAATTTAGCCCCGCACTTGCTTGTGTGCAGGCCATGGCCGCTGTTGGTGACGACCGCGCTATCAATGCTTCATGTGGACGCTATCTAGCATTTTTCCTCCAGCTTCTGCTTGACCGTCTCCAACGGGGTGATACTCTCGAGGAAGATGAAGAGATGATCGCCTATGTTTCAGGCGATATGCAAGGTACTAGTGGTGGCAGCTGGGTCTGGCAGGGCAGTGAGACCGGCTCACAGCTCGAAGCCATGTCTTCGAAATCAGACGTCCATCCCCCCCGGGAACTTGAAAAGGATTGGCCGGGCTGGGAATGGATAGAACAAACTGTTCAATATTTGTCGAGTGAAAAACAACGGCAATTGCAGATCCAACGTGAGCACCAGCAACGAATTGAGCAACAGCGACAACAAGAGCAGCAGCAGCAATCACAGCAGGAGATACAGATCCGACCAAGTCATCTGCAGCAGCATCTGCCGCAGCAGATGGAAACCGACAGTCGGGATGTCAATATGGAACCGAGGCAGGATGTCTCGATGCTCCAGCCCGAATCATCGGCTTCAAGTGAGGACAGGCAGTCCAGTTCGACGCACTCTCGCATGACCATTGCCAGTATCATCTAGAGAACACCCTTTATACTTTGTTGCAAACAGATATGAATTCTATTACGACACTAGCTTCATTCATCTTTCGCAAGGTGGCGAAACACATCCAACGCAAACTTGCGTGATATTCCGCTTCTCTCAAATTTCCTGATATATTAACGAGTCACTTCCTCGGCTCGTGTCGCATCGTTCCAGGACTCGGAACATCCAGGTGTCCATTGGCAGGCATACGCTGGCACACGCCTACCTACTAGTAGGTACACAACCTCAAGGATACCCGCCGCAAAGGCTTCTTCATTCCACTCAAAGCATCATCGCTTTTCAAACTTCGACCTCAATATTTACTATGTATAAATCTATAAATGTATATATTGCATCCTAGTCAGAAACCCTGAATAGAAACCCTGAACTTGAGCAGTACTACTACTAGTAGTAGTACTAGTATTTACTGTTGGAAGATCCACCCTATAGCCTTCAGATTCCTTGTACTACCTGATAGCGATGGAAATATCAACTTCCAAGGTTGGAGAGTAATTTTGAGTCACATCTATAACCCTCGTACACGACAGGGGATATTGAGCCATATCGTCGAATGCCACCAAAGGTCGTCAAGCTGCCGACGAAGCAGCCTTCACCCAACTGAACACTCTGACTCTCAATCATTTTAATGCCGCCCTTCATGACTCCTCGGTAAGATCAACGACACAGACGGTCAACTTGGCTGACGCCAACAGCGGGGCTGATGAAAGAGCTGAACTCAAAATCCCAAACAATGCCACAAATCATACAACCACCCACCGCAGATGTGTCACAGGCAGTAATGGACGACTTTCATGCGTGGGGATTGCACTCTGAATTATCCAACATAATTAGAGGTCTCAATAAATTGGTGACAACTAGTGAGATTCTTTGGTACCTCGGCTTAACTGTTGTATATTTTGGAATACACCAACCCCCATGCACTGGAGACTATTATCTCGCGGCACGATTTAAACGGCTCGTTAGCCTATCTGCCACAAGGAATAGTTGTTAAGCCTAAAGAACATACCATTCACAAAATGCTCGGTGGATGGCAGAGCTGAGTGAATAATTTCTCGTTGCCTCAGGCACCAGTCTGATGTGTCATCTAGATCCACCCTCTTTCTAGATAGCCTCAGGTAGAGTCTCATCCCATCACCACCTTCATGTCATCTCTCACTCCATCTTTCTCGCCTCATCTTGTTCGAAAACAGGAAAGACTCCCGGGCCTGGATCAAGATAGCACAGAAGCCAAAATGGAATTCCCGCCACCTCACATCCAACCTTGGCAAACGTCGCACACACATACGGTGATCCTGCTTCATGGCCGCGGCAGTGATGGCGAAGAGTTTGCCGAGGAATTTTTCTCTTCCGCTACCTCGAAAGGTAAAAGTTTGGCCTCTTGTCTACCTTCCTATCGTTGGGTCTTTCCTACCTCTTGCGATCGATGGACCACCAGATTCCAAGAGGAAATATGCTCCTGGTTTGATGCGTACTCTCTGGATGATATCCATGAGAGACAGGAACTTCAGAAAAAAGGCCTAAAGGAGTCAGTCTTACACGTCATTGACATCATCGAAAGTGAAGCAAAGCTGCTCGATGGGCGGTTTTCCAACATATATCTCGGAGGCATCAGCCAAGGAATGGCAACCTCTTTCTGGGCATTCTTTGCAGCAATTGGACTAGGAAAGATTCAGGAGCCGCTAGGTGGATTATTGGGATTTTGTGGATGGTTTCCATTTGCACATCAGCTCGAGACTTTGCTATCGGAGCCTGCCGTCAATTTCTCCCAGACTCACGCGATCCAGGATCAAATATCGTCGTTCTTCTTTTCTGAAATTGCTGGCAATGAGACCTTGGAGATTACCCAGATGTCGAACAGCTCTATCATATGTACGCCTGTATTCTTAAGCCACGGAACAGATGATGTGTGGGTATCTGTTGAACTCGGGCGTCAGGCATCTCAAATCCTGCAGAAAATCATGGTACACGTCGAGTGGAACGAGTTTACTGGGGCAGAGGGGGACGGTCATTGGGTCAAGGAGCCTGAAGGTTTTGATCAAATTCTTCAGTTCCTTGGCAGCTGATTCGCCCGGACTCGAGCAAATATTGCAGGAATATGCCTCTCCGGGGTGGTAGTTTCTGACATGGGCATTCAAAGAAAGGACGCTGCGGAACATTTCATTCGGTAATCTTTCAACTATGCTGATAGTATGGTCTTGCAAATGGCATACCTGAACAAAGCTCTCTTCCCTAACCACTATCTATTTTCTCGACAACTATGATGGCCTTGATTCTCTTCGAAAGAAAAACGTGCTCAACCCTCTTCCCCCACAATGTCACCGGCGCTTTAGATCAGGCCCAGCTCAACGGCAGCCAGGGTTCCGTTCTGCAGAGCACCAGCGTGGTGACGGGCAGCAAGACCGTAGGCAAATTGGTACCTTGACAGTGAGTTAGCGAATGCATATAGTGGTAAAGTATCTCGGAGATAAACTCACTTGTCAAGGAATGGCAGCAGCTCGTTCAGGCCGGGGGGTCTTTCTCCAGTCCCGCATCAGGTCACAGGCAATGGCGAACATTCCCATCAGGGTAACACCGGCACGCTCCATGCGGCGGTTCGCATCCTCAGCAAGACGGGTGTCAAAGGTACCGCTAGCGTCGGTGTTGGCGTAGACTTCATACCCCTCATCAATCAGGGAAAGGGCCAGGAATGCAGTACCTAGATAATTGGTAAGTGTCATGGAAACAGCAAGAAGAGCCTGTGTGTATCATAGGATGGCGCAAACTTACAAACTTCAGTCACAATTCCACCAATAATCAACTGCTTCTTGCCGGTAGCCCTGACGGCAGCCCGGAACTCGGCATTATCCCAAGCATTGACCTCGCCCTGGCGACGGACAAAGGTAGCATTAGGGTGCATCTCCATGATCTCCTTGACCATGAGGCCGTTAGGGCCACCATCGGAGGAGGTAGTCAAGACGGTGGGCAGGTCGAAGATATTTCCAAGGGCAGCATGGCCCAGCATGTTGTTGCGGAAGTCGTTGGTGCTGAAGTCACGGACGACTTGAGAGAGACCAACCTGGTGATCAATCACCAGCAGAGCCTGATTTATACTGGTTAGTTTTGAAAGTATCATGAGGGGCAGACAGAAGACGCACAGCATTGTCCTTGTCAAGTCTGTTCCATGCCTGAACCGGGGCAGTAATAGCCAGCAGAAAGGCGGGGATTGCACTGGAGAAACGCATCTTGAGATAGTTTTCAGGGGAAGGAGAAGAAAGACTGTTTGATACTCTGGCTTGAATTCTGGACTTTCTTTCCGGAAAGGACGGCCTTTTATACTCGCCTCCGAGTTGGTGAGTCTCTACACATCCCGATGGTCCAAACTAGATATGGATCAATAATCTTGACCAAGCCCTTGGTAACAGCCGACCTGGTTAGTGCTGACTGATTTCCGGTGTTTGTTCTTGCGTCTACTTCATTCCCAGGTGCTCTCGTAGTCCATGGCGGTCTTGGCCCGCAGATACAGCAGTAGCAGTGGGGTAATAGCACGTGGTTCGAAATTAGAACTGATTGATTATATTGATCAAGCACTTCAAAATTCGCAAGGGCATTTTCCTAATCTGTCCGCCCCATATAAACCCAGAGCGCGAGGTTTGGACTTCGCTTTGAAAAAAATCTTGATGAATATCTTTCGTCACAATATCTTCAACACCCGGAGAAAAGTTGATGATATTCTTCTTCTTTGTGTAATTTTCCCTGATTGGCTGGTATGTTAGTAACTATATTATGGCTTAGATGGAAGTGCAGGGGTGGGAGTTTGCGAGGTGGGTTTGCAAGGTGAAGCGGCTAAAATTAGCACACGCTCGCAGCTCATACGCCACCACGAAAGCCACAGAAGATACGATATGCAAAATATCTCGATGGTACAAATTGGTGGGTTTTCTGGTCGGTCTAGCATGCCCAAGCGAAGCTGTTGACTGCAGGGTTCCAATTAGCGTCTGACAAACTATAAGCTAAGGATACCGTCAGCATGCACGTCAACTCGAACTTTGAGCCAACGGCGGTGACTAAACGGTGCTACACGGTACTTGACCGAGATCGGGGGGATTATCCAGCAATAGGAGCTCTGAATTCCGCGCCATCTGCCCCACTTGGGCCTTAATTAGCATCAAATCCAGGTTCGGCGTTACACTTGGCCTTCTGCAGATGCAATCTTTGCGCCAGTTCACCGCTGGACGCCATGGTCTCAGCAGAGATCTCTGCGGAAATTAGATATCATCGGCTAAATCGCAGAAAGCGTCATCGAAGCCAATAGGAAAACAGAGAAAGGCGGTGGTAGGGGACTTTTGCCCCACAGACCCTGCTTACTCGCGATTACCCGTTATTCTATCAGCGGCTTGGCGTTGGTGTTTAGGTCTTGGCAGGTCCTCACTTCTCAAATAAGAAGTTCGTGGTGTATATTCTAGCACGGCTTGAAGATACGAGTCAGGTAAAATAGAAGAATAGTCTAAGGTTAGATTATGTAGTATTTTGAGCAATAGGTTACTCTCGTTGCGCCCGGATGACGGATGAGGTCGTAGCTATTAACTTCCAAGGGTTCTACTTAAATAACGAATTGCGTTATAACTATGTTGCGAAGTAATAAATAGTTCTCATTTGATAGAGAAAAAACCACTACTTTATTCGAGCAAAGTGAAATCGAAATGGTTTCAATAGTACAATGATTATTAAAAATTGTGTACTAGCACGACCCGAGTGAAGTGGAACTTGAGAGTGCTTGCCGGTCATTTCCGACACAGACCGCAGACATACTTCCTTTCAACCAAAGCGAACGAGAACTAGCGCGTATTTGATTCCAAAATCGAACTCTCCTGGAATTAGCGTATTCAACCACTCGAGAGTGATCCGGAGGGGCTATCCCAATCATCCCTTGACATTGGCGTCGGAGCCGGTCTCGATATCCTGTGAGCAGTTTCTGGAAGGTTCTGAGAATCAGAATATGTGTTTCTGTGGATGATCAAAGAGGGCGATGACACTTACCCAGCATTCATACGGTTCCAAACCCCACTTAGATCTCCGACGGGCAAGGATAGAGGGAATCCAACAGAGTCAAGAAGTTGTGCCGTCAATAGATAGAACCCAAGCATACTAGCTAGAAATAAAGCAGCGCCGCTTCCCTGTGAATCCGATAGTTAGTTGTCACTTCGCACAAGTAAATTGAAATCCAAAGGACAACCATAGTAGGAACTTACCACTGTCAATCTATTGCCGAGCATCTCGTTCTCTCGACCAAGCTGCCAATAAGCAGCAGCGAGAAGCGCGAAGACCAAAATGAGGGATGCGAAAATGACAACATAAATGATATTTGTGCGCGTTGCACAAACCGTATAAATTAGCATCAATAATCCCATGAAGACAAAGAAATATGCTAGAAACGAGCTGTTAGAGATATATATGGTATTAGTTCAAGTAGCGGAAGTGACAAACCGAATGTATTGACAAATCCAGGACTGTGAAGCCCCGCTAGAGTGTTGGTTCCTTCCGGCGAGTAAGGGGCTGTTAGGGAAAAAAAGTCAGAATCTGGAAAATTAAAGTACAGTATTGTTGGTAAATACCCGCGGAGTTAAACGCAGGTGTCAGAGTTGCACCGAAAGCCAAACAAAATGCCCCTAATGCATGTCAGTATACGAAGTAACGATCTCGTCTTAGGAACAGGCCTACCCAAATGTCCAAATACGACCGAAGAAAAGGTATTTCCAAGGATAAATTCGAGAATGCTGGATAGCACGAGGAGCAAACCACCCATCAAAATCAGAACTCCGCTGATTGTATGAGTTAGGTTGTTGTTGGTTAATCTATCGAATGGGGGAAGCTTTCTTACGTGAACGCAGCGCCACCTCCACCGGCGCCCCTCCATGCCATCAAGCAACAGGCAAGCGGGCTAGCAGTGAGCACAAAAGCACCAAGTCCCCTGGTATTGATATTAGCTTGCTTTAACCAGCGGTTAATATGTAAATATTGCCTACAGTGGAGTTGGGTTTCCCAAACTCTTGGTCAGTGCAGTCTGGCGATGCATCATGGGATTCAGATAAAGCCTCTCAAACTGCTCCGCAGAGAGAGTTATTGAGGTCGGGACCTGAGTCAAACGAGGCATGTTTCCGATCTCACTATGAGAGAACTTCGAATCTCCTCGGGCAATGTCGCTGTCCATCTTGTTGGTATCTAGGTCTTACTTCTATTGAGAAGGTAAAGACAGGGATTGAGGTTGAAAAATAGGTACTTTCCAATCATAAGTGATAATGAAGTGATCGCTTCAAAGCTACTTCGCGTCCGACCTACGAGCACCTTTTATAATTGTTCTACAGTGAACGTGTCATTGTCTCAAAAAGCCCTGGACCGATTAACAAAAATTCGTCGGAAGATAGCTCGGCATATCTATGATGCAGATCCCAAGATTTTTGGTTTCCTCAGAAAGTTGGATGTGCGGTATGGGGATTCCGCTGCCCTTAATTGAATACAATGGACGGGCCTAAGGCTTAAATCTAAATCGGAAGATAGGTCGGCAGATTTACGCAGATCAGTGGTCCGCATTCCCACATTCTGGGGTAACCTGGGGCAATTAAGGTTTATCTCCATTGAACCTTGTTAAATCAGCCTCCGCCTTGTGTTCCGCTGTGCGGTTTTGCCCTTCCGATTATTTCTCGGGTCATCGGAAGCTACCCGATTTGTGACTTCCGGCCCAGTCATTCGCTACCTTACCCGATCACCCCCCCCCCTAATTACTTATTCCGTATCCGGCGACATGAAATCTGGGTCCGGGGTTTGCGGGGTTCAGCTTGAATGTAAGCTTCGGGTTGGTTGAAGGTACAAAGGAGGCAAGTCGTCATAACTGGGGCTTTCGGAAGTCTAGTCGGCAGTTTTCAAACCAGACTCCCCATGTGTTTTGAGATAGGACAACATCGATGGCCGGTTGTTCTTTTTTTTTTTTAGTCGTCGTTTTGGTTTTGATTTTGGCTCTGTACCAAAATCCAGTCCTACCTACTCGACTAGCTCCAGCTTTCTCGACATGCTAGGACTCGGAAATTCTACTGGTAGTTTCGGATGCGACATTTTACACCTCAATACCTACCTAGCTAGGAAGTCATCAACAAATATAATATTTTTAGAGGGTACTTGAATTTCAGCAACCTGCAGTGTGCTCCAACCTTGGAAGGGTCCTTTTTTTTTTCGAAAATTATAAAGTCCCTCTTCAAATTACTTTTCGGAGTCTGGAATCGAAACTTGAAGGGTAAAATGTTAGTACTGTTGTACTTACTATTTGCTTCTCACTAGTACTACTATGGTGCTTTAAGGCGCCCGGGTCGCTTGGATGCTTGGCTCGCACGTATATGAGTTATAAGATACTCCTGATAGGTGCTCTGGGCTCCTAGTCCTGGGCTAGTGAGTTCGTTGGACCTCTTGGGCGATCCTTTCCCACTTTTCCTTGGGGTCAGTTTCAAGATTTACGTACTTTTGCGATGCTGGCAACGTATGTAGTGACTAGTGGGGGCGTGATAAGAATGGCCGAAAAGTGGATTATCCTCTGAGTGGTTATACGGTAAATAAGAAGGGATTGTCTTATGAAATGCCAATCTGGCCTTGTTAATCCTCTCTTAATGCACACACACAATTTTCCTGTCCTGCGTGTCTTCAACCTCTCCGATTTCGCGAGGGCCAGGTCCGCATATGTGTTCAGATGTCTACGCAGACTTCCCGTCTCTAACGGCTCCATGCACCTGATGCAGTAGACATGCAACTAATTCTCATGCCATTGCTCAGCCCCTCGAAATGACCCCGCACCGCCTGGTCTAGTTTCGCAGTCACGGAAATCACATTATTGTCAGAAAATAAAGGTTCACTCCTCGAACACTTTGACTTACTATTCAGAAGAAACCTCAAATCCCTTGATTTATTTTCACAAGAGACTCAAAATGGACTATTCTAGATTGTTGGTTTTGCTTACTCTAGCTTGCATAGCTATTCGTCTACTCTCCAATCGCTACAAACACGGACTACGCGACATCCCTGGCCCCTTTGTCGCAAAATACAGCCGATTGTGGAAATTGCATAGTGTGTGGAAAGGCAATCACCAAGATACTGCCGTTGGTCTTCACCAGACGCATGGTCCTTTGGTCCGTATTGGCCCAAGACACATATCTGTTGGAGATCCAGACGCGATCCCAGTCATATATGGATTAAACAAAGGTTTTACCAAGGTACGTCGGACTATAACGCCGTGACCATTTGACGGAAACTTTTGAACCGACTTCATGTATCAAGCCGACTAGCACGAGTTCAATTATCTACAAAGTTATACTAAAATAAACAGACGGCGTTCTATCCTATTCAAAGCATTTCGTGGAAACAGAAGTTTCAAATGAATTTGTTCTCCACTCGAGATGAAACGCATCATAGAGAGCAAAAGCGAAATATTGCCAATGCGTATAGCATGACCTCGCTTCTGGAGCTTGAGCCAGCAGTGGACTCGTGTTCCGAGATATTCATTTCTCAATTACGACAGTTCGCCGATCGAAAGACACCTGTTGACTTGGGAACCTGGCTTCAATACTATGCGTTTGATGTGGTTGGTGAATTTGTCTTCGCAAAAAAACTAGGCTTTCTTCAGGAAGGAAAGGACATTGACGGCATGATGCAAGCAATTCAAGGTATGCTGGTCTATGCTAGTGTATGTGGCCAAGTTCCTGAGATGCATCCTTTACTTTTGGGAAATCCACTTTTCCCGGTCTTGATGCCTAGCATGGAGACCTGGAACCAGGTTCTTATGTTTACCTTGAAGGCAATGAACTCACGCTCCTCGATAAGGCGTGACGGAGAGCTGGATCATGATGAAATGAACGGGGGGAAAGATATGATGTCTAAGTGGATGGCAGCTCATAATCTGGACCCTCAAAGGTTGTCTACAAGAGATGTCATTGTACACCTCTCGGGAAATGTTTTTGCAGGCTCGGATACTACTGCCATCGCACTCAGAGCGATCGTCTATTTCCTCTTGTGCAACCCACCAGCCATGACTAAGCTTCGAACCGAGATCGACGGCGCGGATGGTCAAGGCAAGCTTGGAAACCCAGTATCTTACCGAGAGTCTGTGACACATTTGCCTTATCTTTCTGCGGTTATTAAAGAAGCCATGCGTCTCCATCCTTCCGTCGGACTGATTCTGGAACGAGAAGTCCCAAAGGAAGGTGCCTTCATTTGCGGAAAACAAATCCCAGGCGGCACTATTGTTGGTATCAACGCATGGGTTTTGCACAGAAATGCTGAAGTATACCCTAACCCAGACTCATTTCTTCCCGAGCGTTGGCTGGATAACCCCCCGAAAGGCTGAGGGAGATGGAGCAGAGCTTTTTTAACTTTGGCTATGGTCCGAGGACTTGCATTGGGAAAAATGTGTCTTTGATGGAGATGCACAAGATTATTCCGCAGCTGCTGCGCGAGTTTGAAATTCGCCTGCACGATCCATCGAAAGCTTGGAAAACCAAGAACGTCTGGTTTGTCCAGCAGGAAGGGCTGATATGTGACCTTGTGGAAAGAAGATGAAATTACTACTAGTAGCCCCTGAATTGCCATGGGCTATATTTCATCACTACTAGTACATTCATGTTCGACTGCAGTCAAGGGGGACCTTTAAGTTCGACAATGTATTTCATCTATTATGTTTTCATGTCCAATTCTAATAGTACCTGCAAATGACTACAAATGAGCACATTATGACATAAAACCCACATATATGTACCATCGCTTTCTCTGGCTTCAGCGCGAGTTTTAATTCTACCAGTAGCTGCAGTCGATGAAGAAGAAAAAAGATGCCTCAGTTTCTCGTAAGTTGCCCTATTCAGAAACGAACGATCCGGAATTCACTATAGATTCAGGTCAAGTTCCGACCGTTCGTGAATGAGACGGAACGACAGGAGTATGCACTTCTTCCGTCAAAAATCGCTTCAAGTAGTTTGTCATCCTAATTGATGTCAACCTCTTAGCTTTACATCCGAACTTGCGCAAAACGGGGGTCAACTGATTAGGACTCGTCGGCTTCGAAATGGATCAATGTTTGTTCATCTCATGAGTATCGGCGCCGAGAGGACTTTTGGCTGATCCTTGCAGATATGAGGTGCCTGACGACCATTTTGACATACACAATTTTAGGACTAAAAAATATGTTGATGTATCGAGAAAGAAAGAGTGTAAATGAAATAGGTCCCCAAGTTCGCGAACATATCCTTGCTACCGCAATCCAGGTATACTCAGGTATTTGATCAGGGGCGAGAATGTGATATCATTATGAGCGGTTTGGAATCGGACTCGGAGGATACCACATACTACTAGGGATCCTCAACCTTGGAACCTTGGAACTTGTCAATTCAAGCTGTTTGATCATGAGCACCGAAGCGTGCAATTATATTGTACCCAGCCTAGTACATTAATTGGAAATCGTAGGGGACCTCGATCCTGCCCAGCTGGCTAGCCAAAAATCTGACGGTCGCTAACTTGAAAATGGGTGTGCAACTCAGATATCTCAAGTTGCCCGCCCCTGATAAACCCGGCTATCGACAATTCCGGAGCCAATCAGACGTTGGGAACCGAAAATAAAGTACAGGGCCTCAGCCCCAGGGCTGGCCTATGCAGGAGAACTCAATGGTTGACAGAAAGTGGGGGCTGCCACAGTATCTGCTTATGGACACCGGCATACTTGACCGCTTCATCCTCCAGGAATACGGAGTACATCTGTTTTGCTAGAGGTTCATGCGGTATCTGACGGTGTTGGGAAATTACTTTACTAGCAAGGGTTGGGAGGGACGGGAAATGTAATGATTTGTCTCTGGAGAGAAGGATTCCACGCCAACCCACGACGGGCCAGCGAGGCGTTTTTGTTTTGACAGTCCAGGCCTTTTTAGTCCATTCAGCCGCACGCTGATGCAGAGTCCCCGCATAACCGAGACATTAACGGGGGTTCCATTGGTGGACCATGGGGTAAGATGCATATACATGGCTGTGATCGCCAATCGACCCAGTGGCTCAGCGTTAAAAATCTGCACCTCGTGCCCGATCATCTGCTCGACAGCCTGAAGCTCTTGCAAGTCATGAAAAGACGTGAATGCTTCTTTCGCTCTCTCTCTCTCTCTCTCTGTGTGTGTGCTATATTTCCCTGTTCCCTTTGCCGAACTTGATCCTTCATTCGCTTCGTGTCAAAAACACGCCTCTTGCTACGACCATATCGCCGATGGCCACTTGTTTCTGAACATCGAGCATATTTTCTGATTACCCCAGCAATTCAACGTGAGATGCATTGATATGACCACTCAGAAATGCAGGCCACTCCGCTTGATGGTGCATGGATTAGATCTAGGAATTCTACTACACATGCGAAACACGTTTCGAGGCTCTGGCGGCCGGTGACGGCTGCGTCGGCTACTTTGCTACTACTTGGGTGAGTATTTTGGCAACCGTGAGCCTCCAATGCGTTTTCCTAACCCTAAATGGTTCGATAGCTATCTGATTCTCCCTGTGGTCTTCAGCGATGCAGACAATACGCTACAGATCGATCAAACCGCATCGACTGTGTTCGCCTTATTCTTCATTGGGATAGGATATGCTGCGTCAATAGTCATCGCATTTTTCCAGCGCCGGGACAAAAGATTTCTTCTCCGTTGTATCTTTGTGTCAGTCTGGTTCCTTTGTTCGCCGTGCCATGCAACTATTCTGATATCACCAGGCCCTACTTGACGATCAACCTTTTCTCCTTATTTAATGTTATCTTCAATATCCTCGGTCGTGGTCTTGTGCCACTCAACGCGCTCCGAGTTATTGGAATTGGACTTCCTAGTACATTTTCAGTGATATATGGACTGTCGGCATGCTTGGTATATCGCGAATACGGCCCTCACGAAGGGCAGGTGGAAGACGACACCCCTTTACTTGTACGCGTCAACCCAGAAGATTTGACTCGGACTCAGCTGCGACGACTGTTGGAAGAAAGGAACTCTGGCGCCCCATCGCCTGATATTGTTCATAGCACCTATCGATTGGATTTGCCCGGTATGGAGCCTCCGCAGAAAACTTGGGATCGACAATCTAGTCCGCCAACAACCAGAACATGGAGTAGCACGGGTCGAACGATGGTCTGACAAATAGGAAGAAAGCCAAAAATAGTTTTATTTTAATGATTATGAATACTTCATAGAATAGAGAGGGTATACATGTGATTTAATGAAGTGAAGTATGAAAGAATCGCTCAAAGCGGCAGGCCCGGTTGGACCTCGGCTCATCCCACGCTTAAAAGTTGGAGGCCGCCGCTGTCCGACTTCCTCCACTCTCCCCATCATTCCCCCTTTGCTTTACTTTGCTCGGCTTCCCATTCCATCAGATCACCAGAAAGAGTGCCATGTCGACCCGCGTGACACTCTTAGACCCCCCCGCCGCAGGATCATTCCAAGGCGGCTATTGAGAATGTGCTGGATCTGACGCCAGTGGTGGACCTCGGCCCAGTATTACGCCCTTCTCCCTTTTCATTCCAGCAAATGCCAACAGCAAACTAATTACTTACCCGATTCACCTCGATAGGATGTATTCACCAACACCAGGCCGCTCTGGCACCCTCCCGGAGCTCGAGGCATCTATGGCGGCGCTGCTATCGCCCAATCTCTATCCGCCGCGATGCGCACCGTCCCCGCTGATTTCGCCGTACACAGCATGCACTGCTATTTCGTCCTAGCCGGAGATTCGGAAATCCCTATCCTATATCACGTCGAGCGCGTACGCGACGGCCGAAGCTTCATTACTCGAACTGTGCAGGCGCGCCAACGCGGTCGCCCCATTTTCACGACAACCCTCAGCTTCAGCCGCGTCGGTAGCGGAGGCGAGAAAACGTTGAACCACGCAGTCCAGAAACCCGATGTACCCCTCCCACAACCAATCATTCCTGGCACAGTGAAAGCGCTGAGTGAAGCCGGCGGTGGTCCCTTCGAGTCCCAGAAAGCGGGTATCGTGAACCGTGCCTCCTACCCCGAAGATAAGAAGATGCGGCGATTTGTCCGGGCGCGCGGTCATATTTCCGAGGAGGGTGGCTTTCAAGCTCACCTTTCTGCACTCGCATATGTCACCGACAGCTTCTTCATTGGAACAGTCGCTCGAGTACACGATATTCCGCGATTTTCGTCCCCGGCAGAGCTGGAGAAGCTACTGAAGGCATTGAAGAACCCCTCTGATCTTGACGACGAAGATATCACCAAGGCTCTGAAAGAATTGAAGGAGGAGGAGGCGACCGATCTGCGACGACGACTCGAGGGAGCTCTTAGCGATGCTACCAGCGGCAAGAATCAACAACAACATAAGGAGGTCGGCATGATGGTCAGCCTGGACCACTCAATATATTTCCACAATCCCCGAGCTTTCCGGGCTGATGAGTGGATGTTGATCGAAATGGAGAGCCCGTGGGCCGGCGAGGGCCGAGGATTGGCTCTCCAAAAGATCTGGTCGAAGGATGGCGTGCTGATTGCCACATGCACTCAAGAGGTACGAAGATATTCTGTATTCATGAGAAGCACTGCATCACTAACTATTTTATAGGGCGTTGTTCGTTTGAAGCAAGATAAACCACCCCTGGCGAAGATTTAACTCGACATCCTTTGATACCCCTTAACTCCGAGCCATATTCTGGTTCTCGGTCAACCTTCTTCCATTCTCTTCACATACTTCAATAATAGACTCTGTTTTTCTTGTCATTTTCTTTTCTTTTTCACTACTTATCTCTTGTTTCTAATTCGTCCGATCCAGTGTTGTGGATGCCCAATCTATGGGAGCTTTTAGTCGGTGTCTAGCGATCAAACCAATCGAATCTACACTATTAACTAAAGTCCTCTGACTGATTTTGGAATGGACCGAGGCCCTGAAGAATTCCAATCAGCTTTATCAAATTTGATTGATCGATCCAAATAGATACTGCTCAGATAAAAAAAAGACCTGCAAGGTTGAAGAGCTTTGACCGAGAAAAAAGAAAGCGATGCCAGGCTTTTGAAAAAGCAACGATAAAAAGTAGTATTCAGACAGCCACCCAGTTTATGAAGATCGCAAAATACAAATGGAAAAACGCCAAAGATAAAAGATAGGGCATTTTAGACAGGGGTAAAACTTGAAGGCAAAAGAAAAAGCAAAACAGGCAAGTTCGTCAACATCTCATTCGTTCATGGCGTGATTTCTACCTCAAACTTCAACCTTCTCCTTAGTGTCGCAAGGAGCGGTAGCCATGCGCTTGTTGTAAAATTCCAGAACCATCTCACTCCAAACATGCTTACATTTGTACTCGCTCACATGGTCGGGCCAGGTCTTCATCTCGGTGACAAGATTCTCCAGTTCTTGCATGGGAAGCTGATCAAGCGGAGTAAGATAAGTCTTGACGCCGAAGACAATGGCATTGGTGCGAGGCAGTCGGCGGAAGGTTTGTCTCTCTCGACGAATAATAATTTCATCGGGCAACGGGTTATTCAGCTCCTTTTCACAGAGAGATCCGGGGCGGTATAAAATTTCGAAGAGATTCTCATCGGGTCGCTTAACTTCCACGAAATAATTGGAGCGCTCCATAGGCGACGCCGGAGTGAGGCGAACCAGAAACCTATGGCAGAGATTAGTTGATGGTTTTCGAAAATTTCGTTCGATGGAGTTTCGTACTTGCTGACGGAATTGGCAACCTGTTGATGCCAGAGTGGTACAGGCTCATGCATTCGAGAAATCGTCCATCCGATTCGTTCTTGAACCGTCCAACCCGTAGGAAATAAGCTAGCACTGGCTGCCCTATAGAGACATTAGACGACAGCAGACAATGCAGTTGCTAAGCAAGGAATAACTTACAAATAGTATTCGCCTTCGTCGTTGAGCATCAAAATACTCAAATCTTCCATCGTGAGTCGCACAGCTGCCTCCAGGGCGTCGGTGTCGATTCCACTCGGATTTGATCCACTGAGATCAAACTTCTCTCGGGTCATGCAGTTTTCAATGAACTTTTGGTCATTTTGAGAGCTTTTTTGGAACATGTTCGGAAATCGCTGGCACAGAAAGTCGGAAACATCCTCTAGAGCTTCTTGACAGGCCTCAAGTGATTCAGGCAAGCATCGCAGAACTTCGGACTTTTTCTCACGTAGAAGGTGGTCTCGTACGCGGTGCTCTTCCATGTAGTGCTTGTCAAGAGTGAGCCAATTCTGGGAGTCCATCCTGCGAACATCCATCATGATGCGGTATTGCTTTCGACCTCGAATAGGCTGTGCCGGGTATGGCGCGAGGCGCTTGACATTTGACGGGTCGTCCGAGGCGTCATTTTTCAAGAGCCCTTTTCGTCTTAATATCGTCAGAGACCAATTGAGGATATCTGTTTTATATCGCACGATTATCAAAAGTGTGACAATAGAAAGCGTCACCAGCGAGAAAGTTGTCATTCTTTTTCCATATAACCACCGTTCCACGTCTATAAATTTGCCGGACTTTGTTCAGATAGATAGCTGGAAGGAAGTTGATAGATTGCAAAGGGGTATTTAAAGGAAGAAAAAAGGGGACGAAGAAGCTTTTTCAAAAAAGAAAAAAATAAAGAAATCTGAATACCAAATGAGTGCTGGAAAGAGGCTCCATAAATAACATGCCTCCCACGGTCGATGATATGATCCCGTTTGGGCCCAGGCAACAAACTGCACCAAGATCACCAGACGGTAAAGGTCAGCCACGCTAACTCAGTCAAAAAAAATGGATACTCAAACCCAGAGACCAAGCAGATACATTCCACATTCCGGATTGAGTGCGACTGAGTCTGCGGGCCTGCCGTGATACGCTCAGGGATTCCCCGCAAAAGAAAATTAAAATTAAAAACTATTATTATTATTTATTTATTTTAGAGACAAAAAGCCTCTTTAGTTCATAGGCTGGCAGGTATTGACAGCAGCCCCATGATCGGGACTGACCTCAGCTTTAGACTGGGCGGGTCGGGGCCAGGCTGTGTTTTTCGGTATGAAGATTCGTACATCTGCCACCCCCTAGCTCCACTGCTCCTCTTGGTGGAGTTTGAACCACACGAGACGACTCACAACATCGCGCGGGGGCAAACCGACCGGTTTTTCAAACCAAATTATCGGCGCTTGGAGAGGGAAAGAAAAGAGCAGGTCGTACCGTCTAGTGGATTGACCCAGTCGCTAGGCACGATCTAGGCACATCGACCGTGTTAGCTTCGAGGAATCGTCAAGCTCGCGTATCCTAGGTCCGTGCACATGACCCCTCGTGAACCTGGGTGTGCCTCAGGGATCTTTCGATCGTTGGGGAAATATCTCTCGAGACCGACCATGCACCCCGACGGATAGCATCGGAGGGTATACATCGCCTCGGCAGCCTCGTAACCTTCAGCTAGGGATGGTATGATGACCAGGTGATTCATCGCGGGAGGAGAACCGACATCAGCAATAATGTACGTACACCTCCGCTCAAACTCGGGGGTGGAGGCAATGTTTGACTCGGCTCCAGTTCTCTTGACCAAGCACAGAGTTCTTGTTCTAACACGCCCAATCCGACTGGTCAGGGACCTCGATCCAGTTCAGGCGTACATACATCACACCGTCACCGGCCTAGCACGGTAGGGACAAGACTAGGCCTGACGTATCAGAACTTCAAGGTACATAGCCCCTCAAGCGTGTGTGGGGGGGGGTATCCCTCCAGCGGGACCAGTGTCCTTTCTTCCGCGGCCCCGGTCCTAGTCCTGGTCCTGGTCCTGGTCCTAGTTTTGGTTCCAGCCCTGGCTTACCGGCATGGCTGTTTCGCCCCATCTTGGCTCTCGCTGGACCGTCTTGCCAGCTGGGGTACTCATACCCCTGGTCGGATATAGGGCAGAAGTGCAGGGAGAATTACAGTATGTACCAAAAAAGCCACACCCTTCACACCCTGCTTACCCCATTTCTTATTGCATTTGCAGCAAAATCTGGACAAACGATCACCAGGTCCAGATCTGCGCCCCAATGAAGGACCCCCGTTTGTGCTATGTTCCACCGTCCCCACAGTGACTCCACCAGGTCCATCTGGGGTTCCCGCTGCAACCGCTCTCTGCCTCTCGCGCTTTGCGCGCTTGCCGCAATCTTTAAGACGGGCTGGATAAGTTCACCGCAAGGGATAATTGAATTTTGCCTTTTTTTCAATTTGTTTCTACGTTTTTTCTTTCTTCTCATTTCCTATTCAATTTTAGTTTCTGGTATTTCTGTTGGGGGCGGTTCTATGACTTTCTACATATCCAGGGTGGCGGCGTCATAGCTCCATTTTGAAGCTGCCCGAATGGATCTCTCTTTTCTTTTTCCCAGAACGGTGTGGTACCCTGGCGAAAACTCTCTTCGCTGCTAATGTTTGCTTTTTCTTGCCGTTGCAATTCCTTTCCCTCGCATTGGCCCTTCGACGAGACACAAACAACAGGGAAAAATGAGGTCATATCGATGCACGTGTATGCTCTCGACATGATCTGCTTTTTCTTGCTCATCTCTATCATATCGGATTGATTCCTGTGGAATTGAGAGCCTCGTTGATATTCAAGGCTGGAGCCTGTATAAACAGCACGTCCTACCCAAGCAGTGCAATGAGCGCACAATGACTCGGAGCATGCTATGAGGGGTCGGCTGTAAAACCTTAAAAGTATTTTGAACCCAATTTGATTATCGATGAAACTTGAAGCTTTCAAGTTAAGGTCGCAATGAAAGATTGATGTGGAGGCTGATGCATGTCACCTCCATCAGAGAGACTCAATTCTCGCCGCCACACGCCACAGGAACACACATTCGATGCCCCCCCACAAGAAAACGCACAGACAGTATGTCATCAATCTGACCTGTTAAATCTCCTGAATCCATTTCTGCCCGCCGCACGTTTGGGCTCAGCTGAAAAGGCAGTTCGTATCGACTGAGTGTTTTCAGTCGTTGGGAGTATGTCGAATCCAGGCATCATCCCCATGGATCAGCACGAGGGCCGTGCTTCAATGCTTTGCATTAGTCCCTCTAGTAGGCATATCACTGGAGACGTCGGAAAAGTATATTTGTAATGAATTGTCCTTCTGTGGCTGGGATATAAGGGCTAATCTAACGTCTGGGATTGGTTTCCGGGAGTGATAACCTTGGATTCTGATGGTATTCTATAGTCCCATATACACAGTAGCTATAATGGATTCCAATTGAGGCATCAGCAGATACAAGATTATTGTCTTGAAGTCTAGGATAGATGTCATTGAACCATCATTTCTATTTATCCGAATCTTCAAGGGTTTCACGCAAGGATGCACAAAACAACTTGTATGTATAGTAGCTTTCAAAAGTCGACTAGACAAAGTACTAGTACATCTGTGGCAAGAAAATTGTCTTGTGTGTCATTTATGTATTTTATATTATTCACTTTATTATTTTAAGTCATTATTTCCATCTACCTAGCCTAGAATGAAGTCTTATTCCGATCCACGTCATTTTGGACCCGGTCCCTGTCGACATCTGGCCATCGTTACACATAACCCAAAGCTATGAAGTATAGGTATCTCGTGACCTCCTACCCCAGATGGCTTGAAAATAACACTTGAAGAGGACGATACTATTTTTGCTACAACCAGCCTTTCTGGATTGACATGCAGCCCTAAATAGAATACCATGCTTTGCCAACTGTTCTCTTCAACTTATTACCTCATAGCAACTGCTGCTGCAAGCCTATACGGCGACCATGTCAACGACCATAATAATCACATAAGCACCTATGTAAATGCAGTGTACTACTTAAAGAAAAGAGACACACGAAGAAGTGATAGGGAGATGGTTGCGGGAAGGTGAGGCTAAATTAGGATCGGAGATGAGGTGATTTGTCCACCCACAATATGGACAATCTATTATGAAAGATGTGGCTGTTGATATGAGCATTTTCATCATAATAAATTCATCGAATTCCAAGGTTGCTTGAGCTGGCACCATCAAGGCCGCATGGAAAGACAACCAGTAGGTTCCAAGGTGGAGAAGTCTGATACTCTTCAAGTTCTATTTTCATGACACAGGTGTTCTAGTTCTTGCCCTCTCGTGAGATGCACACCTACGTATTAATTCCCGAGGCGAGATCGCTTGGTAGATATATAGGTAAATTTGATTTTGCGTGAAGTTTTCTAGTTTGAAAATCTTTCCCATGATCGTAGGATACCATCCTGTTCCTCGAGAGTAAAGATATCTCTCCTTTTCTCATTGCGGCCATCTCGGAGCCGTGCATCCAAAATTGCCTTGTCACTTTGATAGTTCTAGTGATTCCGTGAAGTGGGTAAGCCACTAATCCGATTCCAGCTGCGACGAAAAGGATCAATCAGTTTGTAATTATTTAAATAGCATACAGCACACAGCACTTCTTACCTGAAGGCACTTTTGTTGCAAGTCCGATGGTTCCTTTGGCGAAACCCTTAATGGCCCCCAAAGCTCCCTCCTCCTTCACGCCCTTGATAGGCTTCATAATTAACCCTGATAGACCTTCGCTCATCCCATCCACAAAGTTTCTACAGCCGAATATTGCACCACTTTTCCAATCATCCAGGCTGATACTCCTTTGGATTTTCTCCAGAACGTACCGATGTGGAATGACCATTCCTGTGGTTTTGGGATTAGAGCTGGCGACCAGCAATATGTGAAAGGCACTTTCAAGGTTTCCGCTAGGCTAGGACCTTCCATATTAGGAACGGGGCCTAAATTAATAGAGGCTCGCCATCGGTTGATTAAATTTCTTAGCCTAAGTCACCAGATGTATTAGTTATCACCAGGCTCCGCTTCCCGGACAAGCACAAAAAAGACAACTCAACATACCCTTGCCAAGTGAGCCACTCCACTACTCCATATGAAACTCAATTAGCTGTGTTAGCATTCATAGATGTTGAGTTGAGGTTAGCTAGAGGATGTGGAACCGCTCTAGTGCTTGTCCAAGGCATAATAAACATCAGGTGAACAGGGATACCTAGTGCTTGAGCACAGTGAATATGTGCAAAGCTAGGTGGGTTAGCGATGATAGCATCAGCCAAAAAAGGCTCATTTGTCACCGGATCATCTTCTATACATGACTTCCAACAGCCATCGAGCATTTTTGCAATCATGACTTGCTTCTTCTTCTTCTTCTTCACCTCGCCGTCACGTAGTGTCTGCATTTGAGGGATTAGGCCTGGGTTCTTCACCATATATGCCATCAGCTCCGCCAGATCACCCTGAATTCCAAATCAGATTCACGGACAAAATCCGCAAAGGTATCATGAGTCGCGATGCGAACCCTGTGACCATATCGCTTCAATGCTACGCCTAGCGCGATGAAAAGTTGCACATCCCCGCGACTGCCCACTATCTGGACTACGATGTTGAGTCTGAAGGGACATTCAACGTCATCATCCTCACTTTTCTCCGTCTCATCGTAATCGTTAGGTGGATTTTGTAAATCCTCTTGTTGGGACTCAATGATTTGAGCGAGAGTTTGGGCGATTTTGGATTCAAGGTTGATATTCACGCAACCGTCAGCTATGCACCGAATATTTTAGTTTTGTTCTCACAAATCTACCATGTATCAGAAGAGAGATAAATATTACCCTCAACAATACTTGAATCTAGGGTCAAGTCGTTGTCCGCACAGAGCGAATAGGGTGGAGGAAAATGGCCCTGACCCGACGGCTCTTGTGGATCAGCCATTCTGCGACTCGGATATTTGAAAGCAACTTCGTTTCCTAGCTCCATCAAATCTGGGATACTGGCGAAGCGAGGAGAAAAATCTCATTCAAATACCGGGAAAATCAAATGTGATGTAGGAATAGGAAGGTTATCTGATTAGCCAGCAAAACCGCCCCGATGAACAAGGTTTGGCAGGATCAATAGTGGCCGTATTCGTACCATTTACCCGAACTGGAACGCGAAGGAATGAATAGTGGAACCTCGATTCACCACAGCGTGGCAAAGAGGGGACAAAACTAGGCTTGTGCATGAAAATCCATAATTATTTACATAGAACGGAGTAAACCTCGGGTTTCTGTCATACGATACCCGCCATTGAGCGAAGGTCTTCATACAATTAGCAGCAGATGCTAATATGGAGGTGCTGAGGTCATTTCTGCTATTGATGAAATAGCATACAGACATTATATTATTCAATGGGCAGTATTAGGATTTGGAGTAAATGCTTTGAAACCTGAAAGGGCACAAATGGCAGATTAGATCACGACGGGGAATGATCCACCCACCGTAGACCCTGAAATGGTACGGTGTTGATGTAACTGGAACGATACTTTAATACAAATAATCCAATAAGGGTCTAAATGGTGGGGGAATTTGCAAAGTTGCCTCATTATGGAGTACTGCTATTCAAAACATATGAAATGTTTTGAATACTGTTTTTCAGGCATGCCAAGCGGTCTGTATGTGGGTATTGAATAGATTCGATCGACCCAGCTAGACAACGGGGTTATTCGTCGCCTTAGCCTGTGTAGCAGCTGGGATCCCAGGCTTATAATGTGGATGTAGAAAAAACGGACCAAGAAGAACAACAAGCATGCTGGAGCTCTATTGTTAATTCCTCTCGCCAATTCTGGCTCGCCGGATGAGACTACCAGAACTTATACCCTCGTAGGCCAGGAAGATTGAACATTTCTCCTTTGTTTTTGATAAAAAGTCCCATCATTACGTGCGTTTGTATCATATTCTAGCTGCACTGCGTGATGAACCACTTGATGGGGTCAGTACACTTTGGTTGAGTGTGGCCTGGCACCCTAGTGGCCTCGCAATGCATAGTCTGTCTCTGCGCCCCGCTTTCGTATTCGGATTGATAGTACTCCACAGTCCGTTTCCCCTTTTTGACTGGCATAGAAAAATTTCAGCCTAATAACTTTATTTACCGTACAATTATTTATAATTTCATCGATAAATTCCATCTTTTTCACGCCTTCTAAATCTTTAAGCCGCGAAATACGATGGCTTCTAAAGCCACATCCAATTCGGGTCGCCGCAATAACCAAAGCTCTTTAATACTACCTCTCTCCCACAAAAATGGTACATATATCGAGCTCAGCGAATTATCAGAGCCTGGCACGCCGATTCCCGATAAAGACCCGTGTATTTCGCACGAAAAGTTTCATTCATGGCTGTACTTTCCAAATACACTGTGGACGCGCACCTTTTTGATAACAGTGATTCTTGAGACTATTGTCGCTGTCGCGATTGAAACGTTAATCATCCAATTAAGATCGAACTCAGCTTCACGGGCTGACCATTTTCAGGTGGATCTTTATCAGCATCTCCGATCGCATTCCACAGGATGGCAAAATTGACGCATCATCACCTCTCCAATCATTCCTCGGTCTCTACATCTTTGCTCTCCTGTATGAGCTAGTTCTATCTTACGACGCATTGCGACGCCAGAACACATTTCAATTGCTGGGCCTTTGCATTTGCAATCTCGGACTCCTGACATATGGCATCCTTCAAGTATCTGAAGTGATGGATACCGTTACAAGTCTCGCAAATGATGGCGCCTTGAGTTTTGATATACTATCATTATATCAAGTCGAACTCATGCTGATTCCAATAATATTGGGTGCAGCTACAATCATCATGACATTTGTGACATGGAAGCTATTTGCGGAGTTTTCATGGCAGATTTATAAGAATATCAGTGCCGATTTGAAGATGAATCGGCGCTACCATGTTTATCAGGTTTGGGCGCTTTTGAACCCTGCTTTGATAAGATATCCTTGACTGATACTTGATAGATCTTCATCGCTCTACTCAAGTTTGACTTCTTCTTCATCTTTGGTAGTCAATTGCAATTTCTCCTCGCATTGGAGCATATGGGCGACGAATTTATTATAAACGCAGCTCTAGTCCCTATCGCAATCGTGGGGCTGTGTTTAGCTGCGCACTTCTGTCAAAAGGAGAAAGCCAAATCCATGATTATCCCCGTGGTGAGTCATATTACTTCAGTGCTAGTTCGTCATCTGATTTTTTGATAGATTTGCCTCTGCGGTATCATTGCCGGTATAGCTGAAACTTTAAAGACGATGTATCGCTCCGAAGGCAATGATGACTTAAGCTCTTATCGAGTGTCATTATTCTTCTTTGCTTCTATAGCGATTTTTTTGATTGCATGCACACTTGTCAACTTGCTTCTTTGTGTTTTCAGTTTTGACAAAGGGCTGAAGGATCATATTGATCAGTCTAGAGGGAAAAGGACAGCCGTGGAATCAGAAAATACGGAAGCGCAGGGATCAAAGTTGCGATTTGAATTGAATTAGACCTATCAAAATCCTTATCAAGAAACTTCAAAGGTTGAATTGTCGTTGAAGGGCCACCTGGGCAACATTGGAACTTGAAGGTTCCTCACCTCCTTCCACTCCTCATCTCACTGAATACTCCACTTCACCACCACCCCTACTTCAACACGTTAACCCATCCATGCTTACACAGGTCGACGCGATACTTGAGCACTCCAAATATTTGTATGTACCCCAAAGCAGAAGTCTACTGTCAGCCAAGCCCGCCCCACACGCCAAAATGACTAATTCCCCGGGACCGTTCCCCATCCCCCACTCCAGGACTGTAACCTGGGCAAATTCTGAAATTGATCTTCTGCAGGTAATTAGACGTCGCAACAACAGCGAATAGATCACCAGTTTCGGCACAATGGCTACCACAGTGCTCACCCAGAGTCCGATTTTGCCCATGGAGGTAGATGACTCACGCCAAGCGTCCACACTCCGATTATCATCCCAGATTTCGCGGGATTCACGGACTCATCGTCTTTTTGCCCATGAAAATGACCCCGGTGACGGTAGCTCTGCGAATCAAAATTTGCAATTATCGAGGGCTCGGGCTGTTATTCTCATTGCCACGCTTACGGGCATCACGTTTGTGGGTAGTATGAGTGGGGGCCTTTTGACTGTCGGTCTGCCCTCAATCGCGACGGATTTGGGGCTTCCAGACAATCTGCTGCTGTGGTAAGTTATCATCGACAAGCTTAACTCAAAAATTAACACATGACTAACAATGACTTGGAATTTGAAGGCCTGTTTCCGTCTATTCGTACGTATCTCATATTCAACTCACGACCGTGACAATCTCACTGATCTGAATTATAGTCTTTCCAATGGATGCTGTCTTCTATTGTCAGGCTCACTTGCCGACTTTATTGGAAACAGACCCATCAACCTGATCGGTTGTTTCCTGATGGGTGTCTTCATCCTGGCCTGCAGTGTCGCCAAAACCGGTATCCAGCTGATCTTATTTCGCACCTTCCAAGGCGTTGGAACATCCATGTGTCTACCAACGGCGTTCAGTATTTTGACGGATATGATGCCTATCGGAAAAAGACGCAATATCGGTTTTGCCTGCATAGGACTTGGGCAGCCCCTCGGCTTTTCCGTTGGTCTCGTTTTTGGAGGCGTATTTCAAGCATCGGCGAACTTGGGCTGGCGATTCGGATACTATCTCTGCGCCGGTGCATCCTTCATACTGATGGCAGTCAACTATTTCAAGCTTCCCAAGGATAAACCGAGAGAGCCTATCACATTCTATCGCCTCCGCACAGAGATTGACTGGATCGGTATCATTCTATCGAGCTCCTGTCTAGGAATCATCTCCTACGTTTTCTCGTCAGTTTTCTCATCCAAATTCGATCTCAAAATCAGACACTGACTTGTTATCTAGTGCAATTACCGATGAACCGTCGAACATTCGTCACCCAGACAATCTTGCACTTCTCTGCATCTCGGGTGCCATGATTCCCGCGTTTTGGTACTGGATGAGATGGAGAGAGCAGTCCGGAAAGTCGGCACTGATTCCGAACTCGCTATGGAAAAACACTGCATTTGCTTCCATCTGCGTCATGGTTCTATTCTCCTGGGCTGTCTTGAATGGCATGGAAACAATACTGAGTCTTTTGTAAGATTTCAATCGCCATGAAATTGAATAATACTAATCGATCGAAAAGCTTCCAAGAAGTCCAGAATTTATCTGCGTTCGAAGCCGCTATCCGTTTCATGCCCAACGTCATAATCGGTATTGTTCTCAATCTTGCGACCGGGCTTCTCGTGCATCGCCTTCGCGCAAATTGGCTTGTCTTGGTGACAACAGTTTTGAGTGCCGGATCGCCTTTGTTGCTGGCCATAATTGATCCAAAGTGGTCATGGTGGTACTGTGCTTTCTGGGCAGTTCTTCTGGCCCCTCTGTCAGCTGATGGTAAGAGAAGCAGTTTTCTCGGTGGTTTGAGGTTGCTAATGGAGTTTTCCCAGTGATTTTCACGGTCGCCAATCTTATTATCGCGGACTCTTTCAGCCCCAAAACGCAGGGACTTGCAGGCGCCGTCTTCAACACTATTGCGCAATTCGGTACCTCTATTGGACTGACTATTTTCGCCATAATCTCAGCTGGTGTCACACAAGGATCACCCTACACCAACAAGAACTCTCCTGACGCCCTTATGGTTGGATACAGAGCTGTTTTCTGGACCTGCTTCGGCTTGATGGTTGCTGCGTCTGTGATCGGGGCTTGGGGTTTGCGCAAGGCCGGAAAAGTCGGTTTGAAGAAGGATTAAAATAGCCCATTGACAGTCCACACTTGAATTTGTTAAACTGTGAGTAATTTCTTTGGAATTTACCTAGGTACGACATGATTTAGAAATAAAGATTCAGTCTCCATGCCATTGAAGCTACATTGATCTCAAACCACCTAAAGACTCGGTTTTGTATTACCGATCACTCTACCACTTCACCGAATCTTGGAAGATATTTATCTAGTTTCTGTGGAAGGTCGAATAACCAGAATGATGGACAAAAGATTTAGAATCAATTTTACTCGATCGCCAACCTTGGCAATCAGGGCTAGCATCAGATGTAGGCCCCATTAAGTGGACTTGGTTTATGCATTAAATTAAGACGGTGTGTAGACGGTGTGATCCATGAATATCGCTGGGGGTAAGAAAAAGAAAAGAACACTTTTGAGCCTGGGAGCCAAAGCGGAAACCAGCTTGGGCAGGCAGATAAGGGTCGTAAGATCGTGTCGTAGTATGTGTCGTCAACTTAGCCACAAATGATAGAGGCCTTCTCCGCGTGGCTTCGAGCCGTCTCGATTCTAGAGAGGCGTCCAGTAGCAGTTGACTGTACGGGCTCAAGTTGATTTGAACCTTCGCCGCTTTCCTCCCTCTCCATTTCTAGCTTCTCAGCCTCCTTGATACGCTTGAGCTCCTGGCAGAACTTGCTGTTGTTTCTGATGCGGTCGCCATAACGGATGAAGGCAAACGGAATGATGGAGACACCCAGACTGAGGAAGGCAATGAGACTGCAGGCCCAGTTGACACCAAGTCGATCGAACATTGGCTTCGCGGCGAGTGGCAAGACAGCACCAAATATGCTTCGGGTACAGCTAGCAGCCGATTGGGCGCTGGCAGACAGAGTCTCGTATGCATCGGTGAGATAGTTGAGCATGGCCATGAAGATCAAAAGATAGCCCGCGCCAAATGGAATGCCCGAAAGGAATGGTACCACCCAGTGGATATTTGGCGAGGCCGTCCATCCTACCCAAAAGAGGGAGATCACGTAAAGTGGACCTCCAATACAAGCAAGAGGGAGTCTTCGATATTCTTCGATAAATGCCCATTCGGCATTGCGCGCTTTAGCGCGGGCTAGGTAGCCATCATACCACAGGAAAACAACGCAAGCAAGTGCTGCACCGATTCCGACTAGAAGATATGCGTCAGCACAAGTGACCCAAGTACGCAAGTATTCGCTCGATTTGTACTCACTGGGTAGAAACATTAGGCCTGAAACACCGGCATTCATTCCATAGATTCCTTGGGGCTTGATTAGTATATCAATGATGCCTAGGTAAGCAATGTGAATCCGATATTACTCACCTTGGAAGATGATGGGATATGCCTCGAAATAGAGATAGAAGATCGCATATGCAAGTGCAAGGTACAAGGACGTCAATGAGACAATCGACTCGTGGATGATCATGCGGAAAGGTCGGGAGATCGTGGTAATGAATTTCACGCGGATGTTTCGACTTTCCAGTTCCAAAGGTGATATGATGGTGGAGTTTCCGGTATCTTTCCTCAGCTTCCGGGCACGGTTCTTCAAGACGACAGGACCGTAGGTCTCTGGCATGAAGATCACCAAGGGCATTGATACGCCGGTACAAATCAAACCAATCCAGAAGCACCATCTCCAGCTGACAACAGCGACGAATCCGGAAATCCATGGTCCCATAATAGGCCCGCATGTTGTGCATGCCATGAAATAAGCCATCAGGCGGCCTCGTCGAGTGGGATCATCGTGAACATCGGCAAAGAGTCCACCGACAGTAGCAATCGGTGCTGAAGCCATCATACCATTCAAAAGTCGAAATACCAGTAAAGATGCGTATGAGTCGGCCACGGCGCACGCTAGGGTGAAGATTGCGAACCCACAATACGCAACTAGCAATGGCTTCTTGCGTCCAAAGTACTCCGAGCTAGGACCCCATAATAAGGGACCCAGGATATAGCCCACCAGGAAGATAGATATTGGCAGGACAAGGGCTTGCTGGTTCTTGATATTGAATTCTTCTGCAATCTGAGGGATGGCGTTGGAGCAGATGCTGGACCCAATGGTGCTGTTCATGACCTGCATGACACCCGATCCTAGGACTAGGAACTTCCTTGTCTGTAATGCGTTAATATGGCACAAGACCTCCAGTATGTCCACATTACCTTGCGCCAGTTCACTGGATTCTCTGGATCGTTTGGACCAAATGAGACGACTGTCTTCGAGGCTACCCGGCGAAAACGAGAATATGACGGATTGTCATATCGCTCCTGGATGGGCTCATGGGTCACTTCTGATTCTTGATCTGAGGAATCACGATGGGAATCATGTGAGTCATGAGGCGAGACAGCTACTCCCTCTGTGGATTTTCAGGTTAGAGTCAAGAAAAGGTAAACATTGTGTCAAGTCGTACCTGTAGCGGACATGACCTTTTGGAGGTTCTCCTCCGTGGGGAAATGGTTCGACATTATGAACAAACTGGGTCACCCATTCAAGCACCAAGCAATCGATTGATGACGATCAAAAAAGGTGGGATGGCGGCTTTTAAAGGGCATTGTAACATCGAAAATTCAGGAAAGCGATTCCGGCTCCACTTTCGCAGGGTCCCGAATCCACTCTATAATTGCGGAGGAGTAGACAAATGAAAATTGTATGTTTTTGTGGTTCGAGCTCCACCCCCATCTGCCACATTTGGCATTTTCTACACCCTAGGGCGTGACAAGATATCTGCAGGTGATAATTTTCAGTGCTATAGCAATTAATTCTTGCCCAATAAATTCTAATTAGGTATTCGGACGTGTTGATCAAAGATACGACCAGGATTGTCTCGGTTAGGACGGCTTCTAAGAAACTCTGGTTTACGGGGCAGGACCCAAGATTTGAAAGATTTTCAGGTGGCAATCTTCAGTCTAGTACTTGAATCGCCTAGTTAACTTTCACAGGAGATGTCCCGTGAAGCTCCAATTAGCCACTGACCTGAGAATCTATAATTATCGTGACATGGCGAAAGAAAATCCTTCAGTTTGTACAAACAGGAACGGTATAGAGATACCTCGACCGCATGCATCCTGGTCTTTGGGCAGTCAGTTCTCCAACAACAAGGAGGGGTCAATGCCATGCAGATCAACCCAAAGACCTAGTTTGGCTATGTACCGAGGGATTGCGCTGGATTGCTTTCAAGGATCAACGCTCCAGATCGGTCTGGAGGTTGAGCAACATGTTCTCATGATCAAAGGCATCTACCACGCTCCCTCGACCCAATCCCTACCAAAGTCTTAGCAGCCACAGGCCCTTGGCGCGGGGAAGGGCCTGTGGAGGGCCACCAAAGCCTGACTACCGAGGTGGTGGGTTTGACTCATTCCATCGGGACCCTTGGCCGACTGCGACTCCACCTGTCAATATCAAGCCGGCGTTGGAAATGTTGGCCGGTTCTCATCACGAACGAAATCTGCTGATATCTCTCACCCTCCTGTGTTTGTTCGTGATCGAGGACGGCGAATTTGAGGTCTTGATGTTTGTTTTCGTCTGAAATTTCCTGTGTCAGGGGGCGTCAAATTCCCGACGTCGAACCGGATGCGTCCCGAATTGTGGTCGGACTTCTGTCCGATTCACGCTGACCGCCCGCGAACAGACTTCGAGAAGGCTTTGAGGGAAGAACATTAAAACGCTCGGCTTGGGGAAGGATTTTTGACTGTATCCAACCTGAGATTTCAAAGTATGACGATTTTGGAGGGCGCGAGAAGTTTCCAGGTACGATGCAGATGGCTAACTGAACATCGTCGCCTTTCGGCGAAATTGAATGGATCACGTGATATCGCATCAACTTGGACAAAACAGCAGCACAACAAACTATTGTCGGGTGTAGAATATCTGGAGATCAATAGCAAGATTTCTGCTAATATCCTATACGAACTGAAAGAAATATGAGTGTTTGGCTCAACCGCTCCGACCACGATAGACGGCTTATGCAGCTGGCAGCAAGACCCAACAAGTCTATCAAGCCACTGTGATTCCCGGGTAGCTTGATTGGGTCTGAACCAACGTGATATGACAATATTATGAGTACCGTAGCGTTCTAGACGCTTTGACTTAACGGTTCACTGATGGGATTGGATCACTCACGTCTATTGGTTTGACAAAACTTTTATTTGTACGGATCTTCAATGCTTTCAAAGGTAGTATGAACCAGATAGTATACAAAAAGGCTGACGCTAAGAACAAGCCCTTCGGACGATACAACTTCAGCGTTGATCATCCGTAGTATAGCTGTGGGAACATACGGAGTAACTAGTACCTATCTCAGAACAGGATGCAGGTCTTGAACACATACTAGCAGGCATGATGACGTCGATGTGCAGATCACAAACATTGTAGTAAAATCGATAAAGTGAGAAACAATGGAAGTAACGGGGAATTTTTTTAATCTCCAGGGTTTTATTTCTGAATCTCAATTCCATTTAAAAGCCACAACGGCAGGAAGCTGTTTGATATTCTTGCCGTGGTTGTGGGCTGTGCTATGTGTGACTTGCCGCCAGGGGCGCTAGTTACGCGTCAGTTGCGTGGAGCCCTGCACCACTTGGCAGCCTTTTGCCTTGACTGAGCCAGATTGTCAAGGTCAGTCTGACACAAGACAATTAAATGTCCCAAAATATTTCCACCCTCTCCACCCAATGCCGGAATGGTGGACTTAGACAGGATTATTTACTAGTATTACTAGTGATAGAGTGCGGCGAGAAGACTGATCGCACGTAAGCGTTTCTTTCTCGGTAGAGATAGTATACTCTAGTACTAGTGATACTCTAAAAATAAGATTAAACTACATCAGGATGCCCTTGGCGATTCAGAGACACCTGGGCATGACATAAATTCGAGAAAGCTTTCAATGTTAGAATATAAAATCCTGAAAGTGGGGTTCTTGGCGCAGACCGGTTACGCGGCGCAACGGACATACCGTGACAATGCCGTTGGCAAGCAGATGCGATGGACCAGTAATTTTTCTGGAATCCATTGAGCAGTGTGATACCTAGCTAGTACTAGTAGGTACTTTCCCTACGTTGAATTTTCTGTTTGATCCCTCAACCCAAATTTTGACATACCATTTTGTGATAAGATTATCATCGTGCAGTCCCTTTTTCTTTTTCTTTCTGTTCCTGAATTTTCCTCTGATATACTAGAGAGAGCCCGCCGGAAATAGGATTCGATCTCTTCTCCACAAAAAAATGTCTGCTGGTGACTACAGTCGCTATGGACATGCAACTTCCCAATTTCCTTCATTCGATGATCCAAGTGGCACACCATATGGCTACCCAACGCAGGCACCACCCCGCTATTCAGAGGTCGTCGCAAGACCTCCAATCGAGAGACCCTGGTATGACGTTCGTGGCTGGTCACTGCGAAGAAAGTTGATTGTAGCAGCTTGCGTTGTGGTCATCATAATAGCAGTGACTGTGGGGGCCGTTGAGGGTACCAAGGCAGCAGCATATCCGAACTACTCACAATTAAATTATACGCTCAAGGATACCTTTTCTGGGTCATCTTTCTTCGACAACTTTGAATATTATTCTACCACCGATCCCACTAATGGGTTTGTCCAATATGTCAACTCGCAAACTGCATCACAAATGAACTTGACATACGCCTCTGAATCATCTGCTGTGATCAGGGTTGATACGAGCACACAAAATCAGACGAACGGCCGCAGCTCTGTTCGTATCACATCCACCAACACATATGACAGTGGTTTATTCATCTTTGACGTCGCCCATACACCGTATGGCTGTGCAACGTGGCCAGCCCTGTGGCTTACAGACCCAAGTAATTGGCCAGCGCACGGAGAAATCGATGTGATGGAATCAAACAACAACGGTACGAACGGCAATGAAATGACATTACATACAACTAGCGGATGCAAGATGAACGTCCGAAGAAAAGAAACGGGAACTGCGAAGTACACCAATTGTCTGAATACTGCAAATGACAACGCAGGTTGTGGTGTTGAAGGGAAAACGGCGACTTACGGTGAAACTTTCAATGATAATGGCGGAGGGGTGAGTTGATTGTGACTCCTAATATTCTATAGTCCTATCCGGCATTACTAATAAAGTTTGATTAGGTCTACGCAATGGAGCTGCGCGACGCCGGCATTCGCATGTGGATGTTCTCGCGCGACGACATCCCATCCGACATTTCCAACACCACTAGTACTCCAGATCCATCTACATGGGGCGAAGCTTTGGCGGACTTTCCAAGCACAGGATGCGACATTGGTTCGCATTTCAAGAACCAAAGCATCATCGCGAATATCGACATTTGTGGTGATCTCGCCGGTGCATCGTCATATTACAAAACACTTTATCAATGCCCGGATACATGCGAAAAATACGCAGCGGAGAATGGGGCCGCCTTCGAAAATGCTTACTGGGAGTTTAAGAGCTTTAAAGTGTACACTTCCTCTTAGATGGTTTTAGTTATTATACCCAGACTCATTGTCTACCGAGAATTGTTTTTCTAAGCCAGAGTTGAGGCACCCAGCCCTTCACAAAACATAACACCACTTCTGCAATAGACCCTAGAATTCGTCCTCTGACGAGAATGAAACAAATCTTGATAATTTGGGGATGTCATTTGTCGATATGCTCAACTTCTCAGGAGCTATTATCGCCGAGTAAATACTACCTAGGTAGTACCTGTATGACGTTGTGTAAATCCCAGTTAAAACATAAAGCATGTCATACTAGTATATCAAGACGACCTTATTGTATTAACTAGTAGTGAATTAGTGTTGATAAATATTTCCGTTACTATGACCATCTCCTTGATTAGTTTAAACCAGAGAATTTCATCAAGCAAAGGAGGAAACCACGCCGGTATTGGTGTTGGAATACTCACAATGGTCGAGTGAGGCTCTTTCTTCCCCATGCTCTTTCATGTACCCACACGCTCACACTCTTCGCGGCCACAGGAAAAACTCCATAGCCCCGATTGTCGATGATGACTGTTTCGAGACACCATCCCAGTATATCTGACCATTCCTCTCCTTTGTGTCGTCTCCCCACATACATCCTCTTGTATGCAGCAGTGGTGTTGCTGATGACGCAAGCAAGACCGTAAGGATACATCACATTTCCATATCGCACGAACCCTAGGGAATATTGAGAATGTGGCCAAGTAATTATCCTTGTAGACTTACCTATACAATTTCTTTTGTCGAAGTAATCCCGCTGCTCGCCATAAGCATATAACTTCCTCGCGCGCATCAATATTGGAAGCCTTTCCTTGCAAGATCGACACTTCAAAGGATTTGGTCCACCTTGGAGTCCGTATAGATCACCATAAAAGACACAAGGTTGGCCTTGACTTCGCAGAAGGATTAATGCGTAGGCGATTGGTTTGAAAAATGGCACGACTGTTGTCTAGTGCTTCTATCAGTACAAACAGAGCTTCAGAAGGGGGTTCCATATCATATCTATATGCCAGTAACATACCTCTAATGACTGGCCGGGTTGCTTTGAGAGGTCAGGACATGTTAAGCTAGAACCAATAGATAACAACTTACAGTATCATGGTTTCCCACAAATGTCTGACAGTGACACCCGAGATCAGCAAAAGAAAATTTTCCGTACCCGATTGCATAGTATTCTTACCACGGCGTGGCCAGGGCTATGTTCCACCAATGTGCCTTTGAATATCTTTCGGAGGTCACCACCGGCTGTTTGAGACGTTTCTGAAATTTGCCCCAATAGTGGCACATCAAATAGCGAGACACGACCTTCCATTATTTTGAGATAATTCAAAAGATACTCCACCTCTCCTCGCCAGTACTCGCCAACTAGTAGATAATTTTCTCCCACCGTCTTTCGCAGGTGGTCCACGAAGTCTCTCTGAAATGCAGCAGAGTAATGCTTGGCTGCGTCTATTCGCATCCCGCTGAGAGCGAACTCGGTTCCAATCCATTCCGCCCAATTAAAGAGGTCGGCACGCACCTCGGGGTGACTTTGGTCCAGATTTGCAAACATCAAATAATCATAATTACCGTGTTCGTTGCTGACATCCTGAGACCACTTCCCCTGGGGGTCGGCAACCTTGTATATGGCATTTTCTTTTCGAGATTCATCCCAGTCCACGCCATTAAAATGTCGGTAATGGTATTTCATAGAGCTGTACTTTCCCTTGCGACCTGGAAAGTCGAATCCAACCCAAGCCGAAATTTCTTCTGGTTCTGAGATCACAGTATTTCTGTCTGCATTATGTCAATTCTTTGTTAAACCATCCTGGCTCAAGACAAAGGACATACTTTCAGGGTCTACTTTCACGGCCGGAAATTTCTCGGTGAAATCGGCCCCGGCTTTATGGTTCAAGACGGTATCCCAGATAATTCCAACATCGAGATCTTGTGCAGATTGTACAAGTTCATGCAAAGTTTCTTTAGAGCCCCATCGTGTCGCCCGGGAGCCTTTCTGGTAGAACTCGCCCACGTCATAGAGATCGTAAACATCGTATCCCGTTCCGTTCGATTCCATACCTTTGCATCCCGGGGGTATCCAGATATTATCGACTCCAATGTCTTTCAGGTTTGGGAGAGCCTTTTGTAAGCGTTTCCAATGATTCTGGTCAGCTGGCACGTGCCATTCAAACCCCTGAAGCATGATAGGGTTTAACGGAAGGGTCCATTCCGGCGTCTTCTCGGAATCCTCCTTGGCTTCGAGGGACATGTAAAATTAGTACTCGGTATTATCATTCTGATCGCGTCGGTGGGAAACATCTACCTTTGATTTCCTTCCATTCCTCCGTTTTCCGCCTCGTATTTAGACAGCAGCTCAGTAGGGACGACATCTGGCCGACTACCACGTGTCTTGAGAACAACCGAATAAAATTCGTCGGCCAGGCTCGTGAACAGTGAGGGAATAAGATCAGGACATTTTTGTTTGAAACGGTCGCGATTTATTCGACGTGAGATTGCAGTTTCGAGAAGCAGGGCCGCAGAGGTGGTGGAAGTGACACGGAACCCCCTGCTGTACGATCTACCTTGACGGGTATGCAAGGATTTCTTAGTAACGGCTCAACAATTGGTCGTGATTCGAGGTGTGATTTTGGCAGAGGGAGTTGAAGGCTGGAACTTGAATTGGATCAAGATTCACCAATTTCCTATATCATGCCTACTACTACTACTACTAGTTATAGATCTATGATTTCCGATGTACTTCAAGTTTCCACGTTTGAAATCGCTAATTTTGGCCTCTCCACGAACATAGTATATAAAAGTTCCGGAGTCAGCGGAGTTCGTTATCACCAGCCACTCATGAAGGGAGCTGTGCCCAACCAGACTACAAAATCGTCAAAGCTTTAAGACAATTTTACTAAGAATGGCCCTCTCAGCGTTGGCGAACGCAACTATTGATCTACCACCGCCCGGGGGTGAACCTTTGCAATCGAGTCAATATTTGTCGTTTTGACCACTGGGTGATTCTACTTTACGCTATGGTCACGGTGCTTATTATTTTGTCACACTATTCTCCTACAGCAAGATTTGGTCCTATCTCGAAAAAAATTTAGTACAAATTGTAGCCTTTGCTACTTGCAGGTTATATTCTTAGACCAGTATACAGACTAGCCAATCCTGCGTTCCGAGACCTCTTATGGCCAATCACAGGGCTCAGAGAAGGGCTCTGATTTGTGGAAACGACCCTTTCCAAGGTTGGTGGCCCCGAAAAATCGGTGGCCACCAGTTGGGCCCCATCGTTGCCGCCAGGTGTCCCACATGTGACGTCGAGCCTTTTGACCGGCTAGAGGCCGTGCCTGTCTCTGTGACTTGAGGATTAATTCTTTCAGATGGAATGCATTTATGTGGAATGTTTTATAAATAAATAGTTTGATAGATCCGGCCTGCAGCTCAAAATACTGCGAATTATCTAGATAGCCTGATAGGAGCATTTAGGGGATCTCGTCCATCAATTTTTGATCACAATCCGACAGTCTGCCTACCTACAGCAAAAATAATGCGTGCTTTTATGTTGCGCTCGGTGCGCCTCACGGAGAATCGGTGCTCACCGGCAAACATCCCGATAGAATTTTTCTACAACCAGTGACAGGGCAACGAAGGGGGAAAATTAAAGTAAATAAATTAGGATAAATTCCAATAAATTCATCCAAATGAATAATACTAGATCTGCATATGTTAATCACTACAGAGAGCAGTATACTACAATATACCCGTTGACCGGGCGATGGTGGACACAAGCCGTGCTGAGCCGATGTCTCCGGATTGGCCCGAGCCCAGCCTCCGGGACCCATCCCTGCCTTCAAATCTTTTTCTCCTTTCCTCTTCGTTCTCTACGTCTTTGAATCTCCCCTCAACCACCCCATATCCTCCACATCAACACAATGGCCGCTCCCGCTGCTGACGCGCCCAAGGGCCTTGACCTCTACTCTCGGTTCGTCTCGACTTGGCCGCTTTTATGCTGTCCTCCTCATACATCCCAGCGAGTCGGCTCCGACTAACCATCTTCGCAAAATAGCTTCGCTTTCGCTGGCGCTGTCTGCTGCTCCGTCACCCACGGTGCTGCCACTCCCCTCGATGTGTAAGTTGAAGCACTTCCGATTTACCCATCAATGGGCCAGTCGCCGCCCCAGCGAGACAAGACTGTATCGCGCGATGGAATCAACGCGATGGAATCAAGTTACTAATCGCGCATTGTTTGTTCAATATAGCGTCAAGACCCGTATCCAGCTTGACCCTGCCACCTACAACCGTGGTATGATCGGTGGTTTCCGCCAGGTCATCCAGAAGGAGGGTGCTGGCGCTCTCCTGACTGGCTTCGGTCCTACCGCCGCCGGTTACTTCCTCCAGGGTGCCTTCAAGTTCGGTGGTTACGAGTTCTTCAAGCAGCAGGCTATCACCCAGCTCGGCTACGAGACCGCTGCCAACAACCGTACCGCTGTCTACCTCGCCTCCTCCGCCTGTGCTGAGTTCATGGCCGACATTGCCCTGTGCCCTCTCGAGGCCACCCGTATCCGTCTCGTCTCCCAGCCTACCTTCGCCTCCGGCCTGCTCGGCGGCTTCAGCCGTATCGCCAAGGAGGAGGGTATCGGTGCCTTCTACTCCGGATTCGGACCCATCCTGTTCAAGCAGTAAGTTCACCATTTTACACCAATTGGTGTGATGAAAGACATGCGCTCGGCCCCCGTACATGGGTTACTAACAGGTTCTTCTACCAGGGTCCCCTACACCATGGCCAAGTTCGTCGTCTTCGAGAAGGTCTCCGAGGCCATCTACAAGTCCGTTGACAAGAGCACCCTCTCCACCGGTGGACAGACCGCTGTCAACCTTGGTTCCGGTCTGATCGCCGGTCTCGCTGCTGCCATCATCTCCCAGCCCGCCGACACCATGCTGTCCAAGATCAACAAGACTCAGGGCGCTCCCGGTGAGGGCACTGTCTCCCGCCTCATCAAGATCGCCAAGGAGCTTGGTCTCCGTGGCTCTTACTCTGGTATCGGTGCCCGTCTGTTCATGGTCGGTGGTATCACTGCCGGTCAGTTCGCCATCTACGGTGACATCAAGCGTGTCCTCGGTGCCACTGGTGGTGTTGAGATCTCCAAATAGAGATCTCGCCTTGTCTAGATGTTGGAGGATAATAGAGACTACCATTAGAACTTTTTTTTTTCGCGGCTTGTCCATCCCTCAAATACGATGTACAATACTTTGTCTCCATTTTCTTCGAAAACAAGCTCAGTTTCTTTTGTTTCAAATCTTTCTCTCGTAATCTTATATTCGTAATCACATGGAAGTATCCTTGGTCGGGAGTTACCAATATACTGAAGCCTAGTCCAGTCTGCTCTCGACTATCTCATGTCCAGATTAACCAATAGACACCCGGGCAGCTGGTTTCTACTTCGACTTTTCGTTTGAGGCCGTCTACGACTGAGAGCCATATGTGAGATTGATCACTTATATTAACGTGTTTAACAATATGCAGAAAATAAAACCCTCGAGTATAATCCGCGCGAGCTGAAGATGCTCAGAGTACATATCGGAAGTTCGGGTTCTAGGAATAGGTTAATAAAGTTCTGCTTCGAATTCTCCACCGGTATCTCACCTCGAAATCGGTCAGATCAGCCAGCTCATCGACCGCCACGCCTGCAGCTCCCTCGTTTTCAGATGCGGCATCTCTTTGTTTGTTGCGTTTGGTAAGTAGCCAGCGAAGGCAAAGCGCCAGCGCAACTTGCGATGTGGAACAAGCCAAAATCACCTTGCAGCCAGTTTGATACAGAGGAGCCTCTTTGGCGAGGAATGCATGGGGGGCCAATAATGTTTCCAGCACAGTATGCCAGAAAGACCAGGGCAACGCCAGTACTGCGCTTTGTATAGCCTCCCAGGTTTGTAGCAGGCATCTGCAGCGCCAACACTAAGGAGCAAACATAAGCCCCAATGATGTAATAACTGAATAAAATTCCAATCTTGTGGCTGTCATGATCTAGCTTCCACATCAGACAGACACCTATAATGGTTGGAAGTAGGTAGATGGCCATGACGATGGTACGCAGATTGCGAACACGAGATGCAAGGAAGGTTCCTGTCAAAATCCAAAACACTTGAAAGGCACCCTGGGGAATTCCAAGTGCAACCGTAGTCAGCGGGTCTTTAGTTAAACCTTTGATGATGAGCTTTCCGAAATTCGCGTATCCACCGTTGATCGTTTCATTCAATAAAGTGAAGAAGAACAATATCCAAACTTGAGGATCCACAAGCGCTTCTCGGATTTGATACCATTTGATATGGTGGTTGATCACGCCTGTTCGGCCAAGTCGACTGCGAGCAATCAAGAGAGCCTTCTCGTCCAATTTGAACCGCTTGGCCGATATGATGTCGTCCGGAAGAAAGAATAGCATCAGGACCCCCCCAGCAAATCGTGATTCCACCGAGGATGAGGTATATGGCTCTCCACACCGCAATTGTTTTGATTTGTCCAATTCCGAAAGTTAAGAGACTACCAATCATGGCGCCAACTCCGTTGCAACTATAAAAGACGCCAGCACGGAATGGCTGTTGGGCCCGCGTATACCACATACCGACAATCATCATAAAACACGGCGTGATAGGTGCCTCGAAAATACCGAGAAGAAAGCGGCAGATTGCCATGCCAGTGAAAGAGGAACAAGCAGCGGTGATCATAAGCATCGAGCCCCATGCCACGATATTTCCCGACACAACTTTTCCCAGCCTGGTTCTCTGGGCGAGAAGATTCCAGGGGTACTCAGCAACTAGGTAGGCGAAGTAAAAAATACTAGCTAACCAGCTGTACTCATTACTGGACATATTTGTCGATGTCAAAAGGTCGAATACTGCTGAGTAGGCTAAGGCTGACTTGTCGATGTACTGTAGTGTATAGGTACCAGCAAGAAGTGGTAAAAGAATGAGATCAACTCTGCGGACTAAGGCTTTATTCCGCGGTTCATCCTCAAGCATTTCCTGAAGGTTCTCTTGTGAGAATCCATGCTGATGGAGAAACAACTCTCCCTCGTCAAGATCGGTGACCGTGCCGACTTGTATATCCTTTTCAGGACAGTCCCCATCAAGAACAGATTGAGGCTTTTTTGAGATTTCAGTCATTGTGGATGATTCATGGGGAGTAAACGACTATAATTTACGCAGAAAAGGAGAAAGGGTATAAGAAAATTTCCCCCTTCACTGGCCCCTTTAAAGCGAAACTGGCCATTTGCGCGTTATCTCCGCCCAGAACAGCCCCAACTTTTAGCTCAAACCATCAATGCGGAGTAAGGCATGTCTTCGGATTCTCGCCGAAATCAACCAATTTGATAGTGGCCAACGTTGCCGATCCATCACGTATTTTTTCTTGAGCTGCCAATACGAGGGAAAATTCGAATTGAAACCCATGAGTTGGAAACCGTATCAAGGGCTAAATGGGTCTTCAGTAAGAGATATTGTTCTTGCGAAGACTGCCTAACGCCAATTAAAGTATGCTTTAGGCTAGGTCTTCTTCCCCGCTCGGTTAAGAATTCTCTTATCAATTGGGAAATTTTGACTATCGATCGGATGAATTTGTTTAGCAGAGTTGTCGACAACCTTAGTTGGCTCCAATGTTTGGGGTAACATGGCGTCCGTCGAACCCCAATTGCTGTGCTTCTCGGGTCAGCCTGCGTGAAGAGATAAAGGTTCCTGGTTTCACTCGGCTGACTATCAACTTGTCGTAGATGGCCCCACAAGATAAAGGAAACAACTTTCATGACTCCTCCTATCTTCGCGCCATCGCGTGATAAATCGTGTCTCCACTTCCCAAGACGGGTTCTATCTCCCCCGCACGGAGCTACTTCTACCCCCCCGGAGAGAAAAGCGCACATCCCTATATCTCACTCCTACATCTGCTCCTGTGACAGATCGGATATCACGCTAAAAAGACGAAGTGAATCATGTCGAGCGGTTCATCTGATCATCCTACCGTCACACTTGCCCAAGGCAAGGTGATTGGAACCATTCGCGAGAAGACAGCCCCTCAATCCATTGAGGCGTTCTTAGGCGTGCCCTATGCTCTCCCGCCTGTCGGAGACAGGCGATTCAAGCCTGCCGAGATAGTTCCCGCCTCTACACAAAGCATCGACGCCACCAGATTTGGACCAGCAGCTCCCGGAAAACCATTGCTGGCTGGTGGACCGAAGCTAGAGCAAAGTGAAGATTGTCTGACTGCTAATATTTTCCGACCGTCGGGGACTGGAGAAAGTGATAGTCTGCCTGTTGCTATCTATATTCATGGAGGAGCATTCAACCGGGGTGCTGCTGCGATGCACGACACTGGGTCGATGGTGGCATGGTCTGAAGAGCCATTCATCGGTGTCAGTTTCGGTTATCGTGTCGGAGCACTGGGCTTTTTACCATCAGCCTTGTCGAAGAAAGAGGGTGTTCTGAATCTCGGTCTTCGTGATCAAGTTCACCTATTCGAATGGGTGCAGGGAAACATCCAGAATTTTGGTGGTGATCCTGGAAACGTCACTCTTTTCGGTCTATCGGCCGGAGCACATTCGGTAAGACCAACACTTCTAGTTAAATGTCATTATTAATAACAAAATGTCAGATTGGACACCATTTGCTCAAGTATGATTCACGAGCCTCGCCATTATTCCATCGCGTGATTCTAGAATCCGGATCGCCGACATCCCGAGCAGTGCGTCCCTATGATGCAAAAGTCCACGAGCAACAGTTTAAAGACTACCTTCAAGAAGTTGGTTGTCCGTCAGATCTCCCTGAGTCTGATATATTCCCATTTCTACGCTCATTGCCTAGCTCAACGGTTACGAACGCGCAAACAAAGGTCTTCGATAAATACAATCCGTCGCTTAGATGGGCATTTCAACCCGTTATTGATGAAGATATTATCCCACGCAAACCGCTAGACGCTTGGAACTCTCTTCTTTGGAACAAGGTCCCAATTATGACAGGCTTTAACAGCAATGAAGGAACGTTCTATGTGGATCATAAAATGTCTAGCCCAGCACAATTCCGGAATTTCTGGCAGGGTCTACTTCCTGAGTTATCTCAAGAAGATCTTGATACAATTGACCGCCTATACCCCGACCCTAGTCTGAACCCTAGCTCGCCATACTTGGAAAAGAGAGAAGGCTACGAGCTTGGTCCACAATATAAGCGAATCGAAGCTGCGTATGGGCACTATGCTTATGTGGCGCCTGTGCGCCAGACAGCCCATTTTGCTGCATCTCAGGGGGTTCCGGCATACCTTTACAACTGGGCACTTCCAAGAACGGTGATCGGTCGTGCAAATCATGGCGACAACATGTACTACGAGACATTCAATGAGTCTATTACAGGCATATCTGAATCTCAGAAAGAGCTGTCTGGAACCTACCACGCCTATGTCACCAGCTTCATTACAAAAGGAGACCCAAATGCCATATCTGGTCGCTATGGGGAGCGCCCTAAGTGGGAGCCGTATGTGCCAGATAATCCTCGAATTTTGATTCTTGGGGAAGGAAATGAGGAGCTGATTGGAGGGCCTACTGCCCCTGCAGCCAAGTTCGTGAAAGACGAATGGGCAAGGAAGGAAACGGAATTCTGGTGGTCAAAAGTCCCGATATCGCAGCTTGCATGAAAGAAAAAGAAATTTCTTTTTCATCTCGTCAACATCTAGACCAATTGAGACGAATCCACATGATTCTATGATCTCCTTCTAGTGACAGTTCATATTCACAGCTACCCATATCATGATTTTTGGAGAATCAAATCAACCTCTGCATCCGCCATTTCTAGAATATGCTCCGCTGGATATTCAGGCCTCCATCCAATCTCATGACCGTGCTTGGCTTGTAGTGTGCATTTTCCACTCAGAAACAATGGAACCATCTCCTTTGGGCACCCAAGTGCCGCCCCCATACCTTCCAAGGCTTGGCTATCAGCTAGCTCAACCTTGTCATTCTCGATAATATTTTGTGCAGCAAGGCGCTTAGCCATCGCGGTGTAAATGCTGTTCCAAGACACGCTACCACTAGAGGCAAGATAGTATCCTTTTTTGCCATGGCCAATTTCCTTACCTGACAATATGTTCCGAATGATTTCCAGATATAACCGTGCGTTATCGCTGACATGGCTCACCGGCCAGGTCTTGTAATGTCAGCAACTTGAATTGAGCAGATGTGAAAAAGAAAAGTTAAAACCTACATAATCATCAGGGTCCGGTCGGCAAACCCTTCGAAGCTTTTTGGCCGTATTCACAATAGCGACCGTTTGAATGGATGTTTTGTTTCCAAACCCCTCACCTTTTCCGTAAACAACACATGGAATGAATATGTAACTTTTCACACCATACTCTAATGCAGTTTCGATGATTGTATTATTGGCAGTCAATGCCTTTGCAACAAATGGATACCGAGCACATGAAGTTTTCTGAAGGTGATAGAGCGCTGGATCATTGTCGGCGATCGGAGCATTTGTCGGAAAACCTGCATGGCTGCTGAATAGCTTTGCGCCAGATGTATGGAGAAAATGTACATCCTGTCCAGTTTGTTTCTTCACTTCTGACAGGGCTTTGATCATCTGTACCTGGGTTTCATAGGCTGTAGCATCAATCAAAAAGTAGATGATGGTGATTTTGTTTTCGATGATAGCCGTAGTGACGCTGGCTTCATCTTTGATATTGAATCTTATCGGTTCTGCGCCATATTGCTTGACTGCTTCACTTTGTTCGTCTGTGCGTACGAGAACGAGGAGCTTCTGGTATGCAGGGAGCTTGGTGCTGGCCCACTGCGCGAGGAGTGTTCCTCCGAGGTATCCGGATGCGCCGGTGACAAGGATATTGTGCGACATTTGGAAGCAATTCTGGATGAAATTCCTACCCCAGTTAGATCTTAATACTTAAATCAGCCCAGCGTCGCATTCGGCTCTCGTCGGAAGGCCGTCTGTGCATTCGTAATCGGATTATCTATCAAGGGAGGAATCAGCAGGCTGCGGGGCCTATGAAAGTGGAATGAAGCATGGCAAGTGTGATTGGCCAGACACGGGCGGGTCTAATTAGAGCGTTATCGATAAGGAGCAGTTTGAATCGGTAGAGCTCCAAACACCAGAGTTCGATCAATTTTGTTTGATTTATGCAATATCGGGCTTAAATGAAGCCCTGGATCTAAGCGACTATTTGATTGACATGACACCTTCCCAAATAAGGGTGTTTCTGACCACACAACCTTATCACCACCAAGAAATACAGCGCTATTTGTGATAATCAATTGCTTTGAGAACAACATCTATGAAAATGTCAAACTGTTCATGCATATTTCGAGCAACTTGAAGTATGTGATTTATTGTACATTTGCCTCAGCATCGTCATGAAAAATGGTTGTTCCCCAATTTGGCCGATTGAATCTTTTACCTCCTAGAGAAGTAACAAGCTCGTCAACCTTAGCTGTTTCGTTGTCATCCATAACGAAACATTGCTGAAGGTTTTGGGCAATTCTTGAAGGATTGACACTCTTTGGAATAACACTCCAACCCTTCTTTACTCCCCAACTCAGCAACACGTTGCCCGAGCTACATCCCCTCTTTTGCGCTATGGCATTAATGATAGGGTCCTCGTGTAGAGTGCTTCCACTTCCTCCCAGGGGTCCAAATGCTGTCTGGTGGATGCCGGACTTTACGCAAAGGGAATTGAGCTTCTGTTGAGGGAGCAAAGGTTGAATTTCGGTTTGGTTGACCGCGGGCACGACAGTGCAGCTCTTTAGCAGCCTTTCCAGGTTGACAGTTGAAAAGTTTGCAACACCGATCGCGCGTACTTTTCCTGTTTTAAGGAGCTTTTCCATCTCACGCCAAGTGTCCACAAAATCCCATTCGGGGTCGTGAGCGGTACGATCTTCTTTCCCGTATGTCTCTTGGGATGAAGCGGGCAGAGTAACAGGCCAATGCATGAGATACAGATCCACGTAATCGAGTCGCAAATCGTCGAGTGACTTTTGAAGGGCAGGGACAATTCGACGATGATCGGATGACCAACTGGAAAAATCGTTAGATTAATTGACTTCAATACTTCTCGTGCAGCTCAATGGGCGTACAGCTTGGTGGTCACAAAGTATTCATTTCGTGGAACCTGAGTGGTTTCAAATACTTGTCCAATCTCGGCTTCATTTCCATCTATAATAAGACATCAGTATATTGTTCCCAACTGAATTTGAGGACAACGTACAAAGGGGAGCACAATCCTACTAAGCGTATTAGCAGAGGCTTCAAAGAAATAAGAAGCATATTGAGATCTTACAAAATGTCTATACCCCACCTCAAATGCGGATTTAACGGCGGCAGCGGCTTCTCCAGGCCCAGCCTTCCAAGTGCCAAATCCAATTGCGGGGAGTTCCGCACCGGTGTTAAGAGTAAAGGTTTTGTGTTCCAATGTGTCGGCCATTTCGTTGAACTAAATCTAATGAGAGTTATTCATAAGAACAGCTAAATGCTTTCTTGTTATAATATTTGAATCTTACTCGTCTAACTTAGCATACAACGCGTCACAGAGAGTCGGAGAGAACCCCGTAGAGAGCTCCAGCCCGAATACCCCTCATTTACCAAGCCGGGGTTACCCCGGATCGTCATTAAGATTCGATGATAGGATTTACCAACTCATTTCAGACATAATTAGCGCCTACTAGTTTCAGTAAAGCTAAGCTACCGGGTTTCATCTTCTGAGCCGGGCCCTTAGGCGTTTTCCACATGCTCTGCACGATTTTTCTGCCCATCATCTTCATTGTCCAGTTTCCCAGCAACAATGTTCTCACGAACATCAGATCGAATTTTTTCCTCCTCGGTGGGATAGGCATGTCGCCACATTAGCCACAGCGGTCTTTCGAAAAGATTGTCCATGCTCTCGATCGAGCGGCCTTTCATCTCGGGGAGGCAGAAGTAGATAAAGATCACCCCGAGGTAGGTCAACATCGCATAGAGTAGAAAAACTCCCCAGCCCATTTCAGTTATCATATTTGGGGTCGCTCTGGTTATGCCATAGTCCACAATCCAGTTTATAAAGAAACAAATAGCCATGCAAAATGATCGCTAGGATTTTGTTAGCCCTGTTCAGTCGAACCAGAGTAATTTGCGTGAACTCACAATTCTGGTAGGGAATATCTCTGCTGCAACAACATAGCATGCAACTGAATGTCCAAATGACCATCCAAAGGCATAAATATAGATCCAAATAATTCCGACGATTCCGCCCGCCGGTGTTCCTCCTATATTGGCTGTATTGGTTCCTGCAAATCTCAGGTATAGAGCCAGATATAGCATCGCGGTAGCTTGCATTGTGGCACCCACAAGAAGAGGAAGACGACGACCAACTCGGTCAACCAAGAATCCCACATAAAATATGGTTGTCACCGTCTTTACAACACCGTATATACCAGTTGTAAGCAAGCTAGATGAACCAGATTTGACACCGATCAAGGCAAATATTTCGGGGGCATAATACTGTGTGGGGGTTAGTAGTAGACTCTAGGGAATTTCGGCCGAATAAATAGCACTCACATTCAGAGAGTCTGTTCCCGTAAATTTATGGAACAGGAAAAGCATGACAGCCAGGAAGAAACGCTGAAAGTTGTTTCTGGATGTAAAAATGTCTTTCATCACAACCCAATAGTTGTGCCCTGCATAAGACTCTTGCTCTTGTCTTACCTGCGCTTCGATCTCGCGATATTCAGTCTGCACGTACTCATGATCCGCTGGCAATTTTCTGAGCTGGCAAATGTTTTTGAGGCCCTGCTCAGACTTTCCATGATTGATCAACCATCGTGGAGTTTCGGGTACAAATGGAATCATCAGACACAGAAAGGCACCAGGAATAATCTGGATACCCATTGAAACCCGCCACTGGGTGTCGTCGAACTCAACACCTGGAAAAGACCATTTGGACACTCCGTAATTCACCCAAAAGGCCAACATAAGTGATGTGACAATCATCAGATTGTATGTCGCTGTCATTGACCCGCGCACAGATTTGGGGGAATTCTCGGCGAGGAATTGAGGCGTGAGCATTGATGACGCGCCAACACCCATACCGGCGATGAACCGGCCGGCCAGAAGTACATCATAGTCTGCAACCATCTGCATCACAGCGCCTACAACAAAGACCAATCCCCAGCTAAACACGGACCATTTACGTCCAAAGTAATCGGATGTAGGGGCTGCTAGTAAGGCCCCGACCGAGCCACCAGCTGCGAGCATAGATGCAATCGTTCCCTTGTGAAGGTTAGAGAAAATCAGAGTTATCTGGACTTAGGTAACCAACCTTGCGATTGTCTTGCTCTGCTTGAGAAACATCATTTAGGCCGAATGCATTTTTGAATGCTGGGAGAGTAAGAATTCCCCCAATATTCCCAGTATCGAAGCCGTAAAAAGAGCCACCCCATGACACAGCAACGAGAAGATAGAGAAGACGAAGATTGAAGATGGCTCTCGGGTCAGTCTTGGCCTCGCTGCTAACCCAAATACTGGTCCCACCAGCCATTATTGATCACTTGTAAGATAGTAGGGTGATGAATCAGTATAACGGCGACCCCGGTCGATTAGAAATCATTCATAACTGAATGGCTCCGGGGTAATTAGACAATAAATAGGCTTCCCAAAGGTGAAATTATGGATGCACGTCAGCATACACTGTCTATCGCAAGTGAAGCCAAATTCGACTAGCTTTCCTGTGCAGACCCCGTGGGGAAGTGGGGAAGCGGAGCACCTCGCCATCTGAGGTCGGTTTTTCTTCCGTCATCTGGCACAACACCGGTGACCAAGCCGATGTTTTTGGGAAGTGAGTTATTCAGCTACTCGTGATTAACTCTTATCTCAAGAAAATGTGGACTCGTTATCGATAAGACAATTCCCTTAAATCCAATCGCTCTTGAACGCCTCAAGCTCTCCCACGATTCCCATATTGTGCTTTTGAACCCCAAAGAGTCATCCTCTCACAATGTCTACTACAACGACTACGGAAGCACCAGAATTCATCCCGAAGCTTCAATCTCCTTCGCAACGAAATTTCAAATACTCCGAAGCTTATATTCCCGCTCTCACCCAGCAATGCCACGCCTCCAACCTTCTCCTTCTACCAAATGGCGATCTACTCTGTGTCTGGTTCGGGGGGAGTATTGAAGGTCGGCCAGACATATGCATCTATATGTCTCGCCTCTCATCTGGACAAGATGCTTGGACAGATGCCGTCAAGATGACACACGACCATACCCGCAGCGAGCAAAACCCCATCCTCTTCCGCGTTCCGTCCACGGGTGAAATTCGATTGCTTTACACATCGCAAGATGCGGGAAACCAAGATTCCGCAATTGTTAAGCAAATTGCATCAACAAATAATGGAGCTACTTGGTCCGATCCAACAATTTTGTTTGGAGATGCAGGCACATTTATTCGACAGCCTATTGTTGTTTTGAAAGATGGTGCTTGGGTAGTCCCTATTTTCAAATGCCGCGCAGAGCCCGGTGAACGCTGGCTAGGAAGCGATGATATCTCCTGTATTCGGATCTCGAAAGATGAAGGGGCTACATGGATCGAAAAGGAGATTCCGAACAGCTACGGATGTGTGCATATGAATATCCAGCAGTTAAAGAATGGGAGTTATCTCGGGCTATACCGAAGTCGATGGGCAGATAACATCTATCTATCGACTTCAACAGATGGGGTTGACTGGAGTGAACCCAAGCCGACGATCTTGCCAAACCCCAACGCAGGCATTTGCTTTGATGTTCTAGCGTCCGGCCGTGTTGTATTAGTCTATAACCACTCCTCGAAAAAGGACGCTGTGGGTCGCCGAGATGGCTTATACGATGATATCAGCGACGGCACAGATACTCGCGCCAACCAAGCAAGCAAACATGGAAAAGAGGCCTTCTGGGGTGCCCCAAGAGCCCCTTTGAGCGTGGCTTGGAGTAATGATAACGGAAACACTTGGCAATGGAAGACCCTCGAGGAAGGAGATGGCTATTGTCTGACAAATAACAGCGAAAAGAAGCTCAACCGCGAGTTGTCGTATCCAAGTATTCTGATTGAGCGTGATGGGTCAATCCATATTGCCTTCACGTTCTGGAGGCAACGGATCAAGTATGTTAGACTAGCCGAAGATTTCTTCCAGTGAATAAAAATGGATTATTTCCGTTTTTCAAGTTTGAACGCGGTATATTGAACTTTATGATCAATCTCTCCGATAAATCAAGGCCTAGAATATAGGCCGTACAAAAGACAATTAAAGAATAAACCTTCAAGTTGGAAGTTCCAACTTGAAGGTATCCTAGGCTAGTACCATTTCTGTACTATAACTGAGTTCAATTCATGTCCGAAGAGAAGAGTAATCTATGGGGAACTGGCAGAGACATAAAAAAGAGCAATACTGACATTGTAACGACTCTGTATTGGCTATTAATTTGGGTACCATTTTGAGCAGACCAGTCATATTCTCACCACATATTATAATTAGCGGTTGAACACTTCAAATTTTAATCTTTCAATTTCGAACTTTTGACGAACGGTAATCCTACTCATACTATTAGTCATAGTCAGACACTCTATGTAGACCTAGACAAAAAGGAAAAAAAAAGAAACACAACTATTCTAAACAAATGAATTATTGATTTAAATAATACTTGTCTTCAATTTTCCTAGAATACTAGTAATAATTGATTTATATAACTGTATCCGTTTTAACAAAGTTTAGTCTTGAACGCTACCTTATATTCCCGGTTATGCGGCGCCTGTAGTCTTTAAACTTCGCCAGCAATGCTCTACAGATAGTACCTAAGAGCTTCCTTATGTCTTGCATTTTATTTGTTCTTCCTTTGATACATTTGTGCGGCCTTCTCGTTAGAAGCAACGGTCATGCGAGGCCATAAAGTACTCATTATTGTTATTTTCTTTTGGGAGTTCCATACTTAGGAACCACATGATCAAGCTGTTTATCATACAGTCCATCAACATCGAAATCACTCTTATGCAGCTTGCCCACTCTCCAGGCAATTTGTAAGCAGATAACTCAATAGCATATCTCTTCAGAAACCAATCTCATCGACCCGGTAGAGTTTTGTGAGAATTTCGATTGATTAATCAAGGTTAGCAATCTCAATTTGGCGCATTCATCAACTACTAAGATCTTTTTCAGTCAATTGAATCATATAAATCCTGATATCTTAGCTTCTTTTTCACTTGCCAAATTTATTTCTTTTTCCTGGTCGTATTGGTCTGTATGCGTGTGCTTCCAAATCCTATGTTCCTTCTTGGGGAGTAGCAATATTTCTCTGTCCTCGGGCTATGTGTAAAGCCTAGACGTAACGGCGTAGTCGTCTGACCTCCAATTATCAAGATACATAAAGGTAGCCAAGAACGCTGCCAGTTTTCTCATCAACCTTCATTTATCACTGCGCTCGTGAATTGATAGCTTCCTTGGTACACGAATCAAAAAATGCGTTTTTGCAATGCCTTGAGATTGTTACCTTTCATTGCCCTTGCTTTAAGTCTTCTGGTCGTCACCAATGCCAACAACCGCCACTGCCTGCCTACTCAGGTTTCTACTTGGACTACTTGCACCGATAGTAAGACACCCAATTGGTCCTCGCTTTCATTTTTAACACATTTTCCTTTCAGATAACGGAAACACGGATTACTTCTTGCCATTTATCACGCAAATTCAACCGCCTGCCCCACGACCGTCGCTGGCTCCGGGCCAATGCCCACCAGACGATGGAAAGATCCGCACAGTTGATGGTGTCACTTACCTTGTCCTATGCAAACAGGCATACTCGACCGGTGACCATAGTGACACGTCCAATATGACTGAGCATAGTTGCATGAAGAGTTGTTCGGCCCTAGCAAATTGCCAGGGTGCAAACTTCAACATGAGAAACCATGAATGCGAGCGCCACTTTACCTGGGAAGGTCAACCCTCCTACACAGTATCCGACAAGGGGGATTGGATTGCGTATCGTCCTATCTTGAAGTGTTGAATTTCTATGATGCTATAATTTCTCTACAAGTCCTCGTAGCAGCATGATTTGGAAGATGTTCTTTGAAGGGATCTCTCGGGGTTTTGTCGTTAATTAGCCATCCATTTATCAGGCTTAGTATTATCAAGTCTGTCGTTCTTAATGTTCTTATCCATGTGATTTCTTGCTACTCACTAGTTTTTAGAGAACAAGAATCACTAGGCTATATAATTTACTACTAGTAGTACTATATCTAGGGCCAAAATGGGTTTGATATGGATAAAGTTTGCTGACTCTATCTCTGAAATTGATATTTACTACACAGCATCAGGCAAACTCTGCTCGATTTGAACCAAACTTTGCATGACCTTTTCCACCCAGGCTGCCTTCACTCCATCCACAGGAAGATATGGCTTACGTGGCCAAAATGTCTTTGGATCGACAATACCAGCAGCCGAGCCAGCGAAGTATCCAACGGCATACTTTGTGGGCGCAATTCCTTCTTTGCAGGCTTTTTCAGCCTGAGCCACCAACCCCTGAAGCTCTTGAGATTCTTTGATCTTGCTCTCATTCCACAAAGCATAGAGTCTGGAAACGGATTTCGGAAACACGTTGGCGATTCCAGTGACGCACCCACCACCACCTCCTATCAAGCAAGGTAGTAACCAGTCAGAGGAACCAGCATATACTGCAAATTGCTCGTGCTTATATTCCTGGGTGAGTCTTGTCACTTTCCCGGCGTTTCCGCATGTCAGCTTGACGCCAACTATATTCGGGTGTTTTGCGAGTTCGGAAAGGATATCGGAGTTCATGTCGACACCATTGCACATGGCTGGGAACTATAAAATCTCAGAGTCGGTATGTTGAACCTTGGAAGTGGAGGTGTCTGCTTTAAAGACTCACGCTGTAAATAACAATCGGGAGAGTAGTCTCATCCGCAACATCGCGATAGAATCCGAGTAACGCATCTTTAGTCACGGCCTTCGCCCAGTAGTTCGGTGGTAGTAGTAAGCCGAAGTCTGCACCTGCGCTCAAAGCATCCTCAGCAAGGCGAATTGATTCATTAGTTGACTGTCCACTGATCCCAGCGACGATCGGGAAGTTTGGACGTCCAATATCCACCGCAGCTTTGCGCGCAATTTTGACCAATTCCTTGCGCTCTTCGGAAGAGAGCAAAACGGCTTCCGCGTTGGTTCCTGCAAGTACCAGCCCATCCAAGCCTCCGCGGATTAAGTGAGAGAACAACTTGTAAGAGGCATCATAATCGACTTCCTGTCGTTTGGTGGCCTTGTATAGTGAGACCACGGGAACGTAAATCCCAGGGGGGCATAGGCCTAGCCTTGTTCGCGATGGTAGATGTCATGGTGCTGAGCTTGTCTCGTCGAGTTATCCTAAACCCAAATCCATCTCACTTACCCCTCCATTCCCGCCTTATACCATCGCTTCGAGCTGCCTACCGGCATTCCTCCCTCACGGAGACAGTCCGACATCTCCGCCCCGGATTCTTCTCCACCGGTGCGGGGAGATTGCACCAATGAACCCTGGGCTATGGAGAAGCGTCCGCAGTATGGGATGATCAATGCCAGATCTGCCGAGAACTAAGTCATGCTCAAAGAATTAGCTCTGGACAAAATCGACGAATCGCACGGTCGCATTTCGTCATGTCGGGGGTACTCGTTTGCCCCTCGAGCCTAGATAAACCCCCTCGGGGTACTCTCCGGAGCCCTATCGTCCTGGTTTCTGTCACATCGAACGTCTCAAATATCCTTGCGGCCCCATTTTGTTAAGCTATGGCCAAAAGAAAGCGGACTTGGACCGATGCTGCCTCGGAGCCCTTGCCGGAGTCGAGCTCTCAGCCTCCTGCCAGTGAAGTGAAAGATGCCAGTGTATTGGATGTTCTGCCGGGGATTACCCGAAAGATCACTGCCTGTGGAGCGTGTAGGAAACAGAAGGTAGGAAACTGACTTGTGTTCTGCTTCATTGGCTAGAATCTGACAAGACCTAGATCAAATGTGACATGACAAATGGCCCACCTTGCACGCGATGTCATCGACGTGGTCTTTCTTGCGTGCTAAACAAGAGCTTGCAATCCTTAGTAGAGGAAGTCAAGTGGGTCCCTGATTCTCAAATCACAGTCTTGATATAGAACTAACGACAATTTATAGGAACACTGAGCAATTGCAAAGTGATATTCAAGGGATTCATGAGGTCCTCGATAACATCTGTCAACATCTCAGTCTCCCACGACCTAGGCCGCTTCTCGCAGTCGATGAATCTACCCAGGAAGAGGTCAGGGTTTCCCAAAATGACGAGCTAGATGGAGACCAGGAAGATCTTGATGGGTGCGAAATATCACCTCCAGATACACCATCTGCAGTCCAAGCTCCGATCGATACATTCCTAGACATTGCTAAATTTGGAAGCCCTGGATCTTCTGACAATACTCCGGGGAGCACAACGCGCCAGAAACAAAATCCAATGAATCAAGACCTCATCGGCAAGGGAATCATCACACCGGAAGTGGCAGAGGAACTCGTCGATCGATATTTCACTCGTCTTGATCCGTATCTATACGGGATCTGCAGTGGCTATCAAAGTCTCCAGCAAATCAGAAGCACATCACCGGTGCTATTTGCTGCCATCTGTACGGTTTCATCCCTCCAGGATCCCAATGGCCAGAAGACCTACGAAGCTTGTAATCGCGAGTTTCGCCGCTTGGTATCTAGGTCCATATTTGAAAAGCATGACTTGGAATATGTCCGAGCTTTGTGTATAAGTTCTTTCTGGCTTTCTGACGCATCAAGAATCTTAGCCAGTGATGCCATTAGACGAACAGCCGACATGCGGCTTCATCGTGGCTTCGACCATCTGGCTAAACCAATAGACCCGCGACTCTTATCGATTGAAAATGCCCCCTCCTCATCACTTGAGATAGATGCGCTCAAGGACCGCGTCAGGTTGTGGTATCTCATCTTTATTACAGATCAGCACCTTTCAATTCTTCACAATCGCGATCCCCTGCTACGCAGCGACAAAGAGATTGCTCTTGGCTGGGAGACATTCCTGGCTCGAGAGGACACGACAGACTCAGACGTCCGAATAATTTCTCAAGTAGCTCTTTTGGTGATAATGAGCCAAGTTCGCGATTTACTAGGTTCCGATCAAGAATCTCGGGTTCCGCAATCACTATCAAATCAGATTATTCACTACTCTCGCCAACTCGATCGATGGTTCACCAAATTCTCGGCATTGTTCAAGCCCGATCCTTACATTGGAGATTTTCCAAAATGCGGCCTACAGCTGCATTACCATTTTGGTAAACTATATCTAGGTCATCAAGTGTTCAAAGGGCTCAACGGGGAGGTCATTCCATCTCACTTCGCCACCGCAGCGGGCATGGCACATGAAGCTGCAGTTGCGATTTTCGAGATGATTCTCCACGAGCATAACCTCCAACACAGTCTCGTCGGAATGCCACATTATTTTCACATAATGATTGCATTTGCGGGTCACTTTTTGCTGGAAGTTACGAGGAACTATCACGTCCAGCTGTCAATCTCGCCCGATCAAGACTTCGAATTGATTCGCAGAGTATTAGAACTTTTTGAAGCAACGCCTTCCATCCAACAGCATCCAATAAGCCGAATGACTCCAGGGTTGACACGGAAGTTGCGCGAGTGCGTTGGAATGCTACAAAGGGATGGGCAACAGACCATCTCCACGGTAGCGGTTGGTACCGGTGCGATCGATTACCAGACACAAAATGATCATTCTCAGATGGGTCCTCCAGCAGGGCCGTTCTCTTTTATAGACGACACCCTAGCTGCACCTGTAGATGATTTTTTATTTGCGGATTTTGGAGAATTTACCTTTCCCGGCATGATGTCGAATGGGGCCGGCTGAATAGTAAAGGACTTGATCGGCCTAAACTCACGATTACGAAGGTTAAGAATATAGTAAAAAATCAATTTACTTTGTATAAAATACTTATCTGATTCATATCAAATCTTAATAACCCATCGCATGCTGGAGGGACCCTCGGCAATAGGCACGGAGAGATCCCCGAGCTAATCGCCGATGTGCAGCCGTTAACCAAGAACTCATAAAACCACCAAGTTCTCAGCATAAACTATCAACAGCTTAATTTCAGCAAGAGAATAGGCAATCCACAGACCACAAAATGCATACACAGCTATCAGACGTCGATCCCGACGCTCAATGTACCCCAAATGTCCCCCGATATCCGAAAATGCAATACCAGCGATTGGGCAATAGCGGGCTCAAAGTCTCCCGCATAATCCTAGGCTGCATGAGCTATGGCAATCCGAACTGGGAGGGATCTCCTTGGGTTCTCGGCGAAGAAGAGTCTCTTCCACTACTCAAACGAGCCTACGACTTGGGAATTAACACCTTCGACACGGCCAATACGTATTCCAACGGAAATTCCGAAGCCATTATTGGAAATGCCCTGTCAAAATACTCCATCCCACGCAGCAGGGTAGTTATCATGACAAAGCTCTACTACCCTGTTCTCGAAGATAATCCTGACTCGCGACCGAACCCTGCTATCAATGATGGTCCTCTCGTCAATCAGATGGGTTTAAGTCGCAAGCATATCTTTGATGCTGTGGAAGGCTCCCTGCGACGATTGAAGACGGACTATATTGATGTCTTGCAACTTCATCGGTTAGATCGTGATACTTCTCCCGAAGAAATCATGCGGGCGCTTCATGATCTTGTTCAGATGGGCAAGGTCCGGTACTTGGGGGCGTCGAGTATGCATTGTTGGGAATTCGCACGGCTGCAATACACCGCAAAAATAAATAATTGGACTTCTTTCGTCAGTATGCAGGGCTTGTACAATCTGCTTTATCGCGAAGAAGAACGTGAGATGAATCCGTTTTGTGAAGCAGAGGGCGTTGGGCTGATTCCCTGGAGTCCGTTGGCGCGTGGTCTCTTGGCGCGACCCTGGGAGGAGAAGTCATCGCGAGCAGAGCAAGATCAGAAAACAAAGCGATGGTTTGTGGGCAATCAGAACGAACTCATCGTTAAACGAGTTGAAGATTTAGCCACGCGCAAGAACTGCGCGATTAGTTCAATTGCGATGGCGTGGTTGCTGAAGAAAGGTGCCTGTCCTATTGTAGGGCTGAACAGCATCCACCGGATCGAGGCAGCACTTGAGACGCTGGAGGTAGAGTTAACAGACCAAGAGGTGTCCTATTTAGAAGAGCTATATCAGCCTCTAGCCGTCCAAGCGATATAGTTAAAAATGGTCACCCTTTCTTAGAATATGCATAATTCATGGTTACAATATGGTGACACCGAGTCGCGCCTTTTATTCGCGCATTCACGATACGAGTCATGCAGAACCCGCATGAAACTAGGAGCTACATACAGCTCAGCTCGGTCTTGCAGGTACTATTAAGCATTAGTTCTAGCCAATCCAGTGCTGGAATTCGATTTCGGAATTTTCCATCGTAACAAAATCCGATTAGCCCCGAAATTGGCCCCGAAATCCGACCCAAACCATATAAGAACACTTACCAGCCGCTCGATACTACCCCCAGTCTCTATATTATCCTTTCAAAATGACGTCTACTCTTGGGCTCAGTCTTCACATTACCGTGCACATCGATCCCTCTAATGTGCCCCGGTTCTTCGAACTATTCAATATTGTGTATGAAGCCGTGATAGCCGAGCCCGAGTGTCGCTTCTTTGAAGTGTACCAGTCACCTACCGAGCCAGGTACCATACGATGGGTTGAAAACTGGTAAAAAGAGCCATATTCCCCTCCTTCAATTATAATGCTTATTATTTTCTAGGGCTGTATCGACTGAGTGGTTTGAAAATGTGAGTAGGCTGCAGAAAATTGAGACAAGCCCAACACCTAATCTCTGAACAGGTACAAATGACAAAGGAGTACTATAATGAATACCTAGCTGAAACCAAGGCCATGTACGTGAAGCCGAGTGAGTTCAAGTTCTTCAATCGTCTTGGAGCTCCATACTACATGGTGAAGGACCTTGAATGAGGCAAAGCAAAAATGACAATTTTGATTTCATGCCCGTATTATTCTCGGCAGTCGTTCATATGGCGATCAACTGATTGTCAACCTTGGAACTCGGAATTTGCCGATTTAATTGGAAATAAATGTGCCACGATCATTTGTACGGGAAAATATCTTCGATTGAACTACCCTAGCTAAGCTATGTGGAAGATAACCAACCGAAAACCACCATACGGTTCAAGTTCACGCACCGAGAAGAGCAGACTACTTCGGTTTTGATGATGTTGTAACAGAAAGAGACCCCAGGTTTGCAAATGTGGTAATCATGGCGGGTCGGTACCTTAGGGTACGCTCAGGCTTTTTGTTCCCGAAGAAAGACAGCCTCTAATCTAATCGCCGGCCCTGCAATAGCATCATAGAAAGGGTAAGTAGGAAGAAAGAAAGAAAAACCAACCTTGTGCTCCGTGTATGGCTCACTGCGGCCGCGGCCGTTGAGTGAGGGGTTTCAGTGTTCGGATTCACAGGCGATTGCGGTATATTACAGACTAGGAACCTGCTAGTTACGCGTGCGCGCAGACCAAGGTTCCTGATTCAATTTGAGAAGGGGACCAGCCCCGAAGTGAGAGAGTGGGATCAGGTTGTGACTTTCTTTCAAGCGGGGGCGGCGAGATTCGAAGTAACTTGACGCTTCGCTGCGCTTTGAGGCGAATCCTATGGTGAGTCAAGAGTTAGTAATTCTGGCCGCTGGTACCGTGCATATCTGTTGTATAAGATATAGGCAGACGAGTTCGAGTATCGGTGGCTTGCCGAGTCAGGTCCTCCTCGCTCTTTTCCGTTGACTTACGTCCAGCTCGCTGATGTTGCGCTTCTGACCGGCAGCCTCGGCACTCTTCTTGACAACCTTCTTCTTTGTTTTCACGGGTCGGGAGGGCCGGACTTCGCCAGGCTGGAACACATCATCGGGCAACTCGAAGCTAGAAACGGTCAGAGTGAATAGCGCTACCAGGTACAGGGTTGGTTACGTACTTGCGAACATGGGTGATTGATAGATCGTGGATATCCTGCAGGTAGCCAGGCCACGAGGTACAAGTCGATTTGAAGATATTAGCATCTGCCGAAATATCGAGGGACCGCGGAGCACCTATGATAATTAGAATTTGGCAAGATGAAGGAAAATTGTGGAACGATACCTGGTTCAAGCTGGTTTAGCTCCAGACCGATGTAATAGCTAGTTGTGTAAACATTCTGGGGCTCAGTCTCAGGCTTCTGCTCCGCAGGGGCCGGCACTTGGGCATTTTCAGCTCCGTTCTCCGCCGCAGCTTGATGGGCGGCATCTTTGGTCTCATCAGTGGTCTCGGTCGTCGTGCCTTTAGCTTGGTACTGAGTGGATCCATTTCTGACGGCTTCCATCTCCTGTGGGCTTGAAACGAGATGAGTTCTTTCGAATCCCTTTGGGAAGGGATGGGCAACGGCAATAATTGCTTTGCGGTCAAGAGCGCCGACAAGGTGACGTAGCTTAGATTCCACGAGGCCAGACCAGACCGCTTCAGCTTCCTTTGTCTTACTTGTAGCTGTGATGTTCAAGTAATACTTGTAGGCTTGGGTGAAGAAGGAATGCCGAGTGAACAGGTCGTTCCAAGAATTTTGTTTGGTAAAGATCTTGTCCACAATATCGCCACCTCTTGCAAGCTCACGTAGAATGACAGCCTTTGTCGACATGGAAATATTATGCGTTGCGCACATCGAAGGGTAGGCAGGGGTGATAATGGGCATCAGGTGGAATCGGTCGCCGTGATAAATCTGAACGTTTCAGTCAGTGTGAGTAGCACAAGGAGAGGCACGGGTATTCCTACTTTCGGGTTCCAAACTTTCATCTGCAAAGGACCATCTTCGATCTGCTTCAGTAAAACCGGTTGTGGCCATGCCCACTTGTTCATGATTCTAAAGAACTTTCCAACAATGACGGAGCCGGTCGCTTGCGGGTACAACTGACAGACTCGTGCCACAAGCATTGCCCATGCAACACCTCCGGGGAAACCAACAATATTTGAGTAGATGGCGCGGCCTTTTCAAAGAGAAGGGTGTTAGATCTTCACCAGCTTGTAAGTAGGAGGGAATTCCACATACGTTGAGCCCAGAGCTTAATCGCCCGTAGTGCAAGACGGAATGTCTTTTGCTGGGGAACAAGTTCCAAGATTTCATCAGTGACACGCGTTCCATTCAGCGATCGTACCTCGAACTCATCCAGGCCTCTGAGGTAGTCATTATTCTTGAGATCTAGGTTCATTGGCACGGAGGAGACGACCAGTCGAGCGAAAATCAGATCAATGCTGATGCCAGATATCTCCAGTTTTATGATAGGAACGAAGGCATCAGGGACCGGGGTCATTTTCTCAATAGACCCCTTAGGCGCGATCTGTTCGAGAACTGGAGGGAAGTCGGAAAAGAAATCGTCTCGAACGACGTGCTTCGGGCCGACGACTAGGGTATCGATATCCGATCCTATAATCAAATGGGATTAGCGATAGCTCGATGGTGATAAAAGAAGAAGCCGGGCGAACTTACCTGGGCCATAAACACCAAGACGATAACTTCCATAGGCAAAGACTTTGCCTCCCGCGGCCTCTACGGCAGCCTGGGAAAGCCCTTTCTTTCGACTGACACCCTTAACGAACTCGAGCGCGACGCGCTGGAGAAGCTGAAGGATTTGCTTTCTGTATTCTCATCATTAGCGCCTTGCTCCGAGACTTCCCCGGGATCCATCTCTTTGATCCCCGTCACGCACCTTCGTTCCGTCTCCGAGGGTAACTCGAAGTTGTTCTGTGCTTTCAGTTCAGCGATAAGATCATCGTTAGCGGCCAGCTCATCCTGAGTAGGGAGAATGGTCGAAATAGGAGGGGTAACACCCCATTGTCGAGCAGGAGGCGCGGCCATTATGATTGTGTGAAGGAAGAGTGAGTTGCCGAAAGATGGTCGCCGTGTAGCTTTGCGACGAAGATAGGGATTAGATAACGGCAGAAACTAAGGTAAGTAACGTCACGATCGCGTGAGGTGAAGAGCACCGAAGTAAAGAGATGGTGAAGATAGGAGGAAATAGAAACAAAAGAAACCGAAGGTTGCAATGCGACGAGAAAAGAATGGCAAGTCAAGGAGTTGGTGATTCGATCTAACGCCGCGCTTCCTTGCTATGGGCGCTAACTTGAGGATCACATGATCCTATATTATCCTGATGCCTGACTGCCTGAATTCAAGTTATTCTTTCGACTTTCCCATTTCACCACCTGAAATACTCCAAATGACGGATTTTTCTGCGGATTACTCTCGGATTTCATACGATATTCTTTTTTCTTTCCTCTGATACCTCTCTCAAATCAAGCAATCCAATAGGTGGCCGGTGTCACGCTCAAACGTCCTCCATCAGTTAGAACACAGTTTCCATTGCAGTAAGCCCCTGCGAAATGCTAGATCCATCCGGCACCCTTCCAGATGGTCCAGAGATGCCTGAGTTCGCAGCAAGGAGGTTGACATAGCCGACGTTCCTTTCAATAAAAGCGAATGCAGACTTCAAAGTAGCCTGGTCAGTGATGTCACATTGGACGAGAAGTATGTTTTGGGTTCCCTAATCTTCGTTAAGGCTTGGGCATAAAATGAAGATAAATCGCGAAATATTACGCTCGATTTTTTTTTCGCTACCTGCTCCAGAACATGCCTTGTTCTTCCGAGGATATATACTCTTTTCGCGCCGTTCTCTGCCAACGCTTTTGTCATGAAAAGCCCCAGACCTAGTTCGATCTGTTAGCTTGACAAGATTGACAATTTCAAACCCCCCGGATTTCACCACTTGCCACTCCCACCACCAGTTATTACGGCAAAAATTCCGGTGACATCAAAAAGAGATGAGCTCGGCATGGTCATTTTGTTATAACTTTGCGAAAGGTCAAAAGGGGTCTTAGGTATACTAGCAGCAGTGCCGTGAAGGTGTCTCGATTGAGGATATTATCCTAAAGCTACCTTCTAGGCTTATATAACTTGAAGGATCTGAAATCAAGGTTGCGGGGTAACTGTTATAGTAGTCCAAGGTTGTTTAAAATCTAATCGGTAGAATATCTGCCAGGAGTCCCGGATGTAGTGGGAGGTTCCAAGGCTGAAGCCTTAACTCGGAAACTCCTGCTTGTTACGTCCGAGTTCAATCCTTTTGTATGCAACATTCAAGATGGCCACCCTCAATCAAATATTCCTAATTTAATTGGTAAATATATACTCGCGATTCTTTTATGCCTTGCCTTAGCTGTTAATGATTCGACGGGTATTGTTAATGTAACAAAATGACTACTGCTAGTTATCTATCCCGCATCATATCCCACGAAGCTATAGCGCCTTGGTTAGTTTCTGAGCCAGCGCAGCAACCCGATCTGGTTTATTCTCGGCAAAGAATCCTGCCAATTGTCTGTCCAGCCATTCAACATCTTCTTTGCTATCTCCAGGCCCTCCTGCCCAGTCTGTATTTCAATATTAGATTGGATCAAAAAGGCGATGAAGGAAGATAAAGCAAAATACTCACGACCCCAAATTGAAGGAAAGACATCCAGTTTCCCAATATCGGGCTTCATAGAGGCGACTTCATACTCCGAATCCTCTGGCCTATACACCCACTTAATCAGTAACCGTATCTTAGATCAACCTTGGAAAGGCACTCAGCATCATCTTACGGGAAATATAAATCCGTCTTAGCAGGTAAAACTAAAGTTTTCGCCTTGATAGATGCCAGAGCCTTCTCAAAGTCTCCGTTGTATGGCTCTTGCTTGGAGACATCGCCGTTCTGCCATGTCTGGATCATGACGAGCAGGTTTTCAGGATCTATGTATCCAATTAGTCAAAGTCCGGCGATTCGTCCACGGATATTAGTAGACTCTGCTAATCACCTACCTTTAGAGCAAGCCCACTTCTCCCAGAAATTCTGCATAAAGTCCTCGAGTCCCTTGAATCCGAGCACAGTCTCGTACAGCTTGTGTCTGTAGAATGCCTGACTGAACCCCCCTATCCATTCAACCATCTTGTCAGCAAGAAACCTAACATTAAAGTTGAAACTTATCCGTTTGTTACTTCTTACCAGCCAGCATATACCCTCCCCAACGCTTTAAGACCAACATCCTTCTCTCTCGCAGACCAAACCCGAACATCCGGCTGCCCTTCTCGAACGCCAATCTCGCCAGAACCAGCAGACCTCGTATCCTTCACAGCAATAAGGGCGCTCTTAACACCTTCCAAAAAAACCTGATTATGCAAGGACGTCCTCGCTGATCCACAAAACGGCACCGCAATATCCATAAACTCGGGATACTGAGTTGCCCACTGGAAAGTCTGCGCCGCTCCCATGGACCATCCGATCACGGCTCGCGCATGGGTGATACCTAGGTGTTTGGTGACGAGCTCATGCTGGGCACGGACATTATCATAAAAGGAGCATTTGGGGAAGGGTGCGGGAGTGGATTGATTTGAAGGCGAAGACGATTGTCCGTTTCCAAAGAGAGCGGGGATGATGATGTAGAATTTGTCAGGGTTGAGAGTTTTGTCTTCTCCGATGAGCCAGAAATTATCGGATATCACTGGGATTTGAAACTATTAGCCTACATCACTCTATGAGTGTCCGTAATTGGATTCACATACTGCCAGAGAACCAGCTGGGGTAAATGATCGCTGGTGATTTGGGATCACCAAAGGTTTTGTATGCGATGTGGGCATCCGGTATCTTTTCTCCACACTGGAGCTCCCAGTCTCCAAGCTTGAAGGTTTCGTAATCATCGGACATGTTTTCTGAATTTATTGTTGCACAAAACTAATAGATTTGCCAGTGAGGTGACCCTAACTTTCGGGGTTTGGTCCATTTATAGTTTGCGATAACAGCGACCCCGCCTCTCCGCACGCGGGGCGCTTTGCGTCGGATGTTCCTCAGGTTCCGACCTGTCGTGTTGCACGAGAGTGAAGCTTTTAGACATAGTATTAGTAGGTTTTACATGATCACAGTTTAGCGTAAAAGATATTAGTAGTACATCATCGTCAGATGCTTGTTTTGCATGTACGAATAGAGAGCATCGGTCGTACAAAATAGTAGTCTCGATAGCAAGAATCACGAAGTACTCCTCCACCCATTCAATATACGTGCCTACCTACTTCCCCGGCGTAATAGAAAGCATCGAAATTCAGATCTATCTTCTCCGAGCCTATTCTCCGTAGTCTATGTAACGAACGATCCCATCAGGACAATCATAAATGGAACGATAACCCACTACTCAAAACTGCGGCCTAGGAATCTCAATCGCATCAGTAGTACGCCCATACGAGATCCCACCCAGCCGACTAATAGGCTTCAACACCTCCAAATCAATCAAGCTCCTCTCCTCATCAATAGCATCCTCGCGCGCCCAGAACCGTACGCCCTCAACGATCGCCAAAACACTAGATTTCTTCCCAGGTACAGCCCGGCTCTCAAACTCCTTGACCTCAACCAGTTTCGCCTCGATGGCTAGAATCGACTCCTTCACGCGTGCGGCTTTGACAACGGACGTCGGGGCCTGCGTGAGACCAGAGGTCTCCCACTCGGATACGCCGTAGGGCGCGTTTATGGCGGTTGCGTTGGCGGCTTCGACGAAGTGCTCGGAGATGATGTTTATGACGCACTCGCCTGTTTCGTTGAGATTCTTCAGCGTGTCCTTGGCTTTGTCGAGGGATCCGACGAAGCCTACGACGAAGAGTGGGGGGGTCATGGTTGATGACTTGGGAGTAGCTGAAGGGGGCGAGATTTGTTGATGTGCCGTCGAGGGACTTTGTGCTGATTAGGGCGATGGGCCGGGGTACCATGCCGGAAATGAGAAGCTTGTAGTTTGAAGCGACGGAGCGACCTTCTTCATTGGGGTCGATCTCGACGTGGTCTTTTTTCAAGCTTGCGCCGCCATCGTTGGCGCCGTCGCCTTCCTTCCAGGTTGGGTTGGGAGGCTTGGTGAAGGTGACTTGGGCGTTGTGGTTGAAGTCTGGACGGGATGCCTGGAGCTGGTCGAAGTCGGGGCGGGCTTTGGACATGGTGGGATTGTGGCTGAAAGATCGACGGGTTGGGAGGAAGAAGGATGCAGAGTGACGGTAACTAGGGATGTACATGTGCCAGGTATTAGTTGTTCATGTTCATCCCTCCCAAGGTGTTGATGTGCCCCGCAGGGAGCACGATGGATGGCGCGATCTCGCCACCGAAACGGTGAGGAACTCACGATGGTTGTACAAGGAAGTGAGATAGACGGGTAGGGAGTCGAGGCATGAAGATGAGAGCAGACTGTAGTGGCAATGGCTCTATCCTGCTAGGTATGAAAGCTATTGTATGGGAATAAATGCTAAAAGGGAGCCTAAGGTTCCGAAAGGGTGCAATCTTAAGCCTCGGATGAAGCTTATCGCTATCTAGATATATACACGCACTTTTTGCTATCAAGAGACGCACAGGAGCGGTATTCGTGAGGATATCTGCAGTGTAGTGCGTGGCCATAGAGCGTGGCTTCAAACTCGGAATTCGGGCCGACACCAGACAGTGGGACAGGCACAGGCACACGGAGATGGGGTGCCTGACGGATCTCGCTAACTCGGCCTCCCACTGTTAAGCGGAGCCGATCTGTTTCAGTTCATCGGGTAAGATACGTCAGAGGTCCGTTGCACTGTATGGCCCAGGGTGTGCATACTTAGACCCCAAAAAGCAAATATATTATGTCGGTGTGCTCGCCTTGGTGCCCATGTACTTCTCGCCCGACAGATCACGGCTAATATACCGGTAAAAAGAAGAAGAAAGGAAAGACAATAAGAGGGATCAAGTGGACTTGGTCCAGCACCATGGGAGTCAGAGATTTTTTGTGGGATGGTGGATACATTACAGTCTTACTATAGTCCCCGGCTACTGTGTATGTGTGGGATGTTGACGAGGGGAAAAAGTGTCCCGCAGTGTGGAGAGTCGAAGAGACTGGAGTATAACGAGTTACCGGGGTTATACTCCAGGGCTACACAACCACAGTGCAGGAACTGGAATACTTAGTACTCTATCTATTTGCTCGTATTTAATGTGTATTAGTTAGTTACTAGTATATGCTTATACTTTAGCTATAATCATAACTATAACAGTACCATGACTATAACCATGACTATGACTACTCCGTCCCAAATCGTATGCCCCACCGATCCCATGACCAGATCGTGAAATCACAAATGTGTTGTTCCGATTCCTCCATTACTTCTTTTTCCTTTTTCCTTCTGCTTTTCTCTCTTCTTTCCTCCCTTTCCCTCCTTGAATTCTTCCCTTCTCTGTTCCCTTTTTTTTTCATGGGCGGTCAAGCTTCCCTCCTTTCTCCCTCATTGTTATCCCTTCCTATTGGGCTCTAGGACCACCCCCGGTCTTCTTCCTCTTTTTCCACCCCCTCAACTCCGAGGAAACATCATCAGATATTCTATTCGTCTGCACCCTGGTACCACCACACTGTTTCCTCATGAAGTTGTCCCTTCTAGAGTCGATTCTCCTCTCCCATAACCTCCCCTATCGCTGCCTCGGCCCTGGATCCGCCTAGCTTCTGAGCTAGGGTTCCCTCATATCGCCTTATCCCACCATTTCAGCCTCGCCCGCCTCCCCTCAACCGGGCCCCAATGGGTCGTGACCACGGATAATCACTGTTGCTCGCCATGGGCCCTCCATCTCCTAAAAAGAAAAATAGCGCCTCCTCCTCCGGTCCAAGACAGATCCGTTTCGTGGCCACAGATGGCCAGCCGCAAAGCAAACGCCGCCGAGTCAACGCCGCGTATGTCTGGCGCATATCCGCCCCAAACTTGCGCTACAAAATTCTAGAGATGCTAACAGATTCCTATCGCCTGTAGATGTTTGACCTGTCGCCGGCGCAAAATTCGCTGTTCCGGCGAGCAACCAGGTACATCGCGCCCATCCCCGGAGAGAGACTCGACGTCATAACCCTTCACTTGCTAATTCGCATGCTCCTGCAGTCTGCAAAACTTGTTCCGACTATAAACATGTCTGTCTCGGTTACAGCGAGTCGACTGCCCACTTGCGATCACAGTCCGACTCCGCGTCGCGGGCCCCGCCGATATCTTCCATTTCGAACAGCAATGACCCAAGCCAACGTAGCTCTCGCGCTGTCGAAAGCTGTTCGCCAGAGCCCGCGCCTGCCTCCGGACAACATAACAAACTCGAAAAGTCCCCGCAAGCATTAAACCGCTCAGATTCCAAAGATGCGTCTTCCAGAGATACCTCGGCACGTACCAATAAAGAAGCGGACGCGCAGCTGGGGGGTGATAGCCCGGAGAGCAGTAAGTCCAGGAGATCCTGGCAAGTTGTATCATACAATTCTGCCAAGCCTTGCTGCAATCCTCATACTAAGCTTAATTCGCTGTTTAGGTCGCACTTCCATGAGCTCCAATAGTCGCACCCATGTCCCGTATTTTCGATACTTCGGCCCAACTGCCATCGTCCCGGGTTTCAAACAAATGGTTGGCCGTTCTCGGAGTCATCGACGCACACAATATCTAACTGATTCCAAGGTTGTACAAGTCCGGGGATCACGCAAAAGTAATCAATCCATGTCATCGGGTGAGTACAATACAGCGACCCTCTCTTGAAGGCCACGCCAGCTGATTCTCTCTTCATCTGTGTCCACAGAGTCGCTCTCTCCACTGAGAAGCCCTAAACCTTCAGATACACCCGCTCGAATTCCACCGGCAGATAACCGCGAAAATCGCGATGCCAATACGATTCCGTTTTACGACCGTGACGATACCCTACCCGTTTCCAAATTAGTGTCTCATCTTAGCGAACTATTTTTTGTCCATCTGGGTTGTAGCTTTCCGTTTCTCCAACGTGATCGCTTTCTTCAAGATCTAAATGAGAAGAAGGTGGATACGATGCTAGTGGATGCAGTATGCGCCTTGTCGGCCAGGTTCTCCCCACATCCGCTTTTAGCTCCTCCCCAGGCACCTCCAATCGATCACTCCCAGCTGCCTGCTGATGTCAATCTCTGGGATCGAGGGTTACCTTTTGCTCAGCGGGCAAGCAGTGCTCTAGTGGACGTTTTATCATGCCCGACTCTCTCCGCCGTCCAAGCATGTTTGCTGCTAGCCTACGAGCAATTTGGATCCAATCACGACAGTGGTCTCTGGATGTACCTGGGCATCTCAATTCGCATGGCGCAGGATCTGGGCTTGCAAAAGCATCAAGGCTTAAAACACAACTACGGCCGAAAAGGCGTTACGCCGAAGGAAGTCATGACTGGGCAAGCCGGGAAGTTGAGAGAGGACCAGTACGACGACTTCGACATCTATCAGAGTCCGAAGGGCCCGCCTCCTGCCTCTGATTCAGAACGGGCCAGAGAGCGAGAACAAGTAGATTCTTTCTGGAGTATTTTCTTCTTGGATCGTGTCATCTCGTCGGGTACGGGAAGGCCGGTCACCCTGCGAGATGAAGACATCGAGCTCTGCTTTCCCCTGCAATCCGAGTCTCAACTACCAAATGGATGGCCCGCGCCTTTCCCACCACTGATACGGATTATCCACCTTTACGGGCGGGTGACCGATCTCATCAACGGTATCCAGGATGTGAATCACGTTACCCCGGATACCCTCAAGCAGCTCGCCGGGATGGAGAGTGATTTGACTGGAATCTACCAACGACTCTCCCCAAAGCTCTATTTCAACGCCGCAAACTTCCAGGCCTATGTGAAGGCCAAGGAGGGAACCAACTTCATTCTCCTCCATTTCTGGTTCCACACTCTGATTGTTCTCCTTCATCAGCCCACGCTGCTCAACTCATTCGGCGGAACAATACAGCATCTTTATCCCAATAGTCGCGAGCTATCTATGTCGTCGGCCAAGACAATCGCTGACATACTCTCGTTTTCTGAGCTCGTGGACGGGAAGAGCTTTATCGGTAACCCTTTCACTAGCCAGCCTATGTACATTGCAGCCTGCGCGTTTCTCATGGAAAGTGCATATTATTCCACGCCTTCTTCAAATTCGATTTCGCATCCACCGCCACAGGCCTTGTTGGCCAACGAATCGAGTGGTTTCGTGATGCCGACAATGGAGCCTACCGGTGGATCAGAGCGGAAGTCGACCGCCAAGCATATTCTACTGGCGTCGGCCGCCAGGGAGAACTACCAGCGTTGCTACAAGGCTTTGAAAGCATTGGATTCATACTGGGAGGGAACAAGGTACATATTGACTGTTCTCGATCAAAAGGCCAAAGGAATTGTCGATCCTCTTCTCTACACCGCTGAAGACATGGAGAATACTACGGAAAATACACCAAACCAGGCATTTACACCCGGAGGCTGGCAGGGCCAGAGGCCGATGGATCAAAGTTCTGATGCAGAAAGGACGCCCGGGGTGGCTGACATATCGTCAGATGGAAAATGGTCTCCCAAGATCGATCCTAGCCAAGGTACGCTCATCTTTTACAATCATTGGCGCCCTGTGACTGACATTCTCCGTCTAGCCATTGGATGGGCACTCGCAGGAGCCACCAACTCTTCACAGCCTAATCTCAGCTTGTTGTATCAACTGCCTACGGCTCAACACGAACCTCCCCCGCCCATCAGCAAAACAACCCATCCGTCCCAGTACAGTCACAGCTATCCGACTCTCCCAGTGCAATCAAATGTTGCACACGGAGCACCATCTTCGTTCTCAGCCATTGCCCCGTCCCATACCCACGGCGAGCCAGTTGCGCCCTCATTGGCTTCAAACAATCCAAAGTTCGCTACAGTACCTCGGACGGTCGGCGCCAGCCCACCCTACTTTATGAGCATGAACTCCCCCTTCCCGGACTCAACCTCTCGCACGACTGCCCCCGGAGGATACGCTCCTAATCTCCCATCTAATCAAATGGAAGGTGGGTCAGCCTACGGATATGGGGTCACTTCCGCCGCGGCGGAGCACCATAGCCATGGACACATGGGACCCTTGAACGCCAGTACGGGGGGCATGATGATTGAGAGTCACGATGTAGACATGAACACCCTCCACCAACAAGAATCGTTTCCCTTTTCCAACGGGGAGATCATTCCTTGGCTCGAATACCTTCCGCAAGATGTGCTCAGCTTTTTCGGTGAAAATCACGGATTTCCGCTCCTAAGCCCTGACGACAGTACGCCTCACCCTCCACCTCCACCACCACCATAATAACGAGTCTTCTTATTCTATTCTGCCTCTCTTGGGCTTTTCCCTTCTGGTATATATGTATTTATTGAACGGACTTTTGCATTGGTGTTCAGCGATGACTTTGGATTTTTATGGATTGCAATCACATCTATACGGAGAGTAGTTTGGATGAGTGGTCAGATATTGCCGTGGTGGTCATCTACCTTTCTGCGACCACCTTTGTTTGACTGCTGGCCAGTCGGCCCTAGCAAAGCGGCAATAGTTAGTGCAAGCTAGATACTGGGTAATTGAAATGATAATACATGATTGAATAATAGCTAGGCTCCCAATGTAATAAGCTGGGGTTTTTATGATATTGACTTTTTACTAGTAGTAGGCTTATTATCATTAGTAGAAAGGATGGTCCTTCTGATTGGATGGCGTCAGCGGGGACTTTGTTTACGTGTTTTTTTATAGATCGGCCCCGGGTCTTTGCATCGGATCTCTTTCACTGACTTGTTAGTTTACTCGAGTGGGTGCTTGCACGTTTGATCCGGTTTGAATCGTGATACCACCACGATCTTGAATATGTGTGAATGGAGACAGTTTGAATGTGGAGTGGGTGGACCGGTGTCCACCTGGTATTTAGTGAGCCGTTAGACAGCCGAATGATAAGATCAAGTAATTCAACGGGTAACCCTACGAGCTTGAGACTTGGAGTCAACGACACTCAAAAATCATGGCACTTCTCTGTGTCAGACCACATGTCAAGTGATATTCAAATTAAATTAAATTAAATTCAAACCCCCATCTAATCTCTACTATTTCAGCAATGTCAATGCTTTGGATGGTTGCCCGGCACAACCAAAGCGGTGAGCCACGTCAACATTGCCTCAGATCAACAGGTCGGTGTGACGATCACACCAGCCTCACAATTTCTTTCCTCGAAATACTAGTACATAACATATGCTAACCAATGGCCCGACTCAATGATGAGAGTCATTTCATCCCGGAGGGCCACCGCCACCCATCCGACCAAATCCTAAGTCCACAACCCTGCGCCCCTCCCACCAAGGAACACCATCTACTATCCTCATACGAGACATCCCACCTCGACAACACCTCAAACACCCTCACCGAGGACGACCAAATGTCTCGAGACTATGCCTACCCCTCGTCTTCATCCCCATCAACCAGAAACTCAACCAGCGACATCTTCAGCCAAGACATGGCCGACACCGAACTAGACCTCGACCACCTGAAATCACGAGCATCAAGTCGCTCCTCCTTCTCCTCCCTCCCAGCCTCAGTCCTAATTCACCCCCTGGAAAAACTCCCCTCAATGCGCTCCATGAACCCGCACGAGAAAATGGCCGCAGCATACACCCACACCCTCGAAGACGACGAAGCCCGCTTCGGCGGCTTCGACGACCACCCAAGAACCACAACCATGAACGTGAACATGAACAATATCCGCACAATCCGCCAACGCGAAGGCGCATTCCGAAAGCCTAGCTCCGTCCGCGCTATGCAAATGCACACAGAAGATGAAGCCGACGACGACGAGTATCTCACCCCACCGCGCCGACGCGGGGGTCTACGGTCCCCTGGCTCATCGCCATTAAAGCGATCACCCTACTACTCCCCCACGACCGGAAAGGCCCCACCAAAGCCAAAGAAAGAGTATCCGCTTGTGCTGCTGCATTGTAATTTGCTTGCGCCGTCGTTGCCGGTGGCTGGGGCGTCGCTGCCGCGGAATCAGGGCATTGTTGAGGAAATGCTGCCGGTTGAGTATTGGAAGCGGTGGCGGCGTTTGCAGGAGAAGGTTGGGTCTGGGGTTACGCGAGATCGGGGCGTTTTGATTTCGCATCCAGAGGATTTGTATGATATGCTTGAGGAGCGATTGTTGGAGAGTCTTGAGTTGCAGCGGGCGAGGCTTCATCAGGGGCATTTCCTCGGCGGGGAGGAGAGGTATCACGGTGGGGAGGGGGATGAGGATGGGTCTGAGAGGGGTGATTATGATGAATATTGCTCTGATCGGGAGGAGAGTGAGACGGATGGGGAGCAAGGGGATGAATGTCCTGATTGTGGGGGTCGAGTGCAGAAGCATGATAGTAACCGCAAGTGGGAGATTCGTGTTTTTGCGGCGAATGGGCTTATGCGTGCGGGGGCTTGGGCGGCGGCTTGGAAGGAGATGGAGAAGGTTGATGTTGAGGTTGGGCTTTGGTTACCGTCTGATGTGCGGAGGTCATTGGAGAAGAGACTTGCCGAAGAACAGGCTGTTCTGAAGGAAGATTTTGATTCTCGCTCGACCTTTGATCCGACGCAGAACTATATCGATCCTAGACGCCTGTCCATTCAGAGTCATTCGAGGACTGGCAGTGATCCCAGATCGTTCCAGGCGAGCCCTCCGCCGAAGCCTGTGCCCGTGGCTATGCGCATGGATATCGAGTCCGATGAACGGACATTGCAGCCCGAAGCCCGAATCGAGAAAGTCGATGAGTCCAAGAAGGAAACGAAACAACCTCAAATTGCTCTGCAGACCCTACTTATCAACTACATCCGCGTGTTGGCCGGTGATAGGCGCAACATCGCACTTGTCTTGATGAGTATACTGGTGGTATTCCTCGCCATTGGTGCTCGCCCAGAACTGCCTCAATCCGTCTTGCACGTATTCCCGCCGGACAACGTTGCCTTTGATAACGCGCCAAATGTGATGGTTGATAATTCAGTCATCCGGGCTTCTCCTGCCAGCTTCTCCGAGGAGGCCGGCTTTACCTCGATGCTAGCTGCCTCGGTATCAGCGCCTGAATCGATTGTTGCCTCTGCTGAAGCCTCGCTTCCATCGCAGGTAGAGGAAGTTGCCTCTCCATCTCTCGCTGACTCTCAGGAGACCCCAGCTGATTCTGAGCCTGTTGCCTCATCAATCGAAGAGCTTCCTCCCCCCCTCTCGCCAACCCAAGTGAGACACCGGTCGAGCCTGGGCCTGTTGCTACAGAAACAGTGGCACCGCCTGCAGATGCTGAAGAAGCCTCTGCTATCGAAGAAGAAGAAGAGCTATTTTCTACCTCAGCATCTGAAATTGAAGGAAAAGGCCCATCTTCGACCTCAACGCCTGAAATTGAAGAAACTTCCACCAGTCTGGAGTCCCTTCCGTCCGAATCAGCATCATCGAGCTCTTCGGTAGACGACCCTATCCCATCTTCTACCTCTTTTGCGGGAGATGAATTGATCGACTCCGAGCTAGTAGTACCTCCCGTGGTAACGGAAGATGCCAGCCCTAATCAATCTGAAGATCAGGAGTACGAACTTGACCCTCAAGTCGAGATTGAGCAGGATGAAGAAGCGTAAATGCTTCTCCCGAGTGGAGGTTATATTTTTCTTTTTCTTCTTCTTTTTGTTGGAAATGGACAGATGCAAACACGACCTCGCTTGGAAATTTATGATATGACCGCAACGATATGAGTTGAAACGTTTGACTGGATTTGCTACTAGATATACGCGATTTGGGCATCTTTTGTTTTCTTTAGCCTTTAGCCTCGGTTTAGCCAATTGATGATCGGATATTTGTATGAAATGAAATTAACTTGAACTATGTTGGAAAGAAAACAAACACACGTATTATCTTAAATCAGAACAATAAAACGCAATCAATCCTTCACTATCCATTGCACTCCTCTCGAGCATCATATCATAGTTTTTGTTTCGGACAAAGCCAGCGGTCTCTGCTAATGTACTCCGAAATTCCTTCCATATCCTGGTAAAGGCCACACGGACGTGGTCATTTGGTCATACGTTTTGAACTCGAACCATGGACCGTCTTCCACTCTCTTCGTCGCCCTAATTATCTTCTCTCCAGCCGTGTTGAATTCGTATGCAGTATAGTCCGGAAATGTCCGCTCTTTGCGCTCAGTCTGGGTGCATCGTCTTTCGTTTGATTCCGGTCTTCTGTTGGTTTGTAGTCCCATTCATAGCTTTGTCAAAGATTGAATTCGAAGCCTTTGATCTCAGAGCTTCTTGGGTTGAAATTGAGCCTGAGGCTTTGTTGTTTGAGACGTAACCACCTGCATTTTCGGTCACCGTGACATTGTCAGTAAGGCTCTGCTGGACTCTGTTGAAGTTGTTTCATAGATAAGGGTCTGAACTTACTCTTAGCTCTTTTCGGCGTCTCGTTTGAGGATCCTTTGTTGTTGGTTGACATTTTCGGGGGATGTTTTGGAGGGGCGTCGGGTGGGCCACTTCAGCAAGTGTCATTTGGAAGTAATTGATTTTGTTTTGGGTCGAAGAGTAGAAGGCGAAATGATAAATATGCTAGAGAAGCAAAGAGCGAGGAGTGAGAGGGGGTAGGTGGGAAGAGGGAGGAAAGAGATGTCCAAAACTCGCGGATGTCTAGAAGTACAAGTGCAGCCTGCCTAATCCTTTCGTCTCTATTCACCTCGAAGCTCCCACTTCTACTTTCCATCATCTATCCAAAGTCCGAAGTACCCCTTATAGTTCCGGTAGTATAAATCGTAAGAGTCGTAAATTACTTGTCTTGTTTGTTCTGTATTAATTGCTATGTTCGCAGCAAATTAATTAAGCCAGCAAGGCATTATTCTGCGGCATATGATGAACCAGCCATCTCATGCGGCAATCCATTCTCATCCACCTGCGAACTTTCAGCCATCTGCATTGGCTGACAATGTAACCTCCTAAAAGCATCCAACCACTCCGAATTATCCGCAATACTCTGATTCCAAGAGTCCTCGGTATCATAAACAATGCGCCTAGATTCCCGCTGGAACATCTCATCCGTCGGGACAATCCCCAACTTCATCTGCCGCTGCGCATACTGACTGAGATGCTTCGTCAAAACCTCCGTGAACGAACTCAACTGTGATCTCGGCGGAATCTCGTCCAGCGTGGGGAGATCGACCTGTTCCGTAAAGGTCTCTTCATCATGTACCCGAGCAGAGATCTGGTTCAGGTGATCCCGAACATTATAGTCGGTCGCAGAAAATGGAATCAGACTATGTGACTCGGATCCAATCATATAAGGCGGCATCCAGTTCTTAACCTGTGCAGCAATGAACGGCGCAAAGCCGTGATCGCCGCGCCATTCTTTCATTGTTGTGCTTCCGCGGAAGTGTCCAGCCAAATGTTCGATCCGCTCGGCCCAGGTGCTCATTGTGGTTTCGCAGAATCCACACCGTGATGATACAGCCGGTCCAGCTATTTTCCAATCATCGATCAGAGGCATGACTTTGAGTTTATGTGTATGGCGCAGATGTTGAGTGAGGTGATCCTTTCGACGAAATTCGGGATTATTTCCTTGGCAAGCGAGATGATTATGTAGCGAAAGGTGTTCGGAACTGGGTTCCAGGGCATGGCAGTATGCGCAGTGTGTTCTGTTGGTGGTAGATGAGAAGACGACGCCGCCAAATGGGGTGCAGACCCATTTTTCCAGGTTCAAATGGAGTGATTTCTCATGCCGAGCCCAGTCATACTTGCTTTTGAAGCGATCGCAGCAGAATGTACAGCAGTATCTTCTTCGTGTATCTTGACTCGCCTTTGTCTGTCCCTTCGTCTGGCCCTTGATTTGCCCTCTTGTCTGACGTGACTTGCCTACTCGCGCTTGTGACTTATGGCTCAAGGAGCCACCAGAAACTCCCGAGCCCGCAGAACGGTGCGAGGCACCGGAGAACTTAGACGAGATGCTGGTACCACTGTCACCGCTTGTGGATGAAGGGCGCCCACGGTGTTGACGGAAAGCATCTATCGATCCACCACGGCTATTCGTTTCCGAGGCCGTGCTGGGGTAATCGGAAAGTCGAGCATTATCCTGGATGACTGCGTTGTTGACAGCATCCATGATAGCGGACATAGAGGCTGGCTCGTCTTCTGGCGGTGATTCTTGCCATCTTTGCATCGGGTCGAGAGACTGCTCTGTTTGAGGTGCACTTGGAATCATAATCGGATTGCTCGTCTGCTTGGATGTTGATCGAGGCATGAAATAGCGACTTCGCCGTCTCGGGAGACCCCGTGGTGGGGTATTCACCCCAGACGGCGGGTGAGACAGCGGGGGATTCCTTGGAGTTCCATGTTGCATGTATGGACTGACATATCCCATCGATGGACTATAAGTTCCAGACTGAAGAGGTGAAAGTGGACTATTTCCAGTTGACGTTGACAGGCCGATCTCGGCCCCCTCCAGGTTCACATCGGATGTTGATACCGAACCCAAAAACCCGGTGTCAGGGCTGAGATAGTCGAAAGGTGAGTAAATAGGTTGTATGTGTTGCTGTTCATTTGTAATTCCGAGTCCATCCACGGGACCTTGATTTGCCTGGGAGTAGTACAAGGGATTACTACTAGTATCAAGCCAACCCCAGTCCGAATCAAAAACTGTGGTATCAATATGTCAGTGTGGGAACCCCATATTACAACAAATCGGGTGACGAACCTCCAAGATCCGAGCTATCGATAAGCTGATGCTCCTCGGCCATACTCGCCTTATTGGAAGTGCTATCGGGCGGTAGGTAGCCTCGGGTTCAACGGGCTGAGGCTGCTGCTTTCTCAGAAAGCAGCGGGATTTGCGTTCATCGGCGATTTCGCCGATCTTATGTAATACACCAAAAAACCGAAAATATCTTGGCTCTAGTGACAAACCTTAAAAAAAGATTATATTATTCAGTGATCTACGAATTGAAAGTAGATAGTACATTTCTGGTATATTCGAAAATAAACAGCATAAAGTTCCAATTTATGACTCACAATTTCCCACATAATGTAATGTTTCGCTAAGGTTTGGTCTCTTTTTGACCCCGCGATCGGCATGATGCATCTATACTCCGTACATCTGCAAGTAAAGATGCACTTAGCAAATAGATTGCATTGTATCCAATTAGCTCTGGGCTCTAAACCCCGCCTTCCGGCTACATGCAAGTTATCCTATGACCATGTCGGCGCTTAGAGCCTTCAATCCCGAACCAACTGTACCCGGAAGAAGACCGAACTAGGGCGGAGAGTAGGGCGTGCTGTGGGGCATAGTTGTCGTTACAAAGGCGCGTGGTGGGGCATTACTTTAACAAGTGATGGGTCACGATGAAGAAATTTTGATAAAAATTGGAGCAGTCCAATTGTTCCTGTGGCGTCACAGGGACAATACAATTTCTATGTCAAAAAGCTATAGCGTTCGTTGATCTTCCTGTCAAAAATTTCTCCCAAAGATCAACATATCATACCAGTAATCATTTGAAGATAATCTATTTCTATGCCTGAGAAGAAAGAGCTTTCTGTGGCCGTGGGCCATGGCTCTTCACGAGGAATTGGCCAGCCTAATAATCATTTCCAACATCCTTTTACTTTCTCGCGGGTGAGTTGATATGTCGCCATAATGGAGCCAAGATGTTCTAACCAACGCTACTACAAGTACTAACCAAGTAATTGTAACAGGGCAAGAAACTACACATTGTTGCCGCTGGCATCTTATTTATTTTCAATGCTGCCTTTGGATCCTCACTTCCTTCTGGCGCGAAAGATGAAATTGCAGCTTATTTCAACATTCCAGTTGACAGCACTTTGCTCGTTCTGCCAACATCATTATATCTCGTCGGATTTGCTCTCGGTCCCCTAATCTTTGGTCCTCTGAGTGAACATGTCGGCCGTAAACCTGTGCTTGTCGGGACCTTCTTTGGCTACATCGTCTTCACGCTTGGTTGCGCACTTTCGCCCAATTTTGCCTCGCTACTTATCTTCCGCCTTCTGACGGGACTGAATGCAGCATCTCCAAATGCAGTTCTCGGTGGGCTGTATGCAGATATCCTTGAGAGTCCTCAAACTCGCGGAACTGCCATGGCACTTTTCATGGTCGTTACCGCATTTGGTCCTCAGATGGCACCTCTCGTCTCGGGTTTCATTTCCACTGTCTCGTGGCGCTGGACCTTCTGGGTCGGGCTGATTCTAGGTGCTGTTTGTTTCCCTCTCATGGTTTTCATCCCAGAGACATATGTCCCGGTCCTCAAGAAAAGAGCGTTGCAGAAGCAGGCCAAGGAAGAAAGTGACTCGGACGATGACGCTGCCAATATCTTGAAATCGATTCCTAAAGGTGATGGAATCTTGACCATATTCACACGACCTTTTGTGATGACTGTTCAAGAACCCATTCTTCTTTTCTCTTCTCTTTTTATGGGCTTCACATATGCCGTTTTCTATCTGTATTTCCAGGCCTATCCCCTGGTCTTTCAAGGTTAGTGGCGAAAATCCCTCGAGAATAACCCAATCAAAGTCGCAACTAACCCGATTTATAGATTTATATGGACTTTCGGCCGGTATTGCTGGACTTGCTTTCCTCCCAAGTAAGTTTAAATACATACATACTATATTTTCCTGAACCCAGAGCTAATGATATTACTAAAGTCTCGGTTGGCGCCGTTATCGCCTTCACAATCTTCATGTGCTACGGAATGTTCCATACCAAAGCCCATAAAGCGGGCAAGAAATGGACAACGGTCGAGGAGTATCGGCGTCTTCCGCTCGCCGCCATTGGAGCACCACTGTAAGTTGACTGTTGTCTTTCAAAATCTTCTCTCGGGTATATCATCCAGTACTGACCTATCCAGACTCCCCGTTGCCATGTTCTGGCTCGCATGGACCGCCAAAACATCCATTCATCCAATAACGCCCATTATGTCTGGACTTTTCTTCGGCCTGGGATACATTCTTATTTTCATGGCTATGATCAACTATTTGACCGATGCTTATAAGCAGTACTCGGCTTCAGCCCAAGCCGCTGCCAGCACCATCCGATCTACCATGGCTGTTTGTCTGCCATTGGCGACCAACCCTATGTATAGCAAATTGGGGATCAATTGGGCAACATCCTTGCTGGCATTCATCTCTTTGTCTCTGGCAATCATTCCATTCGCGTTTATGCGATATGGAGAGTGGATTCGGGGCCGGAGTCCATTTGCTCAGAGAGTTATGAAGGGAGAGGTACCCGAGAACAAAGCCACGGGTGATGAGATGGCCTAAAAGTTATCATGCATTTTCTTTTGATGGGTTTATGGTCTTGATTTCGCATTTCTGGCGTTGGAAGCATGATAGACCAAATAGTGCTCGTTTGAGAATAATCAAATCCATGGATTTTTGAATTGAATCTGTTATTTACTATAGTCTTCCCATGATTGGTAGTTCCACCTGATCCTGCCGTAATTGCGAGCTATATTTACTCCTCTGACTAATATGGGACAGTTGGGTATCATATCCTACCCAGGTACCAGTCATTCAAAAGAATCCTGAATCAAGACGATATGAAGCAGGGATGGTAGGCCATTTATCAACACCATCCAGGATAGCCAATGCCATTCCACCGCTTTGGTGGACCTGCACATGACAATGTAGCAAGAAAGCGCCCGGGTTGACGACATGATATCGTATGGCTAGCCACGAAGGCCCAAAAAGTGCAATGGGTGTATCGCTCGTATCTCTATACTGGGGATTGACGAGGTTAAAGGACCCAGGGATAGATTGAATGGCTTCTGCAACATCTGTATAGTTAAATGCCCCTGTTCCTTGGCCGATGATGAAATGCTTGTTCGAATGTTTGTGGATCGGATGAGGAGGCGAGATTGGCGGGGCGTCGATTTCGATGATCAAATCTACCCAGGTGTTGTTTTTTGTGCGGATAACTAAGTCACTTGGGATGGAATTCTGATTGAAGAGGAGAGGTTGGGCCTCTTCCAATTCAAGGTTGTAACTATCGTTTCCGAGGGTCCACAGATAGGACGCGTTGAAGTGTTGAATAGTCAATTTGTAGGTTACATCCGCAGTAGCTGCAGGAGCAATAGCCGGGTATGGGATGATCAGTGACTCGTCTAGGAATACAGTGTTTGCAGTGGCATTGAGACCATTCAGCAAGACCCAAGGGTTGGAAGGCCTATTGAGTTGAGGCCTGCCTTGGTATCTAAGAATTCCTGTGGTGTTTAGGATTTGCTGTTGGCTGCCGCTGACTAGGCGAAGCGAGTAATCCCCTCGAGGCTTGTCAAGAGGGACTAGAACTGAGTATCGATTCGCATTGGGAATGTTGATCGCATTGACAAGGATGGGCTCGATGTAACGGCCGTCAACAGCATAGACCCACATATAATGCTCATCTACCGAGAAAATGAGTTCAAGATGCCCAGATGCACTAGTCAAATCCCAGCTGACGAATTGCTGTCCATTCACTGTAATGATTTCCTGCTCCCCTTTGGTAGGCGTGCATCCACTGAACATTGTCGGTGGAAGAGCGTCAAAGTTATGAGGATAGTCTCCCTGCAAAAGCGTAATATTTGGCGGGAAACATCTGGATGGTGTGAGTATGATCATTTCTTGTTTTTGCCGGTCAATATGCTTACGCTATATCGCTAAGAGTTTCATTTCCCAACACGGCTTGCACGTTTGGTGTGATCAATGACTGTATCAGGGCTCGAGGTAGACAAGACACTGCACCCTTGCCATTGATAAGCAGTGCATTGACGCAGTAAGAGTCGACACCAGAGGCAACCTCGGCAGCCCAAACTTGTTCCGAAGTCAGAAGACGCCAGTCTGATAGCAACAGGGGAGAGGTGTTCTTTTCAGCCGTCAGCATAGCCTGCACCTGGGTGTTGTTTGTTGTTATCAAGCTGAAGGGTCTGGGCTCACTAGCCCGCGGGGTGATGTAAATTGGGCCGTAAAGACCATCTTCCAATTGGCCCCGATGATGAGCGTGATAAAAGTATGCGCCGTAGTCAACAGCAGTCCATCGGTAAAGGAAAGATTGCCCTGTCACGATTGGGCGCTGTGAAACTCCAGGAACCCCGTCAGACCAAGGGGTTCCAAGCTGTTCAATTCCTTTAGATACCTCGTTAGCTCACACCCACCTCATTCGCACCAAGGGTCTTACCATGGAAATGCACAGTAACGTTAAAAGGACACAAATTCGTGACAGCGAATTGAACATTATCACCCTGATTTATTTGGAGCTCGGGTCCTGGAAACTGAAAGTTCGAGTGAATAACAGGTCTAATATTCCCCGCAACGCTAGTGTTTTGCCAAGTCAAAACAAGAGGGAAAAAGACTGTCGCAGCTTCGACCCAATTTCCCAGGCACAGACTCAGCAGCAAGAAAGTTCCGATTGTGAACTTCATGTTTGTATTTAGTAGATGCAGTGTAATATTCAAATACTTAGATTAAGCTTGTTGCACCAAAACCGCTCGGAAGCATCTTTCCATTTTATAAAGAAAAATCGGATACTCCAAATTGGATATCCGGAATACTATGGAACTCCCTATCCTTGTTGCGAGTCCTCGTGCCTACGCCCTATTGACCTTAATGAGATGGGTTATAGCGGAGGCTTTCCGTCTTGAATCCTAAAGGAGATTTGAGGTACCAGTGCAGCTGCCAGTGTCTGAAGAGAGGCAGTACTACTAGTAAGTAGATATACATTGCATTTCTGTCCACGGCTTCCGTTATCCTAACTTGAACCATGACCTCAGTGACAACCTTGAAACTCGAAAGAGAAATATTTCCATCTCGCCGAACTGCGAAATCAGTGTGCCGCGAAAAGAAAAGGACTGCCTATTGATCCGGAAGCAAAAGCACCTATAGTGTCTTGAATATTATACGAGGATTATGGGCGTTGATCTATAAGAAAGCCAATCACATTATCCACATTTTTGTGGCGTCAGCATGAGACCTCGCTCTTTGACAAAAACCTCAATACAGAAATAAGCAGATCCATGAACAAGTACGCGGCCCAAATCTCGGAGTGATTACAAGCCCGAAGCTAGAACTCTTACAAAGTCAAAGGAGTGATTTATGCGATGTGATAACAACAAGGACCCTTGCATACGCTGAGTGGGCGAAGGAAAGAAAGAATTTTAAGACAGAGCCTGCGTAGACTGCAGCATAATGCGCCTTGATGAGTCGGTGTGCTGTGCTAAGGACGAATAGTGGAGCTGAATTCAAGTTGCAGATACATCATACGGCTACGCAGGCCTAACTTGGACATTTGACTCAATTTCAAGATTAAGTGTTTCGGCAATCTACCGAGAATAAACCCACCAAGCAGTCTCTTAGGTCTGAAGAAGTGCTGTATGAATAGCGGTGCTGTCAAACGGTTCGTGGCCTAAGGTATGAGTCAAGCAAGCAGACGGCACGGAGCCCGGCAAAGAAGGCCCAATTCGATTCATTCCCGGGGCCCCACGTGTGTAGTGGGTGGATCAGGTACGCAACCACTGGAATGCATAGGTCAGATTAGAAGCAATAGGAGAGGCTCCGAGCGTAGAGAGGTCTTAGTTGGGCTTGGCCTTGGTGGGGTTTGATTCCCAATCGGACCGCCCACCACGAGGTAGGAAGGTGTGATGATGAGCAAGGAAAAATGTGGGAGAAAATGGGAAACGCCAATTGATTTCTAACAATATAGAGAAAATAGAATAATAATCTGAGCTATTCTTACTGTGACTTTCCGTCGTCCAATCATTCCAGCGCATTATAAACTTTTAACCAACTCCGCTCAAGCCGAGATGCATCATATTCCATCATAACAATCAAAAGTGTCCAGTATTATCTTGAAATGCAGGCATACCAGGCTGGGCTGCATTTGACGCAGGAGGGCCGCCTTCTTTCAAATGAGCAATGATAATAGGATCTGAGGCAGGAACTATACCAGACTGGATCTGCGATGCTGGATCCACCCAAGGCTGTTTTCCCTTGTCGTCATAATCACCTGGCTCAATCAAGTTCATACCATCGATATCAGGCGGCGTGAGTTCACTGTAGTTGTCGTTCAGGCGCTGCAGGAAGGCTGGGTCGAATCCCATCTGCACGAGCGGATCAGCTGCTCCCCCATCTGCGGGTGCTGAGGATGAGGCTTGGCCACCAGTCATGCTGCTGCCCCAATCAGAAGCGAAGGCTGGTACTCCAGCTGAGATCATCCCTGAACTGCCAGCATAACTCCCTGAAAGACTGCCCGGTCGACTGGCCGCTGCGGATGAAAAGCCTGTTCCAGGGTAGGCGGGGCTTCGGATGCCAGGACTTGACACCGCGGGACTGGGAAGTGCACCCGGGAAGACTGCTGTTGCCAGTGGTTTGGCTTCTTTTACAGGCTCTCGCAAGCCACCTTGAACAGCGGCGAATGGAGGTTGAAGACCCAAGTCGGTAAACTGAATGTTCTCGTCGTTCACAGCGACCTCGAGGCCCGTCTCGCGCTTCAGGACCCTCAGCCAAATAGGGTTGTCTGCACAAGTTTGATTCCAAGGATCGTCTGTGCAGTAAATTACCCGACGAGCCTCGGCTTGTAGCATCTGATCTGTGGGGACAAGTCCTTGCGCTGTTTGGTTGTGGATATAAGCCGTGAGTTCGCGTGACAGGCGATGATAGCAGTTGGCATCGTTCGGGACAGGCAACGCCGGTGGGTTTCCATCAGTCGCCCAAGGATTGGGAGATCGCCATTCGTATCCAATCATATAGGGAGGGATTGCATTCTCCACTCGCTCTTGGATCCAGGGCTCAAAGCCCCAATCACCCTGCCATTGGGCCATGTTGGCTCCATTTTTAAAATGGCCAGCAAGGTGATCGACTCGGTCCTTCCAGGTAAGCAGAACAGTTCCGCAGAATCCACAGCGGGATTTGACATTGGTGATGCTGCTGTTCCATTTGTCCATACATCGTTGAAACTTCGCATTGTGCATGAGTCGAAGGTGCTGGTTCAGATGATCCTTTCGGAAGAATGTTCTCTCTTGTGGGGACTTTTCTTGACAGCTGATGTAGTTGTGTGTCTCGAGATGATCTTTGTCTGGATTGGCGATGGAGCAAAAGACACAACGAAGTATACCATTCTCCTCTGTTACGCCGCCGTGGGGAGAACAAGTCCATTGGTCCAGAATGAGATGCATTGATTTCTCATGACGTTGCCAATCGTACTTAGCCGTGAATGAATCAGTACAGAAAGTACATTGGAAGGGACGAGATGCTCGAGCTTTCTGGTGGTTGAAAGTATTGACAGGCACCGAGGTCTTGCGGCGGCGGCGACGATCTTTGCGATCCATTGAGCCGAATGAGCCCAAAGAGGACCGATGAGAAAAGGCAGAGGCAAAAGAGAGATCTGAGCGGGAAGACCGACTAGTATCCAAACTGCTACCCGAGGCGGTATATCTTTTATGTTCGGAACTGGCGTGGCTTGAGTCATTGGTACTCGATCCCGGGCGACCCCTCACGTGACCAGGTTTCTGACGTTGACGCGCGGGATCGAAAGGTGGATTAGCCAAGGCACGGTTAATATCGCTGATCGTGGCAGGTTCGTTCTCAGGAGGAGAGTATTTCCAACGTTCCAAAGGAGTCATGAGAGATACATCCCTAGGGTGCTGCTGGCCGGGAATATTGACCGCTCCCGAATCGGCAGACTCGGCCCCGACTGGGGGAACCTTGCCTCGACGACGAGCGTTGGCAAGCCAGTTGGCAATTTGGGTTCTTGTCAAGCCCGTATTCTCCTTGAGTTGATCTTTCTCAGGTTCGGTAGGGTAAGGATTGTCGTTATGCTCGCGGAGCCAACTTTTCAAGATATTGATCGCCTTGCGAGAAAATCGAGCACTGGACTTGCGAGAGCGGCCATCAGGGTCGTCGCCAAATGCGTTGTACGAGACCGACTTCAAGGCTTTGAGTCCAGTTAAGCCACCTTTGGAAGTATAGGTGTGCTCGTTCACTGGATGCAAAGTCTGGAGGAAGCGGCCAGGAACTCTGGCGTGTGTAAAGCTGCATTCGCGCCAGAGGGAGATGCAACAGGTACAACCTGCTTTTTGCATAACACCTCTTGTCGCAATAAAGCAGTCAAGGCCCATGCGGCGGCAAAAGTCACAGGGTTCGTGGGCTCGGAACATGGGGTAGACTCCGGTGTCTTGTTCGGGGCCGACAGGAACTTCCGCATTCTGCTCGGCCGACTCCGGGACGGGCGGGTCAATGGGAAAATCGAGTGGTAGATCTTTCTGGTCATGGAGCAGCGAGTCGAATCTGTCATCCTGCTCTTCAGGCTCGTCGAATTCTAGGTCAACCGAGGCGACATCGTCGCTTTGGTGGTTTGACTCATGGGCTGACGAAGCGCCTTCAAAGTCGAAGTACTCCATTGTAGAGAAGAAGCGAATATTCTTTTCCTTGTCCTTGAATAATCAACTTCACTTGAACAGCCAGATAAGAATCCAAGAACGGGGAATGGCAGAGAAAAGAGTCGGTCTGCGAGGGGGGGGACCCTTGGTCCGGGGTAGAGAGGGCAGGGTGAATAATCAATGGTGGAGTCTGGGTTCCTATGGGCTGGGACAATATGCGGCGCTAAGAGGAGCCCATCAATCGAATCGGGCCCTTTTCAGTTGGCCGGTTCCAAGGCCTTTTTCTGCCGTGGGCCGATAAAGGCAACAGTCATAGCAAAATGTCATTGAGACGGCGGGGCCAAACAGGTGAGGCTGAGGCTTAAGGCTAGGTAAGCCCATTCAAGCCATGAGCTGCAGTGAAAAATCGATGTTCTCGTATAGAAGAACGTCATCATTCAATATCCATCGGTGTCAACATCGATGTCCACGCTCGGTTCTCCGTACTCCATAGGAATGCCAATGGCAGTGTCAACCGGAGAAGAGAGTGGAGGTCCGAGGAATGCAAATCGCACGCTGCACGCCCTTCCATGTCAACGCTAAGCCTATTCGGGTTAAGCGCGCCTGCGAGGACCCCCCCGCGATATCGGACTGACTGGAATGGCTGGAATGATTGGAATGACTCCGCTCGGATTTGCTCTTCTCACATGGTATTCCCGTTTAGCCCTTCTAGAAGCGACGCATAAACATATCCACCTCTCGGAGTTCGAGCTTCTTCCCGGTTTCAACGGGTAAAGCCGATAGGCGCCCGACTCCGACTCGGCGACCACTCGGAGGTAGCGCCTGAATCATCTGGAATTAGGGCTAGACCATTTTGAGCACGGTTTGCAGTTGAGAACAGATCAAAGGCATTATGCGACATTGCAAGGTTCCCCAAATATATTATAGCTTAGTACCTAGGTACGATATATCATATACCTAGGCACCTTCCCCGTTACAGAACACTACTAGTGGTAAACAGGGCTATACTAACTAGTAGTTACTCCATCCTTGTACTCCCCACTATCTGATCCCAACCTTAAACTCGAAAGTCAAAATTTCTTGGTTTGATCCTTCTCGAGATTCGGTTCACTTGAATTATGCTTGCTGTGATGGCCTGTTGGACAGCTACCATTCCCAAGGATTTAGGCTAGACAAAAGTTTCAAGGCTCTGCTTGGGTATCTTGCATGGAACTCGTCCCAAGCTCAGAGAGACTCCTTGGTACTCTGCTACTAGTATATTTCTCAAGAGCAGCAAAAAGATCCTTAAATATATAACGGTACCTACTCTCCCATGGTATTCAGAAGTTGGGCATGCGATCATACACGTTATCGTGATCCATCCTGCAGTTCGAAACACCGCTAAAACTACCTTACTAGTACTGGTAGGTTATTTCGACTACTACGTACCTAGCGGTGTCTCTATCCATATTACCAATACCTCCAATTAGCAATGAATAGCACCTTCCTTAGATTCTCTCAGTAATGCTAGGGGCATCCAGACTTTATAGGGCTATATTCCGCTATTATTTTCGGATTCTGTCTCAATATGTGCAGCTATCCGCCTTTCGACTTTAAGCACGCTGAAGACATGACCAGAAAATACCAAAAGTAGGAGAAAGCCGGAGTCGAAACATCACCAGAATTCCAGATCTTTCATGGCGCCTGGGCATCCTTGAACAAACACCCAAACTGAAAGATTAACCAGAACTCAAAACATTGAAAATATAGACTCTTTTTTTCTCTTTTTTTTCTGGGGATAAAATCAACGATGACCAACACCAGCACGCTTTAACATATCTTCATTGGCAGTCCGCAATGAACCTTGAATGTAATTCACACCATCAAGTTGCAGCGATATCGGCATCAATTTCCCCTTCCGGGTTACAATGCTATTTTCGCTGGGTTTTATGAAATCAGCAAGCGGAAGATCCGAGGTTCGCAGAATACTACCATTTCAAGGCCAAATAACCCCTGCAAGTTCCCGAAACCACACAACCCCGGAGCAGCTTCTCGTATCCATTTCGGGAACAGATCAGGCGACCTCCAATCTCCGGGCCCAATGATTTTTTTTCGTCCCTCGTGTTCTCTTCCCGTATAGGTCTACCATGTATAGTATATCTCTATGGTAGAGCTTCCAAGTTCCTATTCGATCATTACAAATCTCACCCCTGGAGCGTATACGCTGGCATTTGGCTGGACTATTCCAAATTACAAATCCACTTACCTAGAAACTCACCCTTTCGGAAAATTGATTACTAGTTCCAGCAATCCTCTGATCACAATGAATAAGAAAAATAAAATCCCCAGGTGATTTTCTTGTATTAGTAGTGCACAGAGTGTAACTACTCGGACTTGAATACTTCTACTAGTAGTTTATGGCTGCCAAGGGTCGAATCTCAGGTCAAAGTACCAATATGCCGCCTAGGAAAACTGAGACTATTACACCTCAACACTTCATTCATCACATTCAACTTTAATTGTTTTTAGGGAAAAACAGGTAAGGATGAAAAGGATCTTCAATAAAGGATCTTAGTCTGCTTGGCCACGCTTTGTGCGTCATTTTCAAAGTACCTTCGTCTGTTTTCAGATGATACCTAGTAATCAAATCACTAGCATTCCTTCTGTCCTAGGTAGCCTGTATCTACTACTACCTACTAGTTGGTTGATCTTCAAAGTTTCTACCTAGGTCATGGTACTGAGGACAGCGCTAGTACTAGTACTACTGGTACCAGACTTTATATAATTTGATTGAATTAAATGAAGTTTCCAAGGTTCCAGACAGGTTTAAAAATTCTAGAAGTCCTTAGGGGGATGTAAGCTTTTCTGGTCGTTGCTTGGGAGAGAATGGGCGCGGCACTTGGCCAGGCGACTACAGAAAGTCAGAACGTAAGCAAAATAAAGTGGTGGATGACGAATTTACCGTAGTGACATTATCATTTTTACCACCTACATATCTCGATGCAGTAATCTCGATGGCCAAGATGTAAAAAGGGATAAATAAATGCTTGGGGAAGTCTTGTCGGTCAGCCTCGAGTCATACAGGGTGAACAAGCCGATTGCCTTCCAAATTCCGCGTGTAAATTGACTCGCTTGTAATTTGTGTCGCGTGACTGCCCAAGAAACGAACATTTCTCTCTTGAACTGAGGAGTCCATTCATGTCTTATTTCCTTTATGATCAACTTCCAGGGCTATCTCTTGATAAATAATACTCATGAGAAAGAGTAACCCGCCAGATCTCTCTCCCAGGGCAACTTCATTCTAACAATAGCATCCCCCTTCTTTCATTTTACCCCGCAGCGGTAATTATATCAACATGGGTTACACCGCAGTACTACAAAACACCAATGAGAGGCATTGGTAGATTCCACAATAAGCAGGGGCATTATGATGCGTGGTTAAGCTCACAAGTACTGGAATGGCTAGTAAGAAATTTCGGAATTCTCACCTACTAGTAGGAACTTGAAATACTACTTCACTCGTCTGTCACTTTTTACATACCTAATCTATCAGATATCATAAATCGGACACCCAAAAGAAACCAATTACCTAGGTACCTAGGTAGGTGGTTCCCATTCTCTCTATAATGGTACCACTGAGATGCTTTGGCACCTGGGATATCAAGGGGTTGCGTACGAAAAGGGTTTCGGCCCCAAGGCTGATCTGCAGCTCAGATTTTAGGCGTTCTCCCTGATTTTGCCCTGCATCTGTTAGGTAATCTTGCTCAAAAGTCCGAGCATTAGATTGGCTCTAGGTCTTCCAATGCTTCTTGGAGTAAACATTCCATCACTGGCAGGCCTGATGTTACTATGAAAATGATCATCATCTCGCCTAAAAAGGGGGAGATATACACATCGCAGTCCAGTGATGACAGTATTAAGGCAACCAGTACTCCGTAAATCAAGTCCTGGGGGCCGATAAAAGGCATGACCATGCAGGGGCCAAAAAGAATACTACCTCAGCAGACCAGGGCTGTTTGAATAGCAAAGCCTCGTTCAAGTTGCAGAAGAAATTCTGGCCTGGTCCGAGTCTGAGCTGATCTATGGCAAGTGTTTCGCAGGAGACTTGGATACCTATATAAACATCATTGACCTGCCAGGTTTTCTTATAATCAGAACAATCACTGGCATTTTATCATCTATTTTCAATCAAGGTTCACCCAAGGAGTACTACGCACTCAACCAAAAGACCCGGCGTGCAATTGGATTAAAACATGTACAATTTCAGCTCTTATCTCACATTCAATACACTGACTTGTTTTTAGACCGACTCGATATGCATTTCATCAAGAACATCCTACTCCTGGTCACCTGTGTCACTACGGTTTTCTCGGTTGCCATTCCCGAAACCAACGATGCCGACCTGGAGTGCAAAGATCTCGGTGGAAAAATGAAGGTTCTTGATATCGACCTTCCTGTCGGCGTGACTCAGGCGGATGTGCGCAAATGCGAAGGACACCCTCTCGCTCATAACTTCAATAGTGGTGGGGATTCCTCTGAGGCCCCCGTGAACGTGAATGAGAACCAAAACTCTACTCAGGTCCAGACTCGGTCTTCCCTTGAAGAATCTGCCGCACAGAGATGTTACAAGAAGGCACCTTATGGCTGCGATGGTGGTTATTGCTGGAAGTCTTGCGGAGACAAGAACAAGGGAGAATGGTGTTGGACAGCGAATAAAGGTGGGTATGGTGCGTGGACTACATGTTCAAACTGGCAAGACTGTGGAACAACCACATATGCTTGTGGTGCGGGATGTGTTACCAGTCGCAGCTGTGGTTGTAGCTGCTAGATATTCGTTTTCTCGGTGAGCTAAAGGCAAGGCTCTTTGTCTGTATTTACATTTAACACTATACTGCTCCTAGAGCCATTTCGCTCTTTACTCCTATGGCCCTTTCAATTGGAAAATGAAATGATTTGCTGGGCCGTGGTTTGGTCACAGCATGTCTGCAATTGGTTCATGGCTTTCTTTCTCTATGCATAGGTATCATAATAGTCCTATGAATCTTCCAAGGTTGGAACATGTCAAGCCGTATAGCATACTAGAATGACCGCCATCAGTAGTTCTAGTAAGGAAGCTGCCATAACGTCGGTCACGGATGTCAAAATTTCTCAATGACTGTAAGATAGTGCCCAGGTGGTCAGACCTCCAGGGCTAATTTTCAAGGTCATAATAATAATCTCTTGCTCAGGTTAAAATAGATACCTGAACGAACAGCCCTGGAGTGCTAACATTAACCTTCACTAAACGACTCCGAAGTTCTATTACTACTGGCACTACGGAGTATTAGTTGTCGTTTCACTAATTCCGTCAATAAATTTCGGGATAAAACACTCTCCATGTTGGACCCACTGGCCATTCAGACTTGCTCAACTTTACACATTGATTAGAAAGCGACGATGGGCGAGTGGTTGAAAAAGAGAAAATCCGTGAAATGAAAGCCTGACTTGGCCGGGAAGTCAGGCCTACCCATGGATGTTTCGGCAGCAAGACTAGGAGAGGTCCAATAACCCTGGCGGTGTCAATGGGGGGATCTGACCCCGCAAATCATCGATCTACTCAGGTTCCAGCTTTACATTTGCCCATGGTGGGATATTTTTGAATATTGTGGAATAGTCCCAATTCTGGAGTCTAGTCTATTCGTCTGCTGGCCTTCCTACGGGGAGCCGTACAACCGGAAAACGTGATTCATGGTGTTCCTACATTTTCAAGACGTCGAGATACCAGCCTGAACTTCAAGTGAAGACTCTGGCATCGACTCAGTTTCGATGAATCGAGCATGTCCCTGAGCACAGGTTGTTCTACCTCCGGTTACCATAGCCACAATACCAGACAGCACATTGTCGGAAAGTCGGAGGAAAAGATGGATATGGCTCTGTAAGAATTGACACCGAATGGAAGAAGAACGATATTTTTTCATTTTTCATTGACCGTAATGCGCCTGATTTCGTATTGATTGGTTATCCCTCTTTTTTCGAGGGCTCCTTAAACAAACTTGCGCTATTACCGCCACTGCAAAATAGACCTAAACCCCATGCATCATGAATCCCTTAGGCGGACTTGTTCTGGACAGCCTCACGGCCCTTGGCAATGCGGGCGAGGATATCCTCACGGTCCTTGTCCATGTGCAGCTTGGTGATGACGACGTTGGAGGGGGCGATGGGGATGGGGACGCTCTGGCCGTTGCTCTTGTCGCGGGAGACCTTCTCAATGTAGATGACGAACTTAAGACGGTAGGAAGAGGTGACCTTGCCCTCACGGCCCTTCTGGGAACCGCGGGTGATGGTAACGTAGTCGCCGACACGGATGGGGATGGAGCGGACCTGTGGAAGACAGACTGTGTTAGATTTCGATCCATTGTGTGGTTTTTTCTGCCTCTTCTTATTTTTCCTCATCGGATTCGTGGGTGTATGGGCTCGGAGGAAAACGTACGTTCTTCTCCTGGCGCAGCTCAGTGGAGAGAGGAGCGGACATCAGAATACGACGCTGGCTGGAAGGCGCAGAGAAGTGAGCCTGTAAATATTGTGAGTCGATTGTCTTCGGTCGGTCGGTGGTTGATCGATAATTACCTTGCGGGACTTGCTCCGCGAAGAGGCGATACCTGCAGCACACAAATCCGTCAGTATTTTTGAATCGGGGAAATTCGATGGGATAGCGCGGTGCGCAAGGCGATTGTGAGTACACACCGTGGTTGCGAACAGTCATCTTGAACGGTGCCTCCTTCAGGGTCGTATGGATGGGGTTGTCGTTGGTCGGGGATGAGAATTCGTGGTTTGAATATTGCAGCATGCGGGTCGGTTGTGCGTCACATGATGTTCTGCTCACGTAAGTCGGCTAGGGCTCGCGATGGGTGTGTGATTGGTCAGAGAGGTGGGTCTTTAATCACCACAGCTAGTCTATATTCGGACTAGCGTGAACCAAACGATCTGGCACTCGTTATAGATGCACGTGAACACTTGAACGATATTCCAGTACAAAGAAACGGCCCTCGAACAGAATAGTTACAATAAATTTCAGTTCTCAACACCTACCTAGTCTTTCAATGATTTCCCTGCTCCCTTGCCTTCATAAATGTCCAGAATTGTTCCACAATAGTCTTTCCATCAATCTTTTCCGATCTTGTTTCCTCCAAGTCTTCGCTTCCCAAGGATTGTTTGATCTTTTGAAGCGAAATTTCCATCGTACTCGCAATTTCAGCAAGCCAGTTTATTCGTCTTTCATACCATCCAGTTTTAATAAGATCATATTAGCTCCGGCACACTTGGAATATAATCCATTAATGGATCACTTTCGGCAATTCACCATGTTTGTTGGCTTTCTCCTTTCCGAGTCCCTTTCAAATTTTTCCCGTGCTTTTCAAGAGCCTCGTCACACATTTTTTTGAGTAACTGAAGCCAAAGACGTTTGAGTGTCTCCAAGCTTTCTCGGGTATACCTTTGCATCTCTTCCTCCAGCCCCTGATCGTGCCTTCTTCCACGTCCAATGGATTTCGAACATCCCCGATGACTTTCCGGGAGCCAAGGGGCCCCTTTGGACCTATACCCTTACCCTTGTGACAACATACATGAGCTATCTTGAGAAGGTCAAAGCGCATCCGCCGAATAAACGAAAGACATACCGTTTTTGCTGCCTCGTAGCCGTGGAACTCTTCAACAATTGAGACCCATTCAAAGGCCCAGACAAAGCTTGCTCTAGACACTTTAGCAAGTATTTCTCGTTTGAACGTGATATTAAATCCAGACGAGGTATGGCAATCGTTAAAAGAACAGGTGCACCTACAGCTATCTGTATGGAAGATGTCGAGCCCTCGATGTAAACAGAGCCTGATTGAATCGATAATATCCCAGGTCGTATGAGAAAGCCGGTTGAGATGCTCTATCAGCTTAAATATGACAGTGCGGATTGACATCAGTTCCATGGTCAAGACAGCACCGAAACAAGTTGAAATCCGTGCTGCGACTTGCGAGCGAAGAAACTGCAAGCTCACCGCTGCCATTGAGTTGATAAAATCCATCGAACCCGTAACGAACAATTATCAGAACCTCTTCTTCTGTTTGAATATAATGCAGCAAATTGTTAGCTTCCTCCCCTCTAGTCAGATCTTCGAATGTGAAATCCACGTCTTCGAAGAGCTCGAGAAGGCTTTCCAATATCTTTGCTCTTCGTTCGCCAAGCCAAGTATTTTCAGAGACCCAACGTATAATAGTCATGCCAACATGGTATTGGAAAACCTCTTCGTTGTAGCATTGCCATATGGTGTTAAGGGATTCGAGAATTTAATCCTAGTGTCCACGCACAGACGCATAGCGTATGAAATTCCGATTCCAGTGGGTATCATACATCTCTATTTTTACACCTTCGACAATAAGCAAATTAACGACATCGCTTAGTCCTAGTGCAGCAGCATACATTAGCGGGGTGATACCCCACCTATCTGTAGCATTCAAGTCATACTTGGCATCAAGAATCATTCTAAACTTTTCCGGGCTATAGACTGCCAAGTTCAGAGGTGTCTGTCACAGAAAATTCCGATGATCTTCCTAGATCATCACATTTGAAATAAAAGACTGGAGGGTCTCCACTAATCCAGATAGAACAGCGTCTTGAAGAGGATTGATCCTCCAAATCCTAGGGGGGAAATTGGTCATAAATAACTGCTGCGAATATAAGAATCAATGCACTCACCCGGATTATCGATTGAAAGAATTGTCGGAAATTCGATGAAGAAGGAATCCTTTGTTGATTCTTCAGAAATCCAATTAGGCGAACAAGGAGAGGGCCATTTTTGAAAGAGCGGCGAATCAGTTCCACTGGGATTGAATCCACAGTGGAGATTCATTTTAAGTAGATCGAGATGGCGCCCTTCCCCAATCCACCAAGCGCACTTCAGATGTAATCTGTTATGTAGCCTCTGTCAGGATAATCATCATCTAATATTAGATGGAAAAGGCACTTGTTTCCTTCGTCCTCAAGGTTCATATCCAGCTCGATAGCAGATAGGTCAAGAAGGGCAAATTATATCATTTGATTCGTCCAAGGGCCGTAACAAAGCAGTTCCTTGAAATCCATTAGCTAGGCTTCACTCAAGTGTTTCTATGGGATAGTTTACCTGAACGTAGTTGTCTCGTCCCTGATTGATGTGGTGTCGCAGGGGAGATGATGATCTATTCAATTCACGGAATTGGTTCTGGGCGTCGAGGAGTGAAAGACGACCGTTTCGACATCTCCAAAGGATCTCAAGGCCTAGCGATGTATACGCTACTACTCGTTGTACGCTGAGGGCAGGCCGCAGAGAATACTTTCCCAAGCCAAAGATAAATTCGAAAACCATAAGAAGTGCCCATGTAACACCATGTTTATTGAAGACAATCGAAATCTCCAGCGAACACCCTTCATGTCACATTTATCGTTGTCACGTTTCCCGAGAATTATCGAAAGCGGCGTGTACTCCAGCCCCCAGTAGCGACCAAACCTATTTTCCGTCATATGGCATGAGCAGTGGCACTGTCTTGTGGTACAGGATTCTCGCTCGTGATCGCGCGAGAACTATATTCCTTCTATTAGAGCTGTTATTTTCGTCCCTGGTTATATCTTTCGGACATGTTGGTAGTATATTAGGTGAACTGGACAGTTTCACAGAGTTTGGCATGGTGTTCTCGGGAGGGACCGGTATTAAAAGGCATATCGAGCTTGAGTTCAATGTGAGCAGCAATTTCCCGCCGCTTACTGCAAACGTGAGTCTGAGAACGACATGGTTCTTCTTCTTGCCTTCGGCCTCCGATACAGTCTCGCCTTCATTTAGAAATTCCAGCGTACACGCCGAAACTTGCCTTTTCAACAATGGCACGGGTATTTCGTCATGCTCCTATTATTGTGATGCTGTCACTATTATTTGACGTATACTAGTAGAACCACGCAAGGGGACGCACGCGGACAAGGAGCGCCAAGCCCAAAGTTTCGAATCTTCATATAGCAGAATAATCGACAATCTTTCAACAAAGTCCGATATGGTGTAGTGGCTAACATCGCCGTCTCTCACACGGCAGCCGGGGGTTCGATTCCCCCTATCGGAGTTGTCTTTTTGCATTTGTTGAAGTGGCACCAGATGTAGATTTTTTTTTATGGTGGGTGGATCATTAAATATGTATGATTGGGCCGTGGGGGCGGAAAATGGAGGTTGGTGGGGCGGTGAGAGCTTGGATCACCCCACTGGCAGTATACTACTACTTACACATTATATTGACAAGCAGATGGGCCAATATGGTAGTTTTTTGGGTTTGGAGTATTTAATTGGATTGGATTTGTTTCAAATTTAAGTAAGAGTCAGTTTAACGTGGAAAATATGTCAATTTCTATCTGTTCTAACAAAATTGAAATTTCGAGATGCCCACCTGGGCAAGTGGCAGACATATTATATATCAACCTAGGTCCAACTTCAACTTGAATTTGAAGAACCTTTAAGGGTTTCAAGGAAGGTTTAAGCTGGATTCTGGGGGTTGCTGAAACCTACCTAGGTATCTACCAAGGTTGGTATTGACTGAACATCCTCAGTAAGAATGATGATGGTTGCTGAACTTGGATGGATTAGGTAGATAGTACTACTAATATAGTCCTTTAGTGTGAACCGCTCGGAACCCTGGAAGAACTTGGAATATCAATCCTAGAAACCTTGAAATCTAGTACGGAACCAAACAAAAATAACTTAAAATCAATTCATCCTAAACGCCATAACAATCTCGGGAATCGTCAACCAGCCTTGGAAGCCATCAAGCCAAACCAAGCCAGTACATATGCAATCGATAAAGGAAGGAAGGAATACTTCATGGAGGGAAAAGAAACATGAACAGTCCCCAACCCCAAGAAAAAACTGTAACCTCAACTCAAAAATCTAAGCACCCTGAACCCTCTTCAACGCAGCATCAACATCAACCAACAACGCAACCAACTCCTTCGCCCCATCCCCCTGCCCCTCAAGCTCAATCCCCTTACTAAGAAACCCCTTCGCCTCCTCATACCTCGTCATCTCCGCCAAACATTTCCCAACCCGCCACCAAGCCTTAACATTCCCCAACGGCTTCGAGTCAACACTCAGCTTTGCATCAACCAGTCCCTCCGGCCACGCCATTAGCGCCATTTGCGCCTGCGCCCGATTCCCATACAAACCCGCCAACTCCTCGCGCGCCAGCGTAACGGGCTCCCATCCGGGCCGGGAGACGCCCATGTCGATGGCGAATGTGTAGAGGCGGATGGCCTCGGCGTAGTTGTTTTTGCGGAAGGCGGTGTTGGCGGTTTCGCGGAGCTTGGTGATTTGGGCGCTGCGCTTGGGGTTTACGGGCAGCGGGGGTGGGGGGATGTTGGGCGGGTCGAGGGCGAGGAGGGCACGGTGGAGAGCGTTTAGTTCGTTTAGTTCGTTTGTGACTGTGGTTTGTTGGATGGTGGTGTAGGCGGTGGATTGGGGGAGGGAGATGGCTTTTGTGGCTGGGTCCATGTGGAGGGGGTATTGGTTGTAGAGGTCGATTTCGCTGGCCATTTTGGTGGGTGGTGGACTTGAGTCCGGTTTGTTTCTTGAAAATATGTGTGTGTGTGTGCGCTTTGGTTCTGGGAGTGGTTATGTTAGCTAGTGTTGCGATGTAGATGGTGAATAGAAATGGGATGGAATGTGGGGATGGCGGGAGGGGATTAGGTCAAGACTCAAGGGGCGTGAGATTCATACCAGGGAGAGGGTAAATGTGCAGATTCTCTTATCATGCAATGCACCTCTGAGAAATGGAGTGGTATTTCAACTTGAAGGTGATCGCGGCGAGTTGCGGCGAGCTGTCCTCCAAAAGCCCGGGGGCGGTGGGGATTCTGCCAATCCGGGGCAGGTACAGGCACAAGCACAAGCAAATGCTTTATGCAACTCGATTAATTGGAGGGTACTGAGTCTACTGACGAATAATTGACTATCACAATTCACATCAATATGATCTATTTGCTACATCCAGAAAGTACAATCGTTGCCCGAGGGCCTGAATCATGACGGCAGCCAATGCCTACGCTCCCCATGAGAGTAAAAACAACAACAAAAGCCAAAAACAAATGCGCCTGCCAACTCCACTCCGTGGTCATGTTATGTCAAGACACAAAAAAAAAACAAGCAGAGCGACGTGATGATATCGGGGTATTCATTGCGAGCATTCCATGCCATCCAGGGCTCTTCTTCCCACTACCTCCCACATAAACTTTTTCTTACCGCGGGTATCCGCTCATTGTTGTGCTATATTCAGATGGAGAATAAGGCATTTGCTGTGGTGCCTGGCCACTACCGTAACTAGTGTTGCGATCACCATAGCTAGTGGTGTGATCACCGTAGCTAGTGCTGGAACCGCCGTAGCTGGTTTCTGCGCCGGTGTAGCTGGTATTGCCGTAGTCGTGGAGAACACTGCTAGGCGCGGGTGCGGTGGGATCATATGCGCCGTGCATTGCGGATCGGCCCGTCTCATCGGCTTCGTTTTGTTGTAGGAGGGCGTAGTCTTCATCCTGGTCGCCGCGCGAGGAGGCTGCCATGCCACCGCCGCGGCCGGAACGGAAGTCATCCTCGTCCTCCTCGAAGTCGTGGGGCGGGTTGTTGGAGAAAGCGGCCTTGGATTGAGCGGCGAAGGTCGGGTCGGAGACGGCATCAGGGAGGGTACCGGTGCGACGGAAGTGCATGACGTTGCGGAGGGACAACCAGGTGGTGATTCCGAAGAGAATGCTGCAGAAGAAAATAGCCAGTTAGAGGAAGGTTATCTCGCTGTCAGAAAGTAAATCATAGACCTACAAGATCACAACACCAATGATGGTCGTGGCAGTGCTGACATTGCACTTGCTCGAACTGCCGTATGCCCAGTTGTCGCATCCTTTCTTGGTGCTGCTGGCTCGCTTGTTTTTATCCTGATCGCTGTCGCTGTCACTATCGCTGGACTTGCCGATACTCTTGCCTTGTGCGACGTAGGAAGCGAGACAGATCCATGCGCTGAACCAGAAGAGCGCATAAAGTCCATCGACCGTGGCGAAAGCGTAAACATTTCCGAAGCGACGGGCCCGGGGCCACATGGGGACGGCAGCGAGGTAAACCAAGGCGGGGATACTGATCCAACACTATGCACCCAGGGCTGTCAGCTGCAAGGTTCAATTCGAGGTTCAGGATTACCAAGACTGGCAACTTCGACAACTTACCAAGATCCAGTACCAAACGGTACGGCCGTCGATGCCATCGCCCTTGGTCCAAATGGCGATGGTCATGGCCCAGGCAACGAAGATGATGAGGGCTTGTGTGAAATGAAGCAAGTTCTTTGTCCTTCCCAGGTTACCGCCGGAGGGCCGCGGGATCTGGAATTTGGCCATGGTTGTAAAAGTGAAGACGACGGACTGCAAGGGAGTCTCAACCCTTTCTAAAGTCACCCGCGGGAGAGGAAGGGTGTCAAATCAAGCTCGGTATGATTGACAAGTATGGGGGTTATGAAAGACCCAAAGGCAGTGGTCAAGAATGTTGGAACTTGAGGAAATAATAAGAATGGGGCGGCTTGGGGGACACGCAACGCCTCAGGCTCTTGGCTGTCGTAGGTGACCCTCGGTGGAGATGCGGGATGGTTCTGGTTGTTACTCCGTAATACTAGTTAAAGTATGGAGTATGGGTGTAGTTGGGGGGGTAATAGGGATAGGGGGATCGACGAGGTGAGGGGGAAGAGTGAAAAGTAATCAGTAATCGATCAGAGCTGATGTCAAGGACTGTTTTATCGCGGGCGAGTTTCGTCTTTGGACGATCGCCCAGGCGACAGCCCGTGGTTTTCTATTTTGGGGCCCTTCAGCCACAAAGTGGAGACGCGGCGCGGCAGTCGATACACTCGGCAGTGCTAGTTCTCGCAGTCTATGCTACTTGTGTGCACTGAGCTTACGGACGTAAGCATGTACATACTACTAGTTAGTAGTAGTCATAGTCATAGTCACCACATGGTACAAGTTGGCGTGGACCATGGTTATGGAGCATAGGAGTTAGTAGTTCCCTTTTGGGTATACTGAATTCATCGCTATATCTAATCCCGAAACTAAGCGCTCCCATCATTCATGCCTTCATAATTCATAAACTTGCATTCGATTTCCCATCATCCACACAATGACCCATTGGCGATCCCAATCTCCCGGATTTGTTTCATCAACAACCATATCTCGCGCAATGGTTGGTACACGTGCACATGCCACCACCAAGGAAAAGGATCCTGGAAGGAGAACAATGGGTGACTCCAAAAGATAAAAGGCACCGCTTCCGTCTCCATAAGGGCCTTCGCTCGCTTGGCGATTTTGAAAGGAAAGAAAGCCAAAGGCGAATTAATGATCATCTCACTCTCAATCCCAATCAATCTCGATCCAGGGCGAGGAGTTGGGGATAGCGACGCCACCACCTCCCAATTAGCCTGGTTCGTAGGCTCAGGTGCCAGTACAGCAAGATAGCCAGCAACAGGGCAGGTCGCATCGCGAACGAGATTCTCCGCAGCCGCAGCACCCGGAACACAGTCCGCAATATGTATAGTATGTCGAACGGACGAGTGGTCGAACTCTTCATCCACTAGGAGTCGAACTGAAAGGTGCCCCGTCATACGCGCTCCCCCCTTCACGGCAAAGCTTTGCATGAGACGATGGATGGCCGTGGCCAGCGCCTCGTCCAGTGGGGATGCACCCCAGTGGGGTTTTTGAGCCTTCGCAAGCCGGACTTTAATGGCATGGACATGACCCCGGATCACTAGTATATCTGCATAGAATTCCCCGAGTCGAGTCTGCTGCTGAAGGATCCACGGATAGTTTTGGTTGATCTGAATCTCGCTGACCTCAGAGTATGTCTTGCTCAGTGTGCGTTTCGGTAGAAGTAGGCCAGCTTCCTTCGAGCTGGAGCCTAGTCGCTGGATCTGATATGACTTGCTGGGCGACCGATGCAAGATCTTGTGGATCGAGTCACGCGAATTCACCTGATGACGCTCTACCACAGGGAGATTCCTCTCAGTAAGAAATTGCGCGAAAGAGTCGGTGTGAAGGAACCGCGTGGCTAAATCGGTGTCAAAAGCGATACATTTGCAGCTCGTCCGACTTTCAATCACTTGTCTGGCAGTCGCATCTTCAATAGCGGTTGCCTTGGGTGAGCAAGGGATCCACACATCCACTTTCTCGCGATGGACAATGTCTAGGATGCGGGAAATATAATGATCCTTGGGGACGCGGTAGAAGGTGAGAAGAGTACGGGACATACTTCCGCCCGATCGAATGGGGAGATCGAGGTCGGCGACGTCTGCCCCGACCACATGGTGTCCCCCCCGCAGCCCAAGCTCGGGCGAGAGCTAAACCGTGGGGGGTACCGATACCCGTGATCAACACGGTTTTGGGGTAGAACGGTAGATCATGTCGTGGTTTATGATATCGATCAGCCACATATTGAAGACGTGCAAGAATTAGCGCGGTTACGAGGATGGTGTTGTCCGCAAACAAGAGGGCGAACGAGACGGAAATCCGGAAGAGGTGCCAGAATGTGTTAGATAAGACCTCGATCGGAGAGGAGGCCTGGACCGTCTTCATGAGGAGATGCGACCTCTGCTTGGATGCCATTCCGAAGCATTAGGGAGATGCAGTGGCCCGGTGAAATTGAAATGTGAAGTGCGAGCTGGGCGTTGAAAGTGGTGACGTGAAGAATGCAGAAAGTAAAGTGGGAGGCTGGAGGAGGGGCGATCGGCACATGCAGATCGAGATCGCACCAGTCAATACAATCTCAGTGTCAATGTCAGTGCTCAACTTGAATGACAACTCTCAAGTACTGGCCTATAAGCAGTTAGACCCGATCGGCCTATTCTCTTCAGTCGGAGTCTGTTTGGTGGAGGAACTCGGTTTCCGACTATGAGGAAGAATTGTATCCGCGGTCACGAAGACGACTGGTCAGTCCATTAGTTAGTTACCGCACGTTCAGTATAGTAGGTAGTAATTAACTAGTTAGTTGAAGATGTGACAATAGCTTGTGCTACTCCACAAAACGGTCGAGTAAGTACCACCAGTATAACTACTAGTTACTACGCCAGGCAACCAGTGAGGTAACTGGTTGGTACATCTTCAGCTAAATGTTCTGATCCAATTACTGTCACCTACCAGTAAACTGAGAATGGTGAGATTTTGAAAATTCAAATATCCGAGTACATAGAATGCCAACTTCTGTACATCTTACCCACCAATTCCCCCGAAAGGTGCAGGCCGCGCTGGCTTACCCGTTTAGGGCTAATCGCCCGAAGTATGTACATAGTGGTTCCTCTGCACACATGGGATCTCCGAAGAAACCATTTTAAGGTTATCTCCATCTCGGAGGACGGATTTAGTCGGCTTCGAGTCTCGGAGAAGGGTTATCCACTCTCTAACTTGTCCTTTGCCCTCCGTTGAGTAGTTATTCCCGAGACGAGGAGGGGCCGCAATCGGGACCACATGGGATCTGCAGGGCCTATAGGGTACTTATATGCCATAGTTACTCGCCGGCCTCCGTGACCAAAGAGAGTAAATTTTCGGGCGATTTCGAACCTGGCCAGATTTCCTTTTAATACATCAAGATCTCCTCAACGGCTTACGGTTCACAGCTTCCCCTGCATCTCATACTTCCCCAGCTTTATTCTTCCCCTCCATACATTCCCAGATGTCGGTCACTCAGCAGTCCACCTCTGCGCGTCCCGATATGGGTGGGCGCTTGGTAAGTGATTTCTGAGGCATACTCTGAATTGAATCTCTGTCTACAAAGTATCACAGAGGACTAATCGCAATCAATGAATACAGAGTGGGAAAGGCCGAGAGATGAAACTCCTCCATTTCATCTACGAACAGCCAAATATGGACGAAATCAGAGGAAATCCACAGAAAGTGCTGGACCTGATGGACAAATTTGAAGAAGAATACTACATGATGACCGTCGGCGTACCAAAGGGCAAGATTGTAACGCAATTAATCGACGAAATCAAGCCCAAAATCATGATCGAACTCGGCTGCTATACGGGATACTCGGCCATCCTTTTCGGCGAGGCGGCACGCCGCAATGGCGGAGAGAAATATATCAGTCTGGAACTGAATCCAGAGTATGCCGCTATTGCGAACATGCTGATCGAACTGGCCGGACTTCGTGACTTTGTGCGTGTGATTGTGGGCCGGAGTGACCTTTCCTTGGACAAGTTGTACCGTACCGGAGAGATCAAAACCATCGAACTGTTGTTTATCGACCACTACAAGCCCGCCTACACTACCGACCTCAAGCTGCTTGAGCACCATGGAATGATTGTCCCTGGATCGGTCTTGGCGGCAGATAATGTGTTGTTCCCCGGAAACCCGCCGTATCTAGAATATGTCCGCAGTACGGTTGAGCAGAAGCGGGAGGTGGCCAAGGATGGACCTAGCAAGGGATATGATATCAAGGGAATCCTCGAGCGTACTGTCAATTCTTTTATGCCACAGGGTGATGTACCGAGTTTTGAGACGGTGGGGAACCCTAATCTCGTGTACCAGAGCGAGCTGCATCAGCCGGAGGGAGAAGAAGTGAGTCATTTCCGAAATATGTCATGATAGAGATCATCGAGGAGAGGAAGTTGCAATTGCTAATCAAAGTCACATCGACTAGGATGCCATTGAAGTCACGCGATGTGTCGGGATCCAAGAATAGGCAAAGGCATGCCCCAGGATGGCAAAGGCATAGAGTGGGATGGTAGGGACCCACAATTGAATGGACTTGATTATCAAGCATTGTATTGCATAGAAAGAGTAGCAGTTAGTAGAGTAAACTGGGGTGACAGAAGTCCGGCGGAACCGCTAATATACTCCAAGGCAAGCCGAGTGTCAAAAATCCAGGCCGATTGGGATTCCGGCAGGCCGACTCGTCGGTGACTGCTTTTTGCCCCGCCGGATCCAAAGGTTGCCGTCGCCAGGACCTTCCCCCGCGTTCGGCCTTGAAAATCCGTGGGGGGGTATAAGTTCTGCCGTTTCCCCTCTGTCTCTATCGTATCGTATCATATCATATCACCTACAGTTATCTATCCAACTATTCATAATGGCCTCCAAAACTTACAACGTCGGTGTTGTCGGCTACGGCTTCAGCGCCAAGATCTTCCACATTCCCTTCGTCTCGCAGATTCCCGAGCTCAAGCTTCATGCCGTTGTGCAGCGTACTCCCAAGCCCGACGATGATGCTGAGAAGGACCACCCGGGCGTCAAGTCCTACCGTACCACCGAGGAGATGGTCCAGGACCCCGCGCTGGACATCGTGATCATCACCACCGCCCCCGACTCTCACTACGACCTGGCCAAGCTCTCTCTCGAGGCCGGCAAGCACGGTTAGTCTCGGGAACCATTGTCCTGCTTTGAATCTTACTGATGTGGTGATATTTTAGTTGTCTGCGAGAAGCCCTTCACCCCCACCTTCAAGGAGGCCGCCGAGCTTGTCCAGATTGCTGAGAAGAACAAGAAACAGCTGGCCGTTTACCAGAGTACGTCATACCCTCAATTCCCCAACCAAGCCAATCTACTTTCCAGTGCTCCTTCTGACAATATCGCTACTAGACCGCCGCTGGGATGCCGACTTCGTCACCCTTTCCAAGCTCATCAAGAACGGCTCTCTCGGCCGCATCTCCGAATTCGAGACTCACTTCGACCGCCACCGCCCCGAGGAGCCCGCCGCTGATGGCCACAAGTGGAAGAACAAGGTCATGCCCGGTGGTTCGGCCGTCTATGATCTGGGCACCCACCTGCTCGACCAGGCCGTCCACCTGCTTGGTCTCCCCAAGCGCGTGACTGGCTTCATCGGTTCCGCCCGCGCCGTCAACACCAACGGCTTCGAAGATTCTTTCACCGTTCTGCTGCACTATGCCAATGGCACCCTGGTGACTGCCAAGGCCACCGTTGTCAGCCCCGAGGAGGAGCAGCTGCGCTTCTGGGTGCGCGGTGACAAGGGAAGCTTCAAGAAGTACCACCTGGATATCCAGGAGGACCAATTAAAGGCTGGAATTAAGCCCGAGGACAACGGGTACGGTCGTGAGCCCAGCGAGCGCTATGGTATGTTTTTCCAAGTCCTTCCTCCACTTTCATCAACACCTGCTAACGGCCTATCAGGTACTCTGACCACCATCCAAGATGGCAAGACCGTCAAGGAGGTTTTCCCCACTGTCGAGCCCCCCCACCTACACCGAGTACTACCGCAAGCTCGTTCGTGCTCTCGGCGGCGAGGGTGATCTCCCTGCTAGCGGTGCTGAGGCCAGCCAGGTTATTCGCCTGATTGAGTTGGCTCGCGAGAGCTCTGCCACTGGCCGTACTCTGGATGTTTAGATTAGTAATATAATGTAAATGAAAAGCAATGAATATTATGATTAGAAGACGCTCTCAAGACTGAAAATCAAAGTTTTTGGGCCGTGCTACTCACTTGATTTAAAGTTTTGCAGTTGTTTACAACCCTTTGATACTTGTAGACTGTGGCATGGAAGCAGGTACTATAATCAATCGGATCAATTTACGGCATGATTAGCTGGAAATGTTAGGAGCAGTATTAAATAGATGTTTTGATACCTGGAGGGAGTCTATTCGTAGAAAATAATTGAAAATCCCTGTGGTCCAGGGTGTCAAAGTTGAGGGACTCCGCTAAGCCGAGATCTTCTCCTAGAGGCTCCCCTCCCCACCGTACCCAACTACTGGAACTGCTGGAACTTGCTGCCCGATTCGTTGGTCCCACAGAATTCCAGACATCTCACTTGTGTCCATGAAACCAGACAACGTGGCTGGCCACGTTATTCCCTTGCGTCTCAAACACCCTTGTCACATGAGGGCTATGCAGAAAGGATGAGACTAGAGAAGAGGCTAGGGGCTCGAGCATTGCAGCCTGCCCGCCAATCTTGTCATCTCCCGAGCAGACAGCCTCGCAATTTATACCGTGGATCAAAACAGCTCCATCTCCCCTCACTATCGCGAGATTGGCCAGGATGGAGGAATTGAAAAGGGGTCTCTCCAGCATGGATGCTGACTCCCTCCCCGATTTCCAACTCCTTCCCTATTCATCTGAACACCCCGGCTCCAACGCCGGCGGGGAATTGGAATCGCTGTCGCAAGCATCAGATAACCCGATCACACTCAATGTGTCTTCATCATGGACATACTGCGGTCCCCTCTTAACCCTGGAAGAAAATAGCCTCCCATCCTCCTTCCACACCTGGGCTCAAGCCACCGTCAACGGATCCCTGCTGACCCCCCTCTTCTCGTTCCTGGCCTACGTGCACGAATTCCTCGCAGCGAATAACCTCGCGCACTACTGGTTAACCGTACGGGCTACGCAAGGATCCACAGAGTTCGACGTCCCACGCTGGCACACAGATGACCTATTCTTCTCTCCGCTGTCCACAACAAAGCAAAAGACAGTGTCAAAGTCATCATTATCGAAGAAACTCAGATTCACAACACGAAACTACTATGAAACCCAGCATACCAGATATCCAGACTACGATGCCCTAAACCCATTCATCCACCCCCAACCCACCCAAGCTCAAGCTCAACCTCCACCCAAAAACGCGCAAATAATAACACCAAACCCGAACCCCCCCAGACTGGAAACTTTGCACAACACTCCTAGGCCCAGGAACCCTCTTCATAAACTCCAAAAGAAACCTCGCCCGCACAATCCAACGCACCACAAAAGCGGCCGTCCAAAACGAAAACCCAGGCCACATCTGCCTCTCAATCCGGTGCGTGGGCTGTGCGTCCGCAGCCGAGACGGTCCGAACCCGCCTGGCGACGGATCTAAAACCGCATCAGACGGTGCAGTCCCGGCAGGGCGAGTGTGTCTTTTTTCGCGTTGGTGAGGACGAGGGTGCTGTGCATTCGGAACCGAGGTCTCATGGGGATCGGGTATTTGTTAATGTTGTTCCGGGGGATGAGCGGGATTTGAGGTGTTTGATGGCGAAGTGGGGGATGGAGTTTCCTAGGGCTTGGTGTGTTGGGTTGCCGCTTCAGATTGAGGGGGAGGAGGTTTATAGAAATGTCGGTGAAGTTTGAGGTGGGGAGGGATGGGGGCACTTCTAGTGGGTGATAATTTTGATGATTTGCTTGTTTCTTTTGGAAGGGCCTGGGGGATTCAATGCCTGAAGTGTGTCTATGGTATACCCCGTCCATGGCTTGAGTTGATGATGATCTGGGCTAGACTAGCTCAGAGTCTGTTTCAATTTGATTGATGGACCTCCACTGTGGTACCGAGGTAGCTATCATATGGAAGGCGGGAGCTTCTAGAACTAGAACATTCTTGGAATTAGTTATGCATTCCAAGGTTGACAAGCTTCAGCCCTACAAATGCTGCTTAGATGAAATACTACTCTTTCTCAAAATTTAGATATAAATGCATGGTGATATTCTACAAGTTTTCTACCAAATGATATGAATCGTGTAGATCATCACTAACCATCATAATCATTCAGGGGCACTCCCTGTTATAGAGTGCATCCACATGCTGTACTCCATAGGTCGCGGGTTGTTAATACATACTACTAGTAGCACTATGTAGACGATCTCGGCAATGCATGGATGACATCATCAATGCCAAGCCGCCAGTCCCAAAATGGAGTTTCTCTTACACAATATAAATTCGCTGAGTGGTGAACCGGCCGCAACCAGGAGGAATTGGGACCCAGTCGAACAGAGGAAAGACGGTCATGGTACCTCTTCGACTACGGAGGTTTAGACAAGCCCGCGGAGATATCTGAAAGGCGTGACGCGGAGCATTTGTGATCGTCGTACCCACGCGGTAAGATGCTCTTTTATAGATTCTTCATAGGGCTGGTTTTCCCCCAGAGTTGTCAAAGGTAGTCCCCGGAGACTGACGGACGAATACGACACTGCTGGAAGAAGTCCGCTTAGTATTCGCTCATGCCCGAATCATCCCAGCAGGGAAAGGGCTCCTCGTCCAAGGCCCTCTCCAACATCTCCAGCTGGAACTTCGACATCGATCGGTTCTTGAACCCGCTCGTCCCAGCGCCAAGATGGAATCTTGTTCCGCAGCCCATCGCTCACTTCCTGGGGTATCGAAGTCAAGCCCCGAAGCCGCTTGGCAATGTTATGGTTGCTTTTTGGTCGATGGTGGGAGCCTTTGTTGGCGTGGCCCTGGTGGCCAGTGTCTCCAAGCGAGTACCTTCATTTGAGGATCGAAATGCGCCAGCAATTATCGGAAGTTTTGTAAGTGCAGTGTTCCCCTTACTTAACGCCGTGCATGTCGTCCATGCAGTCCATGCCCACCTTCCCAGACAAGCAATGACTAACCAATATCAACCAGGGTGCCGCCGCCGTGATCGAATTCTGCGTCGTCGAGTCCCCCCTCGCGCAGCCACGAAATGCATTCTTCAGTCAGATCATTGCCTGTGTCGTCGGAGTCGGAATCTCCAAGCTTTTCGCGCTCAACCCGAATGCTGAACAATATACCGAGCTTGGCGGCGCGTTGGCCTGCGGTGTGACTACCGCTCTTATGGTGCTGACGGGAACGGTGCACCCGCCGGCAGGAGCTACAGCACTGCTGGCCGTGACGAATGCACAGACGGTGGGATTAGGCTGGTTCCTATTCCCGGTGATGATCCTGGGCATCACGCTGATGCAGTCTGCTGCCTTGGTGGTCAACAATATCCAGCGACGATACCCATTATATTGGTGGACCTCGCAACCTCTTTCACGAGCTCGGGATGTGGATGCTGAATCGGATCAAGAGAAAAGAGCCCAAACCGGCAGTCAATATGAAGAGAGCCTGACGGATGTCCCCCGGCGACTGGTTGTGGAGCGAGGTGACATATGGGTACCCAACGGGGTGTTTGTGTCTGCTGAAGAGAGGCTGGTTCTGGATCGGATCAGTGCGAGGTTGTGAACATTGTAAATATGATGATTGTTCATATGGCCCATGGGAAGTCTGAGTTAGTCCGTAAATACCACAGTTCCCACCATTCTCGTCAGCTTATGGAGTAGACTACTCCGTAGAGGTACAGTAAACATGAAGTGGCAAAGTTCCGCCTGATTTCTCAGGCCATAATGCGGTGACGTCGGCAGATCCAATCAGCGGCCAGGCCCACCATCTGAATTTTTTTTTTTGGTCTCTGCTTTGCTGTTATACACACACGAGGACGAAGTTCATTAGGATCTCCCTTTAATCCTAAGCCAAGGCCCACAATTCGTTTTGAATTTTTTTCTCTCTCATTCTCTGACGTCGGAGCTTAGAGATCCCAGCCATTTCTATCGATAAGGGCTTACAACCCCCCACTTGAACTTCTCAAATTTCGCCCCTCTCTCCGCCCCGCCAAACCCGCTCCACTCAATCTTTTTGCATTTCTTTTGCCTTCAATCTCTTCGTTCCTGAGATACCTGGCCGTTCTCTCCCTCCCCCCCTCCCTCCTCCTTCCAAAACCACCCCTACCTCCCCCTTTTACAACTCGTTTTTCACGCTCTCTACATCCGCCAACATGGTTTCCGCCTCCAAGGCCGCGCGTCTGGCAAAGCGTGCCGACGACAAGAAGACCAAGAAGGGCTCCAAAGAGGAGGTCACCGAAGATGCCGGCGCTGAGCAGCCCGCAACCAACGAGGAGAAGATGAAGGAAGTCGAGAAGCTCACAGCCCAGATGGATAAGCACGGTCTGTCTGATCGTGTCACCACCGGTGTTCTTTCTTCCATTCCCTCCTCTCGCGATGTCAAGATCACATCTGCCTCCCTGGTGTTCCACGGAAAGGTCCTCATCACCGACTCCACCCTCGAGCTCAACTTCGGCCGTCGTTACGGTCTGCTCGGTGAGAACGGTTGCGGAAAGTCCACTCTTCTCAAGTCCATCGCTACCCGCGAGTACCCCATTCCCGAGCACATCGATATCTACCTGCTGAACGAGGGTGCCCCTCCCAGCGAATACGGTGCCCTGGAGTGGGTTGTTCGTGAGGCTCAGGCCCAGCTGGACGCCATGGAGAAGCGTGCCGAGGATATTCTCGAGCAGGATGGTCCCGAGAGCCCTATCCTCGAGGATCTGTACGACGTGAGTGTTTTCCATAACTTCATTGCCTCTTTTTCCCCTTCCATCTGAAATAGACTAACACCCTTCACAGCGTATGGACAAGATGGACCCCTCCACCTTCCACACCCGTGCTTCCCTGATCTTGACTGGTCTGGGTTTCAACAAGGTCACCATTAACAAGAAGACCAAGGATATGTCCGGTGGATGGCGTATGCGTGTTGCCCTCGCCAAGGCTCTGTTCGTCAAGCCTTCGCTGCTTCTGCTCGATGACCCCACTGCCCATTTGGATCTCGAGGCCTGTGTGTGGCTGGAGGAGTACATGAAGAAGTGGGAGCGTACCCTGATTCTGGTTTCCCACTCCATGGATTTCCTGAACGGTGTCTGCACTACCATGCTGGACATGCGCGGCCAGAAGCTCCTCTACTACGGTGGTAACTACGATTCTTACCACAAGACCCGTAGTGAGCAGGAGACCAACCAAATGAAGGCCTACGCCAAGCAACAAGAGGAAATCACCCACATCAAGAAGTTCATTGCCTCCGCTGGTACCTACGCCAACTTGGTCCGTCAGGCCAAGTCCCGCCAAAAGATTCTCGACAAGATGGAGGCCGACGGTTTCATCCAGCCCGTCGTTTCCGACCGTGTCTTCACTTTCCGCTTCGCTGATGTCGAGAAGCTGCCTCCTCCCGTCCTGTCCTTCGACGATGTCAGCTTCTCCTACTCCGGTGAGTGGGCCGACACTCTGTACGAGCACCTCGACTTGGGTGTCGACATGGACTCCCGTACCGCCCTGGTCGGCCCCAACGGTGTCGGCAAGTCCACCCTGCTCCGTCTCATGACCGGCAAGCTGAGCCCCATTGGTGGCCGTGTCTCCCGTCACACCCACTTGAAGCTCGGTGTCTACTCCCAGCACTCCGCTGAGCAGCTCGACCTGACCAAGTCCTCGCTTGAGTTCGTCCGTGACAAGTTCCCCGAGAAGTCCCAGGACTACCAGTACTGGCGCCAGCAGCTGGGCCGCTACGGTCTCAGCGGTGAGTCCCAGACCGCCATCATGGGCACCCTGTCCGAGGGCCAGAAGTCCCGTATCGTCTTCGCCCTGCTGGCCATCGAGTCCCCCAACATGATCCTGCTGGACGAGCCTACCAACGGTCTTGATATCCCCACCATCGACTCCCTGGCCGATGCCATCAACGCCTATGAGGGTGGTGTTGTCGTCGTTTCTCACGATTTCCGTCTCCTCGACAAGATCGCCAAGGACATCTTGGTCTGCGAGCACAAGACTGTCCGCCGCTGGGATGGCACCATCGGCGCTTACAAGAACTACCTGCGCAAGAAGATGCTGGATGCCGGTGCCGTCTAAAGCCCGTATACTACTGTGCGGTATACCATTTGTGCATGCTTTAAAACGGGTTATAAATATCTTCTTTTTTCAAACGGTTTCTTTTTTTCCCCCAAAACTGTTTCCCTTGATGACGACGAAATGCTAGACGAGAATTCGAAGGAATTGCAATGTCAGAAAAAGTTCAGCCTCGCGCACCGAGAATATCCCACCGGACCTGAGCCTAGCTAGGTCTTGCTCCGGGGATTCTTTCTCTTCATGATGGGCGCGGCGCTTGATTTTTTGGTTCATGTTCTTAGATCGGTGGTCTCCCTGTTTCCTGCCCTTACTAGAGGATTTGTCTGGGCTGGGGGAGCTATGTTTGCTTTGTTTTGTTTTTAGGTACTGGTCATGAACTCATTCCCCCCTCAGCGCAAGGTTATTCTGCCTGTGCTGGTTTTTCTTTTCAATGTTGTCCCGCAACTGCATTTTGGATAGAGTAGATTCGAAGAAAGGAAAGAAACTGAAAGGTTTGATGAAGGTAGTCTAGTCAATTGATGATTTGTACTGGCTGCCATTCTGTCTTTTGTCTTCCAAGTACATCACTGGGTGAATTTGTAGAGCCCACTCCGGGTTATTTCTGCGTACCGCCGGAGTCCCTTCCAAGCGGCTCTGGGGATTTTCAATCCATGGATCTTACTAGTAGACTATGATAGATAATTGCCCTCTGGAGAAAGAGAAACCTTAGTACCAAATTCCTAAGTCAGCTTAGACAACCAAATGAAAACCATTTACTGCTGGCTCTCCAGGGTACTAGTTCTTCAAGGCCCCGAGGTCTCTTTCCAATGTTGGTCCATATATACTCAGTAACTTGAAAGAGCTTGAAGCATTACAGCCCGAGAGCAACAACTTGAGGAGCAGCAAATTGATACAGCTGCAGACCCGCACATTATTCATGTTCATTTCCGTCCGAAAAGATATCAAATATATTCATTTGCCTTCTAGAACAGAGCGCCAGAAAGATGCAGACATCGCAAAGTGAGCCAGCTCATCCATCCCTCACTGCCCTTTCGTCCTATCGGGAACAAGTTCTCCTCCAAACATATCCTTCGGCCCATTCTGTTTCTGCTCCTCCAATTTCCGCTTCTTGGCCAGTCGCTCCGTCTCGCTTTCTGATGTCACCTGGCCGGAGTCGGTGGCAGCAGCCGATGAGACCGCCCGGGGTGGTGCAGAGTCACGTTTCTGCGCCATGTTGGCGCCGTCGGGATTTTGGCATTTATAATGTTTCTTCGCGATGCGCTTCAGGTTTTTTATTTGGGCTGCATCTGCAGAGAGAGGGGTATACGCTTGGAGGAGGGCTGCACAGTCGGAAAGGACTTTGAACAGCTTGGTGCGGATTTCGTCGAGAGGGTTGGATGGGTCTGGGTTAGTCGGTGTAGATGTGATGGGGCCGCCGAGCTTGGTTTCCAGATAATATTCGGCCAAGGGTCTGTCGGAGAGGAGGAGGGCTGAGAGCCAGATTTGTGAGGGTGTGTAGAGGAAGTAGACGTCTGTCATCTGTGCAGCGGTCTTGAGAAGCTCGCGCGTTGCGTTGTGTGCGCGCCCGATCCGGTCGGTTATGGATGATGAGGGTGTGGGAGGTGGTGCTATGGAGAGGATCCCTTGCTTGAGAGATTCTGCTGTTTGGTGTGGGAGGAGGGGGGGTGGGTTGGCCCTGGCCTTGGGCGATGGCTGAGAGCTCCATTACGCCGCCTTCTAGTCCGCGGAACGGGTGTCGGACATCAAATGTGAAGCGGAGACCTTGCATGAGTAGGAACTCGGGTGCGACTACTTCGTCTGTTGATGGGTTCCCGGGGATTGCTTCTGCGAATGACCGCAGAGACATGTAGTAATTATCAGTTTTTGTGGCGACGAAGAGAGCAGTTGCCATGATCTTTTTGGGATGGTAGGTCATGGGGGAGTTGGTTAGGTAGAACCGGCGAAGGTATTGAATTGCGGTGGCCTGAAAGAAGAGCAAGCGGTTAGATATTATCGCTTTTCTGCGTGGTCTGATTCCAACTTACTCGGACCGTGGTAGGCAATGGTGGCTTATACTCATCACCCAATTCCAAAAGCGACTCGCAGTAGTACCGAACAAACACCAGCTCCTCTTCAGGGGTCAGGCAGTCGATGGGCTTTTCGTCAGAAGTTTTGCTTTCGGCATCGCTGGCTGGCTGTGGAGTTCCTGTCGCAGAGGGCGTGGCGGACTGTTGGGCTTCGCGAGTCCGGCGAAGCGCAGTCCTTACCCGATCACTGGCAACGGCATTTGTCGTAGCGCGAACAGACTGTAGAGATTGCTCGGTATATGACCAAAGTCGGAACTGAGAGGAGGTGCGGTAGATGTCGTCTTCAATCATGATGAAAGAAGACCCGTCGCTGGGTATCGAAGGGAGATGGTGAGGTTGCCGACGAGGTTGAGGATGAGGATGAGGTGGATAAGGGAAAGTCAACCAGAGCAGGAGTCGAGGGGGCGATAATTATTTATAAGTAGAGAAATGAAACACTTTCTTGGTGAGGTTCACTCGTCGAGTAGCTACGGAAGATGTAGCGGAGGTTGATGCGGCATTAGGAAGCTTTCCCTGAGGCCCAGCTTATCGATAGCACTTGTCCCGCCGTCTCCGCCCACACATATGGACTTCAAGTTGCCTAAGGAAGTAGCCATTGATACTAGTACTCGTTGATATGCAACTTTTATTGACCGATCAATAGCATCTAGTACCGATTACTTGTAGATGATTAGTAACTTGAAACTTTGATCTATCTCAGTCTTCAGATTCAAGCCACGGGCAGGTTTTGTTCAACTTCATTCTTCTAGTACTATATACATCTATTTCATTCAAGTTTCAGACAATTTCGAGAAAATTTACTGAATAAATGTTACCACCTGGGCAAGCACATTATTCTCCCAATAGCCGTGCGGTAATATCTCCCATGGCGCCAGGCCCCAAATCATAATCCTCGCCCCCATTACGATTAACTCCCGCACGCTCAAAGGCATCGACTACCTGTTCAACGTCAAATCCCATACCACCAAAGCGGTCGACAAGGTCCTTGTTGTATCCGTTGTACCTAGATATAAGCAATGAGCACATGGCCGGTCATATTCTTGAATCGACTGTCATAGGTCTCTTACCGAGCCAGATTATCTTCCTCGGTTGGCTCCGGTCCGGCCGAAACGTCCTGGCTACCCTCGTCAGGCTTTGGCGGAGCACCGGCATAACGAACAGCCCATTGGCGAGCCACACGCGCAAATTCGGCCGGCTGCCGCATCATCATCTTTGCAACTTCCGCATCTTGAGGATCCTTGGGCTCTGGCGTGCTGAGCAATTGTTGCAAAGAGAGAAGAGCAGACTTGACAGTCAAAACCGGAGACCAAGCGCTAGAAAGGGTATCAAGACAAATAGCACCCTGCAAATCGTCCAATATCAGTAACCGAGGGAGCGTGATTGTACAGGGGTTACTTACGGTCTGGCTGCTGATGTTCGGATGCCATACTTTGGTCTCAAACTTCATGACCGGAGGTGTGAAGGGGTAATCGGTAGGGATCTTGACATCTACCGCATATGATCCACCTTCATACGGGGTTCCAGGCGGTCCTGGAAAAGAGCCACGTAGATGAGTGACATCATCCTGCTCGCCGAAGGGCTCGATGCTGATCTGCGAGTGGGTGTCTGCTCGGATATCTGCGATTTCTTTGCCAATTCGACGGATTCGATGGCTGGACATGACGAGTATATCGACTTAATTGATAGATAGAAAACTCAATATCAAGAGAAAACTGAATGCTTTATTGCAAGCAGAAATAGGCGTCTCTTGGCCTTGGTGAAGTTGGAGGGTGACGGTGAAGGTGATCGCGTGCTTGGTACCAAACCACCAATTGGATGCTGAATTATGAACCCACAAGTTAGAAAATCAATCAGCGGTATTTAATCTGTCAGAAATTGGCTGTCATAAAAATATTTTTCCTAAGAAAAGGGAAATATCATGAAGGAAGGGTCGGTTGTCGGAGTCTTACCAGAGGAGGGGAAGTGTACGGGAAGTTGATGAGATGAGTTAGCAGCCCGGAAGTGGAAGCTGGGAGCTGCAATCTGTCTTAGATGGAGTATTTGAAGAATCAAGTACAAGAGTATAACTGTTCTTCGAAATAAGAATAGCTTGCTGAATACTAGGAGCTGCCTTCACCCGAAGAATCAAAAAAGGTGCGGGACACCACAGCGGACAGTTATGATTCAGGCATTCAGGCAGAAATATACCTCATGACGCATTATTAGCCTGAGGCACAAATAAAATCACGTGCCGGCGGCAACAGCTCCCAGCGCCAGCTCGGCTCCCCCGAGAGATCAGAGCAACATCACATCTGCATCGGTCATCCCTTCCACCCTGTCGAATTACCATCCTCGTTATTCATTGTCGAGGCCAGAAGCTACCTTCATCTGATATCCATCCCAGTTCGGCTCTTTGGGCTTTGACAGCGATCCTGTCGCTGGCTTACAAACATGGTGAGTTGCCCTACCTGACACCCAGCTTTGGGCTCGCATGTACTAATGATCCATCGTGACAGGGTAACCAGCAGTCTAATATGGGAGGCGGCCAAGGAGGAGATGGTCGTGATGATAAGGATAAGAAGGTACGATTGATTTCGTTCGATTTCATCTGGTTACTCGACCAGCGCTGACACCGCGTCTCGCAGAAGGACAAGCCTAAATACGAGCCCCCTCCACCTCCAACCACTCGCATCGGAAAGAAGAAGCGCAAGGCCGCTGGTCCCAGCACTGCCGCTAAGCTCCCCGATATCTACCCAACTTCCCGATGCAAGCTACGATACCTCCGAATGCAACGAGTCCACGACCACCTGCTGCTCGAGGAGGAATACGTTGAGAACATGGAGCGATTGCGCAAGGCCAAAGCCCAGGCTACCCAAGGTACTGTCGACCGAGGTGATCTGGATGTGATGGACCGCAACGCCGATGAGCGGAGTCGAGTCGACGATATGCGTGGCAGCCCGATGGGCGTCGGTAATCTGGAGGAGTTGATCGACGATGACCATGCTATCGTTTCCAGTGCAACTGGCCCAGAGTACTACGTCTCGATCATGTCTTTTGTAGACAAGGATCTTCTCGAGCCTGGTGCCAGCATCCTGCTGCATCACAAGTCCGTGTCAGTCGTTGGTGTCTTGACAGAAGAGTCTGACCCTCTCGTATCCGTCATGAAGCTTGACAAGGCCCCGACAGAGTCATATGCCGACATTGGTGGTCTGGAACAACAAATCCAAGAAGTACGAGAGTCCGTCGAGCTGCCTTTACTACACCCTGAACTGTACGAGGAGATGGGTATCAAGCCCCCCCAAGGGTGTCATTCTCTACGGTGCCCCCGGAACAGGAAAGACGCTCCTTGCGAAGGCTGTCGCCAACCAAACAAGCGCTACTTTCCTGCGTATTGTCGGTAGTGAGCTGATCCAGAAGTATCTGGGTGACGGTCCACGTTTGGTTCGCCAGATTTTCTCAGTGGCTGCCGAGCATGCTCCTTCGATTGTGTTTATTGATGAGATTGATGCCATCGGTACCAAGCGTTACGACTCTACATCCGGTGGTGAGCGAGAGATCCAGCGTACCATGCTGGAATTGCTTAACCAACTGGATGGTTTCGATGATCGCGGTGACGTGAAGGTCATCATGGCCACTAACAAGATCGAAACACTGGATCCGGCTCTCATCCGACCCGGTCGTATTGATCGTAAGATCTTGTTCGAGAACCCTGACCGTAAGTTTAGCCACCCATTGACTCTTGTCTCCCACTTGACTAACATGTGTTCCTCCTTTAGAAACCACGAAGAAGAAGATTTTCACTTTGCACACCTCGAAGATGTCCCTGGGTGATGACGTTGACCTGGATGAGTTCATCAACCAGAAGGATGACCTGTCTGGTGCTGATATTCGTGCCATCTGTACCGAGGCTGGTCTGATGGCCCTGAGAGAGCGTCGCATGAGAGTGCAGATGGATGACTTCCGTTCCGCTCGGGAACGCATTATGAAGACCAAGCAGGATGGTGGCCCTGTGGAGGGACTGTACTTGTAAGCATGGCCAGTACTCGATGGAGAATGGTCATGCCGAAGACCTTCAGGGCTAGATCTGTATTTTAATGGAACCCAAGCGATTTACGGAGATTTTATACCTTGATACCTATACTTGACTGATTGTAATTTGCTCAACCTTAAACTGGTTTTAATTAAAGTAGGCACTCCCACTAACACTAGTATCCTAAAGAAAAGGGATCAACCTTTTAGGAGATAGTAATTCCAGTGGCTCAAATCGTTCAGGGTATTCTACCTCAGGGATTCGAGCATCTTTATCGAGCATACACTAACCCGAATGTGGTTAGTGGATATCATTATCGCATGCAAACAATACAAACCAGCTCCCCCCGGCTCCACGCAAATTCATCCGTTGCGCGCATCGCATCTAGTCTAACCTCACACATCTTGAAAATATGGACGATTTTGACGAGGAAGCATTCAAGCAGTTCTTCCCTTCTAGCTTTGGCAAACAGGAGAAATCAGTCGACGTTGATACCCAGATCAATCGTTCCAAGCGTGCGGAGGTCTCGGCGAAACCACCCGCCAACGATGAAAGGAGTGAACTAACTGCAACCTCCGCAGCTAATGATTCTGGCACATCGACCCAAAAAGACATCCCTCGGCGTGAAGACAATTCGGATGATGATGATGATGATGGTGATGATGACTCGGACGATTCGGATGATTCCGACGACGAAGATGAATTCCCCGTGTCGCATGAGATGGTCCTTAAGACGCATGAACGCGCCGTGACGACTATGACCGTGGACCCTTCCGGGGCGCGACTAATAACAGGTTCTACCGATTGCACACTTAAATTCCATGATTTCGCCTCCATGACACCTTCAACCATCCGTGCCTTCAAATCCGTTGATCCCTCGCTGAAGAAACAGTCTGCGGCACAAGACACTCATTCTGTTCACTACGTCGCATTCAATCCGATCACCCCGGGCTATGTCCTCGCTGTACCAGCATCATCTCAAGCACGAATTCTCGATCGTGATGGCGAAACTCTACTAGAATTCGTCAAGGGTGATATGTACTTGCGGGATCTTCACAATACCAAAGGCCATGTTTCAGAGATTACTACCGGAGTTTGGTGCCCGTCGAATGAAAACCTCTGTGCTACCGCCGGTTCTGACGGTACTGTGCGTATCTGGGATGCCAATGTCGCCCGTTCACAGAAGGAGGTGATTGTGCATAAATCACGAGTCGCTGGATCCGCTGGTCGGACCAAGATGACGGCCGTCGCGTGGGGCTCTCCGAAACAGGGAGGTTCCGATGTCTTAGTTACTGCGGCTCTTGATGGTAGCTTGGTGATGTACAGTGGAAAAGGGCCCTTCACCCGACCCGCGGCTGAGGTACGAGATGCTCATACTCGCGACACCTGGACCAGCGGCCTGGATATAAGCTCCGATGGGCGGCTTGTCGTCAGCCGAGGTGGTGACGATACGATCAAGCTATGGGACACGAGGAAATTCAAGACTCCCGTCAACACCGTTACACATACTTCAACATCTTCTCGCTATCCTACATCGAACATCCAGTTCTCACCGTCGTCGGCAAACGTGATCACTGGCTCGGAAACCGGGCACCTGCACATTCTCAACCCGGCCACTCTAAGGCCTGAGCTTGTCACTCCTGTTACGCCCGGGTCCCCACTGATCACTGTCTTATGGCATGAAAAGTTGAACCAAATTCTGACCGGCTCCGCCAACGCTGAAACGCATGTTCTCTACAACCCTACCATGTCCACCAAGGGTGCTGCGCTGGTCATGTCTCGCGCACCCAAGCGTCGCCACTTCGATGACAACGCCTCTCTCACGACGGATCTGACCCAGGGTATTTCCGGAGACTCGGTGGTTGTTGGATCCAATGGTGTGCCCCACTATAGTTCATCTACCTTCTCTTCCCGTCACCCAACGGTGGGCATGACAGCCTCTGGTCGTTCTCGAGACCCACGTCGCCCACATCTACCGGCTGTTACTCCCTTTGCCAAGGGCCAGTCGGACGAGAAATTCATTCGCGACTATATTCCTCTCAGTTCGATGCGTGATGAGGATCCTCGCGAGGCGCTTTTGAAATATGCCGATAAAGCCGAGAAAGACCCGATTTTCACCAAGGCATACAAGGAAACTCAACCTAAAGCGATCTATGCCGAGCTGAGCGATGACGAAGAAGAGGGCCCAGAGAAGAAAAAGGCTCGACAATGATTATTTTTTAACTATGTTTAATAAAAATTTATGAATCCTGATGATTGTGTCAGGTGCAGACTAGTGCTAAAGGAGATAGCGAACACTGGCCTATACACCAATATTCATCAAAATATTCGAGTCGTTCGATCAGCCACCGTTGGAATAAAGTTCCCCTCCTTGTCTTGCGCTTTCCCCATCCCACTGTCATAAAACGGAATCAATCCCTCAGGAACAATCTCGGAGGGGCAGAGCTCCTGCATATTTCTCCGGCTCAACTCCCTATAGAGATGCCACAGAGAACGAATATCCACTCGCATATAGCCCGTATATCGTGCCTTCCACCGATTATCCGGATACCGCCCATCGATCATGCCAACAAATCCCCGAGTCTTAACAGGAAGTCTAGGCCTTTCCCCCTCAAGCCAGGGCAGAGGGTCAGAACTAGCAATGATTGACTTTAGCGACCGCTCATCAATCAAAAGACAGCCTTCGAATCGACCAGTTCCTTCGCCCTTGCTTGCACGAAGATACTCTACAAAATGATCTCGAACCTGCTCGATAGTTGCTCTATCCCAGAACTGCTTATCGGAGAAAATAACATCCTTGTGTGTTTCCATCACCAACCGTTCAGCATCACCATCTGGCTCTTCATCCTTAGGCTTCTTCCGTCGATTATCGGCGTAAAGATCAGAGTTGATCTGGTTATCCATATTTTTAGCCAGTTTATCCATAGCAAAAGGCCATAGCTCATCTGATTCGGCAGTATAGACTGTTCGGTATATAAAATAACCCCAGGGGAATATAGAGTTGACCTTCGGGTACAGAAAGTTTCTTGGGCTTCGTTTATCCTGGTCAAACCATGGAGCTTTGCGCCAATTGTCCACAAAGTCGCCGACAAACTCGGGGTGTGACCATCGCTCCGGCCATGAAGGGTGATGGTAGAAAGACTGGTCATCCTGTTCGGTTACTAGTTTGTTGATTTCAGCTGGATCGCGTGGCGGAGAAGAAGTCGGAGCAAGGGCGTCGGAAGACATATTTGGATAGTGGTAGACGATGAAGTAGCCGAACAGCAGGAATAATAAGAGATAATAGAGTAGTATGGGCAGATCCATCCTGAGTCTGTGGGGTAATTAAGGATCTTTCTACCCTGGTGCCTGGTGGTGAGACCCAGAGAACTTTGAGAAGTTCCGGTGGGAATGTCTCGTTACTTACATATTTGGCTCGAGATCTGTTGGCGTCACGCCAATCTTGGCAATCTAAATTAGCCAAAGTTTGTGCTCCAAAATTTCAAGCTCTTTGTACCTAGTAGTCGATGAAAACGCGGAAAGGGTTGAGTCGAGTTTCCTGTGATATGACTTGTGACCTGCTTAAGCCCTGGAGAATCCCAAAAGAGAGGGACACCACTACCTATTAGGTATCCTTATTAAAGTCTGAGCCTACTCTTTCTCTATTGTATTACTATTTTGTTTTGTCTCTTCTACTTTTTGTTCCTTATTTCTTACTAGTACTCCAGGACTAGTATTACTTCTCAGGTCTTATTAAGGATAATAGTAGTCTCAAGAAAAGGGTAACTGTCGGGTATATGGTGTGTAGAGATATCATGATGTGACCGACCTTATTATCATTTAATAGCTAATAGTTAGCCCTGAGACCTTCAATTTGGATATTATCATCATCTTTATATACAGCTGTCTCTATAGGTACGCTACCGATTGACTGTCACTTTCCATGGGTCTGCTTCGAACTGTAGAAATTAACCTTGAAAGCTTCACTCCCAGCCTCAACCCAGCCACAACAATAAGTACAAGCCCTCGAGTCTTAATGAAACATGAAACAAAGGGCGCATGGAGGCTCTCCTTGCTGGGGCTGCCCAGGAATGTGAATGTCCATCAATCTCCCCTCTTTTCTTGGCTGCCAGATGACGTCCCCAAGGACCCGACGATCGCCAGTGCGCTCTTTTGCCTACCCAAACTACCAATGACAGACACAAAACAGAACCAGCACGAGCTTGGACCTCACACGCACGGCTTGGGGCACGATTTCTGGTTGTAAATTGGTGTGTGAGGCACGTTTTACAGTAGCGTGGAGCAAGGAGGGGGACCGTTGTGGTTTATACTAGTGCTGACATAGCAATCACTCCTCCCTCCCTCTCCGCTCCGAACTTCGACTCTAAACTTCTGCCTTCAAACGCGACGAGGCAGCGTCGAAGGTGACAACCAACCGGACCTTGAAGGATGCTGCCTATTTTATCCTTGTGAAATGCTCGCCCATCGATCCTGACTTTCCTCCACATCGACTTTGTCGACCACTCCGTACCGCTATTAAAGAGGAAGAGCTCGGGCCCGAAGATCCCCCCCCAGTCGGTACCCCGATTCGATTCCGGACCTTCGGTCTATGCGATCCAAGACTTGTACTCGTGTGTCTCGCCCTTAAATTTACGCGCCCGCATGGAATCTCCCCAGGAGCCCCTGCTCGCAGGGTTGCTCACCTCTCTCGTTACGTCCGTGATCGCACCTTCGGCCACGGTCGTTTCGCACCCGGCCTCCTATTCGCATCATTCCTACGCTACATCACCTCCTATTCCCTCATTACCGCCAAGTGATAATGGTCAGTGGAATGACGAGGGAAAAATGAGACAGTGGTCATCTACCATCGGTATCATCACCGCTCTTGCCGGCAACGTTTTGATCTCCGTCGCCCTCAACATCCAGCGCTATGCGCATCTCCGGATCGCGCGGGAATGGGAACAAGATAAGATTAAAAAAGAAGCGAACTGGAGGCGATCTAATTCCGACTCCCGATCACCAAACCAATATGGCGCCGCTGGAGGCGAACGCTCTCATGGCGGGGATCAGCCGGAGAGATCACGGAAGGAACAAAGACACGCACCACACCGTATCTTCGAAGAGTACCGAGATGATGTCGATGATCCCCCGCGAGGAAGGAGGGGTGCTTCGGAATCACCGGAGCCTATGCGCAACTCCTTTACGTCTGATCGTACAGCTCGGCCCGGAGATAAAGGTGATGAGTTCGGAGATCGCAAGTCATACCTTCAGTCTCCGTACTGGTGGGCTGGAATTATTCTGATGTGCCTTGGTGAAACAGGCAACTTCATGGCATATGGCTTTGCACCGGCTTCTATTGTTTCGCCCCTGGGCGTTGTGGCGTTGATCTCGAATTGCGTCATTGCGCCTTGTCTATTGAAGGAGACGTTCCGACAGCGTGACTTTTGGGGTGTCTTGATTGCCATTGCAGGTGCTGTGGTCGTTGTTCTCAGCGCAAAGTCGTCGGAAGAGAAGATTGGCCCTGATGAAATCTGGGCGATGATTACCACTTGGGAATTTGAGACCTATCTCGGATTGACCACTGGGTTGATTATTGCTTTTATGTGGGCTAGTTTCAGATATGGATCTCGCTCAATCCTGATCGACGTCGGCCTAGTAGCACTATTTGGTGAGTCTCTTGTACCTCTACTCGTTTTTATGCGACCTGGAGACATGCTAACAAAATGGGATAGGCGGATATACCGCACTCTCCACCAAGGGTGTTTCTTCACTTTTGTCATATACATTATGGCACGCCATTACCTTCCCCATCACCTATTTGCTGGCCTTTGTCCTCGTCTTCAGCGCTCTCATGCAAATCCGCTATATCAATCGGGCCTTACAGCGATTTGACTCTACACAAGTGATTCCAACACAGTTTGTCCTTTTTACACTTTCTGTCATCATTGGAAGTGCAGTGCTATACCGTGACTTTGAGTCAATGTCGGCCAGACGCGCCGGAGAGTTTGTTGGAGGTTGTTTCCTGACCTTCCTCGGAGTCTACTGCATCACGAGCGGCAGAGTTCGATCTGATGATGAGTCTACATTTTCAACTGACGACGAAGAAGAGGCTATCGGCCTGCTAAATGGTGAACGTTATCAAGATCGAGTTGATCTATCACCTCCGAACCAGCAATTGCGAGCACCGAAAGGTCCGCATACTGCCATTGATTATACGGACGATGTTCCACAGTCTCCATCAGGATCTCTACTGAGCCGTGGGATAGATGGAGTTGATGATAACCAGCTTACTCCACGGGGTGTTCTTTCGGCCGCTCCATCTTCGCCAAGTAGCTCATTGCCCATGGACTCTCCCCTTTCGGGCCCGTCGTTCGAAGGCCCGTCTCCGTTGCGGCCCCCGTCTCGTATGTCGAACCCCTGGGCGGACAGCCACGAGCAGATATTCGCTGCTAGACGCGATTCCGATATTCGCCCCGTCACTCCCCCATCCGACGGTAGCACGGTCCAGGAATCTACAGTTCTCCTCCGCTTTCCGCCAGCGCCCGGAATGGAAGGTTCTCCATCAAATGGAAATGCTACGACTGTTCGACGTGCGTCAACACCGACCGGAGGCAATCAGGCCCAGCTTCCAGACCGAAGCCACGCGACACTCGAGACACCCACCCGTCGAACGCTTCGCAATTCTATCTCCAATCGATTCTCACCCGGACCCCTTCTCCCCGCATTGTCAGGCGGCTTCAGTGCTATAGTGGCCGAGTCTCTCCGACGCGGCGAGAAAAGTCCTTTCAAGGATCGCTCCAAGCGCAGATCAGGTCGCCGCAAGCAGTTGGATGGCGCTTTCGATGAACCCGGATACTTTGATGGCGAAGGAGCTCATGACAGTTCTATCACAATCGCCAATGCCCGACTTCAGTCGGCTACTAGTCTCGTGGTCTCAGATGTGGAGGGTGGTCGATCCACCCCTGCCCTCGCCACCGAAATCTATAACACACCGACTCAGAAGCCCAGCGAGGATGTCACTCGACTTCGCAGTTTCAGCGACTCATGGAGCGGTGGCCTCGCATGGTTGGGTGGTGCGCTGCGAAGCAACAACGTCGAGCATGCAATTGCCAGCGGTGCGGTAACACAGGAGACTGCAACACCGCAAAACAATGAGACACCGAATGCCGATCACTCGAACGAAGATGCTAATACCTCTACCGCATCTCGATAAGCGCAGCACAACGCAGTGCGGCAGCAAGGGTGGACGAACGAACTCCTTAGTCTCATCTCCCCTTTGCTTCCAGGGGCTGTACATGACGAGTGGCTGGGTCACCAACGTACATACATCCTCTCTCACCTCTTCCCGCTTTTTCCCTTTTCCTTATTTTTTCTTTTCTGTAAACTCTTCGTGGCGGGGATTGGTGTATTTCTTTTTTTGTGGACATACACTGGGCTGTATCGGCATTGCATTATGCGGGGTAACTTCTTTTCTTATGCATTTAATATCCTCCACTTGTTATTATTTTCAATTATCATACCCGGGCTATTCCCTGTATTCAAAAGAGCGAATCATTTCGACGGAAGTTACTTCTTTCGGTTTATTGTTTCTATCAAGTCTCGTATAAACGACCGAAATATTTAGCAATTCGATCCGAGTACGGAGTAATCATGAAATTCCAGGATGACTTGGCTTTTTTCATATAGACTGAATAAGATTACATCCTGCAAGTCTTAGAGGTCTTTCTTTTCTGATAGGTGGAAAAAGAACATGCGTAAAATTAGTTAATAACTAGATCTACAAAATAACCACCAACTTCACTGCAGGACCACGCCTACTGCCTACCATTATAGCCCCCGGCTAAAGCATTGAGTTTGCCAAACCAAGTACCTAGCTGCATTTATCCGGTTTTCAACCCGAGGATGTCGGAGTCTCGCTTTGTGCGTGCAGCCTGCAGAAGCGAACGTCCAAGCTTCAAACAAACTAAATCAACACCAAGAAGCGGGGGAGGTTGCTCCGTTTCACGATAGTTCTAGTGCACAAAATAGGTTCTTTGCCACTGTGCTTTACAAGACTAGTGACCATTTCATCTCCGAAGTAATCCCAGATCAAGCCAAAGCTGCATGTTCAAGCTAGATCCAATATCCACCTTACTATAATCGTTCAAGTTTGTGGTGAAACAGGACAAGCCCCAGCGTACCCCGGCGGACATTTCCCCGCGGGGTCAAGAGATTAATTTGCGGCCGTTGATATTGCATGACCTGTATGCACGATGATCGGCATTTATTACTCCCGAGTTAGCTCTTTCCCCCCCTTCTTCTAGGGTTTGCTTTTTTCTCTGTCTTCGAATATTCGATTCTGGCATGAGAGCTAATTGACGCGTCTCTTATTGTCGAGATGATGGTCAAAGGATTCACCAAGGGGTTGCTGCTCACGCAGCTCCCCGCCCTGGTTGCTGGGGCGAGTACTCCTGTTTACAAGGATGCCAGTGCACCCGTTGAAAAGCGAGTGAAGGATCTACTGGGCAGAATGACAATCGAGGATAAAATGGCTCAGTTGATGCAAGGTATTCATCTAATTTTGAGCTGGGATTTCTGGATTGGTGGCTCACCAATTCTTCTTTAGGCGATATCACCAACTGGATGAACCAGACGTCTGGCGCATTCAATTATACCGGGCTGGTTACGAATATGGAGATGAAGGCGGGGAGCTTCTATGGTATTGACATTTGAAAGATTACTCGATATTAGGATCAATGCTGATTGTCATCCAGTTGGATACCCTGTAGCATGGGACTGGATCGCGGACAACATCAAGCGCGCCCAGGACTACCTGGTGCAGAATACTACGCTGGGTATTCCAGCTATCACTCAGACCGAGGGTAAGTTTTAATGAGTAGCGCTGCGTTGGAAAGAAAATACTGATGTCCTGTTTTAAAGGAATTCATGGTTTTTTGATCGGCAATGCGACCATTTTCAATTCGCCCATCGCATACGGATGCTCTTGGAACATGGATGTAAGAAGAAAAAAACAATAATAATATACGGTACTCATACTGTTCCAAAGCTGATAAGAAACCTATAGTTGATTCAAGAAATGGGGGAAATCATTGGACAGGAAGCTAAGGCCCTTGGTGTAAACCAGCTTTTCGCGCCTGTAGTCGATCTGGCACGCGAGCTCCGATATGGTCGTGTAGGTTTACAAAGCTTCAAATAAGCCCAAGGTCGAGTTTTTATAGATATCTCTGACTTACCTCTCTTTTAGGTCGAAGAAACTTTCTCCGAGGATGCTTTCTTAGCTGGGGAGATTGGATATAACTATGTCAAGGGCCTGCAGAGCAAGAAGGTTTCCGGCATGGTCAAACACTTTGCTGGATTCAGTAGCCCTGAGCAGGGCCTGAATACTGGACCTGTGCACGGTGGTGAGAGAGAGCTGCGAACAACGTCAGTGTCAATTATCTCTTGTTCTATTTAGTAACATACTAACCTGAATTTTAGCTGGCTTCCTTCTTTCAAACGAGCTATCATTGACGCGGGCGCGTGGTCTATTATGGCTGCTTACCATTCGTAAGATTCAACCCGAAATCTTGCCAATGACACGTATCACTGATGAGTTTTCTAGATATGATGGAATTCCGGCCGTTTCTGATTACCATACTCTCACCGAGATCCTGAGAAATGAATGGGGTTACGAATACTTTGTTATGACCGATGCTGGCGGCAGCGACAGAGTCTGCAGCTACTTCAAGCTCTGCGAAAGTGATCCCATTGACAAGGAATCTGTGACTACACAGCTCATCACTGCCGGAATCGATGTTGAGATGGGAGGTGGCTCCTTGTAAGCATCATTATGTCCTTCACCGGGCTACTGGCATTCGTTTGGGAGACCTAGGCTCACACTGTGCAGTAACTTCCAGAAAATCCCCGAACTCGTCAAATCAGGCAAACTTGATATTGCTACTGTCAACACCGCTGTGTCCAGAGTGCTTCGCGTCAAGTTCGAGATGGGACTTTTTGAAAATCCATACACCGCTGCTCCAGAGAGCAAATGGAAGAGCCTCATCAATAGCCCGAAGGCTGTGAAGCTTGCAAGGAACCTAGACAAGGAGTCTATTGTTTTGCTTGAGAATCACAACACAACTCTTCCTTTGTCCAAGTCTGGTAGCATTGCTGTAATCGGGCCTATGGCACATGGATTCATGAACGTATGACACCCCGTCGTCAATTCAGCTCCACAAGGTCTTGAATACTGATTCTCCTTCTAGTATGGTGATTATATTGTTTACAAAAGTCAATACCGAGGCGTTACCCCACTGGACGGAATCAAGGCGGCCGTTGGGAATAAGGCCCAGATCAACTACGCCCAAGGATGCGAAAGGTGGAGCAACGACCAATCTGGATTCGACGAAGCGGTTGAAGCCGCAAAGAAATCTGACGTCGCCGTTGTTGTCGTTGGCACCTGGTCGCGAGACCAGATGGAACTTTGGCAGGGCTTGAACGCAACGTGAGTGACGCACTGTCCAATTACTCAAATTTGATCTGCGGTGTCAGATTGCGGATCATGCTGGGTGCTGACTGAATGTAGGACCGGTGAGCACGTCGATGTAGATGACCTCTCTCTAGTTGGTGCGCAGGGCCCGCTCATCAAAGCCATTGCGGATACTGGTGTCCCCACCATCGTTGTTCTCTCAAGTGGAAAACCTGTTACTGATACTTGGCTATCTAACTCCACCTCCGCTCTCATCCAGCAATTCTACCCATCGGAGCAAGGAGGCAATGCTCTTGCTGATGTTCTCTTTGGAGATTACAACCCGTCTGGAAAGCTATCTGTCAGCTTCCCTCGCTACGTTGGAGACCTACCTGTCTTCTATGATTACTTGAACTCTGGCCGTTCGATTGGTGATTCAGGACGGGAACTCAGCAATGGGACTCTCGTTTTCGGTCATCAGTATGTCCTTGGTAACCCCCTGCCATGGTACCCCTTCGGATACGGCAAGAGTTACTCCACCTTTGAGTATGGATCCGTCAGTGTCGACCGGAGCAAAGTTTCAGCCTCTGATAGCAAGATAACCATCAGTGTTGATGTGAAGAACACCGATACGAAGCGTGATGCTACAGAAGTAGTCCAAGTCTACATCTCCGACAATATTGCCTCCGTCGTTGTTCCAAATCGGCAGCTCAAGGGCTTTAAGAAGGTCGTCATTCCTGCTGGAAAGACAAAGACAGTCCAAATCCCCATCAAGATCGAAGATCTTGGACTCTGGAATACTCGTATGAAGTATGTTATTGAGCCAGGCACGTTTACTGCCCTCGTTGGTAGTAGCTCGGAGGACATCAGGGGCAACGCAACTTTTACTGTACAGTAATTATTGATAAAGAAACTACTGTAGTGAATAATTTCCAGGATATAATACCATAAATGGTGTCTTTGATTCCGAGTCAACTCTGCTATTCCATTATTTTCTTCCCTCAATATGAGTGTGTCATTATATAAAAAAAAGGCGCCGAAATGTGTAAAACGAATGTGCAATAAGAAGAACTCCAAACTCCATGATAGCATGAGCTATAGTTTTAGTCCTTATGACGGCGATCTGGGTGAATCTTGGTATGTTTCCAACGGCCCGAATGTAGCCAGCGCTGCCTGGTCCGCTTTGACCCGAGTCAAAGTCAACCTCTTTAGGCTCTTGCCAGTGGCAGGTCGATTTTCACTGGCAGGTCGGATTTCACTGGCAGGTTGATTTCCAGTCTCAACGAGAGACGTAGTAGATTGATTCAAGTCTTTCTCGAGACTGAGAACAACTCCAATAGCCTGTTCGTCTTCGATAACCTTCGGGTGACGCATGGCAAAGTAACGAGCATATTTGTACAAAGACCAGTAGCAACTGACGACGTTGATAATTGTCAGTGCGATCTTGTAAATTGTGTAGTAAAATAGTAGAACAGTCCAACTGATGCGCTCTTTCTTCAGCCGCAAATGGATCTCGTTGAAGATTATGACATTGACGATATACATGCCGATAGTGGCACCGAGAAGAATGCCGCAAAACTCGGGGCGGACGATGAAGGATATCGGAAGGACGAAGGGCGCGAGGAGGTAGATTAGTGTTTCATAGACCTGTAGAAATTTCATGTCAGTCTATTGTTTAGTATTTCAAAGATGGCCGAAAGCATTTCCATACCTCTTGGAAAACACAGAGCTTGGCTCCGAACTCCCACCACCCCAGCTTCCAGCTTGTGAAAATGTACTTCAGGTCATAGTACATTCCAATGACAAAAAAGAAGTTCCAACGCTTAAACCTTTGCTGGAAGATTGTCATCTCACCGAATCCACCGCGGCTGCCACTGCCACTGAAGAACACAGAGGCTGGAGTCTCAGTTTCAACAAAAACAGCCGAGCACATGGTAATACGACCTCCGAGACGGCGGCAACTATCCCCGAAGAACCAATCTTCCGAAACAGAGAAACCGGGGTGCTCGTTGAAAGTCTGCTTGAGAAATTCCGTGTTCCAAATTGAGATTGCGCCGTGGGGGAATGTCGCGCTGCCAAGTTTACCAAAGAAAGCACGCTGCAGCCCAGACATCTTGTACTCCAGGTCCTGAGCTTGCTGGCACCATGTACCCTTTGACGATTCTGGACCGACACTCTTGATCGTGTATCCGACGCATTGAACTCTTCCCTTAATTTGGTCGCTAACGATAGGGAAATTGGGAGGCAATGCGCAGTCATCATCAATCAGAAGAACATTTTCGAACTCATCCGCAGCGTAGCAGCCAGCGAATTGCGCCACGATTTTCGACCCGACAGGCACCCAAATGTGATTAACACCAAAGGGCTTGCATACCTCCTCCGTATTATCCAAAGGTGTTTCCGAATTTCCATTGGCGATGACAAAAATATTCTCCGGTGGGAATATTTCCAGAGCTGCTTTGAGGGTTGGGCCGATGATATTTGCTGATTTATAGCAGGGGATGAGCAAGGCTGTCGATTTGGCATTCGAGGAGTTTCGTTCCAGGTCGAAGTTCTCGGTCATCTCCTTGGGTGGCGGGTCTTTGTCGAATAGAATTAACAGAGGCAAAAAGGCGTATCTAATTGATCGACCGGGTAAGCATATACGTCGACAACGGGGGTATGTTTTGGGGTCTCACAGTGCAGCTAAGCCGATAGTAATAGCAAAGCCTCCTTGGATAACAAACTTATTTCTCACAACCCAGTAGAGCCACCAGACAGCGCCATTCCATAAGGGTACGCCGATAAGGACGAAGTAGACGAAAAGAACAAGAAGAAGGTATAGTCCCCACTCGAATAGGAGTCGGACCCAATACTTTCTCTGGATTGCGACTCCTCTCAATTTTGCTTTTTCATAGGCATCGTGCATACTACTTTGATGACTTGCGTGACTTTCCTGGCTATCCTCAGTGCGAGAGCTGACTCGGCTGAGTTGCGTAGGACTGAAAGCCGCTTGCTTGACTGGCGTGATGGGCTCATCTTCTGAATCGGAATTTAGAGGTTTCAAAGAGTTGGGGCTCTTCAAATTCTCTTCCCAGTCTAGAATACGAATCAGTATAGAATCGAGTAGGGAGCTTTCAGACACATACCTATCAATGCGGGTGGGTTGGTGAGTGGCCGGGTGGTGGTGCGACGCGGCCTGGAGATCTTCAAGGCCGAAAGACTCGATGAGCGATTGAGACCGCTCTTATCTTTCCGATTGAGTGAAGTTGAAAGGCTGCGTTGGACACGGTCATTTTTAGGAAGGGACTTCTCCCATTTGACCTTCTCCCATGGTGAATTGAACTTGGCAGTCGAGAAAAGATGTTTAGGGATCGGCACGTCCTCCACAATGGAGCGACGCTTATCTTGCTTTTCCGACATTCAGTGTTTTTAAAGCATTAAAATAAAGAGTGAATGTGTAAATAAACGAATGGAAGACTCGGATTGAACGAGAATATAATGAATGGACAGCAACGAATCGTCACTGGTTAAATGAATGTAGTATTTGCCGGCGCCACCAAGCGAGAAATGAGAGAGAAAAAAAGTACCAGTGTAGATTTATAAAAACTTGTCTTTCCAAAGTGTATGACCTACCCTCACTGAGTGGGCCATGTGCTGGCAAGGCCCCATACTCATCGCCTAGATCTCGATGGATGGGTTATGGGGCCGGCCAAGGCCGGATATGAGCTCCCGGAGTATGAATCCTATGACATGGGGAGACCCAGGAATTGAACTTGGGTTCCAAAAACCTGATCCAGGAAACATAACAATGGAAAGCAATCTACCCACTTGAGACATTTGAAATTAGAAAGCATTTGTTCCCCATGGTAGTGAAATAATATCAACTTGAACTTCTTCAGAACTTCTTTCTTCTCAGCCTCAAATGCATTCTAGAAAAGGCATTGATTGACAATATAACTAAGTGTGTTAGCGCGATACGTACGCTTGTGAGCTCGGGGCAGCTCCAATAATAACCTAGTAACATCAGCCTTACTGAATATGTGGTGGATCCACCAACTCGACCCATGTGCCCGGCCAGCCAGTATTCCCACGTTCGCTACCAAGGGTAGAAAGGATCTGCCTTGAAACCCTTCAAATTGCAAGCATGGCAGTGGATTCCCAAGAGGATTGATCCTTTGGAAAACTAGGGTCCAGCAAATTTCTTCGCATCCACTTCCGAGTCCGAGGTGAATTGTTCCAGTGCACTGTTGCATTGTCTTGACCGGTTAATCGGGTGAACAGATTTTAGCGTAGCTGCAGCATGTGGCCAAGCGGATATACCAACTAAACTTGGCCAGTGAAAAGAAAGCCATCTTCGATCGGACCCATCTATCACTGATCTTTACCATTTAAGTCGTAAAAAGCCGTGGTTCACGAACGGGTCCTCGGAAGAAAGGAATGTTATTGGTTGTAGTGTGGATCCAATACCAAGCTTCGTCATCTGCTGGTTCAGGTACGGAGACGGAGCAATGCTCACTTTTTGTACGGCGAACCTCACTGTCGGGAGCTTGCCGAGCTACCCTTACACCCTGTTTTTAATTCGAAATAGGAAAAAATACATTCGGTCTTGATCAATTATGTTCTCCGCTATTAAAGAATCTATGTACTCCGTACATCCGGCAATCTTCTCGTACACTCGGTTGTGAGAGACAAGCGGAGTACGCGGAGGTAAGCATCATATCGAAGCCACAAGCGAAGCCACAGCGGGCCTAAAAATAGCGTGACGAAACATGAAACATGAAACAGCCATGGAATACATTGCCAACAAGGTTTGGACTTGCACCTTTATTTTGCTTTTTCCATATATGTACCTAAGTATTTGAGAAAAAAAAAAACCTTGTATCATCATAATCCTAACCTCGGTAGAAATTTCATGACCTTCGATTTCCAAGCTAGGCAGCTCCTTATATTTTCTCTTCTCCTTTCTTATATTTCAGTTCCGTCCCAACAACTCCCTAAACCCACTCGGCATGCATAAAAACATACCCGAGTGGATACTGGCGCAAAGTAGTACGTGCATGAACACCAGGACGGCAGACAAAAAAAACTCAAAAAGACAACTAGAGCACGAAGTGATGGGGAATCAGGCTGCAGCCTTGGGGGCTACACACTTGAAAGGAATAAGTATCCCAAGATGGATGGGCTTGAATTTGAGACGATGTGGTGTTCGGGTTATCCAGTGAATCCTGGGGAGGGCTTCACGCTTCACACAGCACCTCGATCATAGGGGGATGTCGGTTGTTCAGCTCGAGTTTTGAGTCTAGGTGTACGGTGTAGGTAAGTTAATCATAGCATCGTGGGGGCAGGTTTTTCATTAGTGCCCTAAAGAGCCCCCGGGCCAGACAGTCGACACATCGGCCTTTTTAGGGTTGGTATGTTCAGCGGGGCCAGAATATGATATTGCCAGCCTGAGGGCACTGCGTCATTCTCTAGCAAGCATTACATCGTAAACAACAGTCTGATTCTCTTATGGGCACTTCATACCTAGATGATCGTGTAGTAAGAAGTTGGAAGAAGTGTCATCATACAATCAGCTAGCAATTTAAATCATTCGCCTAGGTTTTTAAAGTAGATGAGAGCTCGATATTCTCAAAAGTGCCACCAGATGCCCACTAAGCATTGTGGTTGTCCACTTTTAAATTCCCTTCGGCTTCAGATCGATTGGGCGAATCCGAGTCTAGTAACTGCGGAGACACCGGGGCGTCTGCTTTTTTACCACTACCATTTTCACCATCGGCGACACGACTCTCGCGCCGGGTCTTAGCACCTTCTTTTAGCTTTTCCCATCGGTCCCGATATCGTCCCAGGATGTTCTTTAACTTGTCGTTCTCGCGTCCAATGCGTTCCAATTCTTGCTCGCCCCGTCGGACAACGTCCTCTAGCTCTTTGACTCGGGGGTCGGACTCGGACATAGATGGCCCCGCTATAGAAGTAGCACCGGAGAGGGCCGGGGGTATATGATCCGCGGACCCAGTGTTATGGTGGTGCATCGCCCTCAGCGACTGCTGTAGCGCCATCGAGGAAGACTGTGCATTTACCTCCCACATGTGTAGGCGTTTGGAAAGGGTATCCGACAATTGCTTCAATGCCTGGTTTTCCATCTGTAGCTCTTCCATTGTTTTGGGGTTCTGCAGGGCGTTAAATTTGCCCGGGGGCTCATTACGCGTACGTCCTGGGGATGTTTTCTTGGCCGAGCTCTGCAGCATTTCTGGGGAAGATGGCATTTCCCGCGCATCAACAAAATCATCTTCGCCGTCGTCCAGACTGTTTCGACGAGCTTCCTTTTCGGCTCGTGTCAATATGCCAGCGTAAGACATTGTTCCACCTGTTGTTGGAACCACGTAGAACGACTCGGCTGCATTGCCAGGACTCGCACCGGGAGTGTCTTGGATGGATCGCAGCGCAGCTCGAGAGAAAAGCCGATTTACGTCGAGATTCGGCAACGAAGATTTTCGGTCATGAGTAGCATGATGACGATCCAACTTGGCCTCGGCGGCGGATTTACGATTCGCAGCCCCCGTTCCTGCCGGGTCCTCCGAAGTCAGAGGTAGGCCTGCAAATGCGAGAGGTGCCGAAATTTTAGACACCAGTCCTTCAAAGGCCGAATAAAATTGCTGGAACCGTTCATCAGTAACAGAAGGCTTGGCAATTGGCTGCGAAGATTCTGTCGTGTCTCGGGGTACAAGTTGATGGGAACCAATGTCGGGGCCGCTAGGCAAAGGGGGAGACCAGGGTTGTCTCGGGGCCGATGCACGACTCTGGCGATTTTTGTTCGGGACGTCTCGAAGTCGAGATTCGCCGGTCTTGAGCCTCGACGGCGGCTCGGTCATCTTCGCACCCGCTTGGTGTGCGGAAAGAGTCGGTGACACTGGCGAGCCCCGACGAGGCTGAGACGGTATACCTCGAGCCGATGCTAAATTACTAGCAATCGACGATGATTCGCGACTGGCCAGTCGGGGTGGTCGTGAAGGTTGCGCCTGGGCATCTTGGCTTGCAGTCTTGGTGTGAGTGGAATCGGTCGTGGCGGGTTGGCTTGCTGGATTGGGAGAGGTAGTGATAGACGATGTGACTGCAGTGGCGGTAGTCGTATGGGTTTCATGCTGGAACCTTAGGATTTCGGCAAGTTTCTTGTGGTGGCCCTCGAGGAGCTTGAGAGTCCGGAGAGCCTGGGTGGGTCGTAACACAATGCGGTCAGTGCACACGCCCACGCCCGGAACAGGGAGATCGAGCTCGAGGTCATTTCCGGACTTACCTCATGGTCCGAGCTGTTCTGAAGGGCAGATGCAAACTCGCCGGCGGCCAAGTCGTGTTCCTCACTGGCGGCGACAGGGTTTGACTTGCGGGTCTCGAGGACAGCATTTCGCGCATGGGTGTGGGCCTGGAGAGGTTAGAGCGGGGGAGTTCGGGGAGCTTGAGTGGCCTTGGACCTTGAAGATGACTTACTAGGCTCAGCGGAGCAGTCTCCATGGCTGTATGCAATGGTGCGGTAACCTTTCTCTACCTACTAGTAGTAGGTAGTTGGTGACAGGGAGTAGTGGTGGATGAGAAGATGTAGTAAGAAGAGGGCAGAGAGAGAGAGAGAGAGAGAGAGAGAGAGAGGAGAAAAGAGGGCGGATATGAAGGAGAGCGGACGGGTCTATCCGTGACAGCATAATTTACACCAACAGCAACAGAGTACTTATACTTACGGCTAATAGTTACTAGTTATAAGTACCTAGGTACATTTAGTAAATAGCACTGCTTGCATAATTTAATCCATTTACCAAGTACAAATATAATCAAGTTAGCCTTCCAGGTGATCCACATGGATAGTAGTACTAGGATGCTGAATGCAGCCAGCCCCGTCGCATTGGGCTGTGACAGCGAAGATCCGGGAGTATACTAGATGATGGATATAGAAGTCTTAGTTGGAAAGAATAGAATTTTCCTAATTAATGCTATTCAAGTATATGTATAGTATCACTTGAAGTATACTAGTACTAAATATACTCGGTCACGGGCTTCGGTCTGGGCGTCTGACTAAGAAGTTCCAGAGTCCCCCCCTCAACGCCAAAGCTACTCCTACCCTAAGGGTACATTAACACTCCCTCCATGCGCCAACTCCATCTCACCTTCTCTTTCGCCTCTACTTAGCTTCGGGCTTGATTCTCTGTTCGCCTCATGGCGGATTCCGAATCCTCCAGCCTGCATAGCAGGTCACGCCGCGCCTGGACCGTCTCCGCCGAGTCGGATGTCATGGAGAGCTCCGGGAGGAGCAATGGCCGCTCCTCCATTGAATCCTCAGAACGTCCTAAAACTCAGGCAGGAGAGGACCCCGATTCCGCCAAGGCTGGTTCCAGCGGTTTCTCCAAACTTCTCAATGCCCGTCGCCGCCGGAAGAAGAAGAACAACCGGGATCCATCGGAGGAGCCTCAAGTGCCAGGTGTGATCACCGAGCAGGACCTGCAGCTCAGCCGATCGAATGACTCTCGTGAGGGTACCTCGGGCGCCCCTTCATCGACCAACAGCTCCGCTCCCCTGGAAAACGAGGCCATCACCCTCCTGACCGATGATTCTGAACCAGACAGGTACGAATGAGCTCTACCCTATTATTCCCTATTGCTTGGTTTCCAATGAAGTCTCGACCGTCTACCCCCAATACTAACCTTGACCTTTGCGCATTGAATGTAGGACACCCCCACTTACCTCTCACAACTCCCATACCGGTTTCTATACTTCCTCCTCCCCCCTCATCAAAACAACCTCCGTCGATGCCGCCGACAGCCAAGGGACGCAGGGAGACCCCGAGTCGGCAGCAAGTGGCCCAAGTGCCACAGGTTCAGACAAATCACTTTCCGACGAACGTGTCCCAAGACAGGGGATCCAGTCAAGTATGACACTCGACATACCAGGAGACTCCAACAGCAAGCGACGAAGTGCCTCTCCAGGCAGACGCTTCAAGGACGCCTTCAGCACATCAGACAAGAAGGAGAAGGAGAAGGAGAAGAAGAAGGAGGAGGAGGAAAGGGAACAAGAAGACAAAAGCGAGGACAAAAAGGATGTGAGCGATGACCAGGATCGCGCGTCATCGAAATCAGGCGCCAGCAAGAGCAGCCGGAGTATATTTGGAGGCAGCCGACGGAGCAGTCTATCATCAAAACGGGCAAAGGCAGCCCAGGAAAACGTTCCACCGATGCCTGTCCCGGCTCCCATACGTACCGATTTGACCGAACCAAAACCTCGCTCCCTAGAAGCCAGTCCCCTACCAAACACTCCACCCCACACGGCCATTCCCGCCCCAGCGACCACAGTGACCCCTCCAACGCCGACAGAGCACCGTCCACTCAATCCACAGATATTTGCCGAAGGAGTTACGGGCTCGCCAGAGTCTATCCAGTCCCGGAACTCAATCTCTTCGCCAGGGGTCACCACCGTGAGTCCCTCCGGAAATATGATTTCACATCGGCGGGTGCGGTCTGCTTCCGCAGCTCATGGCCCGAGCAAGTTGTCCAACGTCACGGCATTGAGTCCGCTGGATGAGAACAAAATCCTCCCCAAAAGTGCCTCCAATCAACAAAATGGATTCTTTTCATCTGTCTTCTCCGCCGCCCAAAATGCGGCCACCTCATTTAGCAACCTAACTCAGCAAAAGAATCGTCCGACCTCCCAACCTGCACCCACCGACTTCGATAACCCATCAATGGAAACCAGTACCGAAGATCTCGACAAAACTCCAGTAAAAGACAACCGTCCTGAAATCACAAAGCCAACGACTGTAGAAACGATGGGTACCGGAGATTTGAACTTTGGACATCTGGATATTGATGGGCCTTCTGGCGAAATTATCTCTACTGCTGACGGAGTGGCTGTGACGAAGCCATCCACACCAATCGACAAGCGCAAGAACACCGCTGTTTATCAGCGGGATGAAGCAGCTGCCAAACTGGAAGACAAACGCGCGGCTCGGGCTGTCACCATGGCTTACGAAAGACCAACCGAGTCATCCGCCCTGGGATCTCCTGGCGAGGAGCCATTGGAGCTTCAGTCCACTACTTCACTACCCAGAGAGGGCACCATCACCGGTGACCACACCCCGCCAACAGGCAGCATTATCGATGGTGACATTGGCAGTGGTATCAAACGAAGTGGCAGTGTTCGCAGCCGGCTTGCACGCCGTCACAGAGGCTCATCCGGTGCCACAACATCAACAATTGGCGCTATTGGCGCTATTGGCGGCGGCGCTTTGGCTCTTGGTGTCCCTGGTGTCAATTCTAGCGTGCCCCGGTTGACTGGATTCGCCGTGGCAAGCAAGAAACGCAACAGGGACTTCCATCAATTATTCCGGAGTGTCCCCGAGGATGATTATCTCATTGAAGATTACAGCTGCGCCCTCCAGCGTGAGATCATTCTTGCTGGCCGTATCTACATCTCTGAAGGTCACATCTGTTTCTCAAGCAATATTCTCGGATGGGTGACTACCCTAGTTATTAGCTTTGATGAGGTTGTGGCGATCGAGAAGGAAAACACTGCAATGGTGTTCCCCAACGCGATTGCTATTCAAACACTGCATGCTCGTCACACTTTCCGTAGTCTCCTCAGTCGTGAATCGACATATGACCTGATGGTCAACATCTGGAAGATCAATCATCCATCTTTGAAGAGCTCTGTTAATGGTACCCGCGTTACAAATGGCACTGGTGATAAGACAGAGAAGGTTGGAGATGAAGAAAGCGAATTGGAAAGCGAGGTCTCCGACGAAGACGAGATCTACGATGAAGATGAGGAAGGCGATCACGCCGATAGCTTCTTTGAGGCTGGGGCCAGCGCCAACGCGAGTGAGCGATCACTGCCAGCGCGAGGGTTGAGTCGTCAGCCCTCCGGCCTATCAACAAACGGAGTGACCAATGGAGCTCCACAGAATGCCAGCGGGGAAACTAAAAACGGTGACAAGCCCGGGGCTTCAAAGGAGCCTGACTTCCCCGGTCCAACCACGCATGCGCCCACCGAATACTCAGAGCCTAACGGGCAGTATGAGAAGGTTATCAAGGACGAGACGATCCCGGCACCACTTGGAAAGGTCTACTCTCTTGTTTTCGGTGCGGCTTCTGGTGAATTCATGACAAAGTTTCTTGTCGAGAATCAGAAATCAGGCGAATTGCAGTTTGAAGGAACGGCAAAGGGTTTGACCAATGAAAGTCGGATCAGGAAGTATTCTTACATCAAGCCTCTCTATGGATCAATTGGCCCAAAACAAACCAAGTGTATAAGCACTGAAAATATGGAGTATCTGGATCTGGAAAAGGCCGTTCTCGTTACACTGAGCACCCAGACTCCCGATGTCCCCAGTGGTAATGTTTTCGCTGTGAAGACCAAATATCTTTTTACCTGGGCCACTGGTAATCATACTCGCTTCCTCATGACATGCAACATTGAATGGTCCGGCAAGAGCTGGCTGAAAGGTGAGCAGCACCCCCCCCCCCCAATGATAAGTGAGGCTTTGAAAACTAACAATTTCACATAGGTCCTATTGAAAAAGGCGCCATTGACGGTCAAATGACTTTTGGAAATGAACTAGTCAAGGCCCTAAAGCTTGGCGTTATTCCCCGGGGACGCGGAAATGGAGGTGGGCGGACCAAGGGTCGACGCAAGAAGGGCGACCCAGCTGCCCCTGCAGTAGCATCGCTACAAGCTGCAGTGGATGCCGGCTCTGGTCAGAACGAGTCCTGGGGTCTCCTCGAACCGATCCGGCCAATTCTGGAACCTATTACCAGTATGCTCAAACCGCTTTGGAGTGGCAACATTGTCATTTTAATCGTCGGAGTCCTCTTGTACATGATATTTTTCCGGTCATCATCGCCTTCTTCCATCCACGCACACGATGCCGCTTACCCGGGCTTCAGCCTACCCAGCGACTGGCTGCGTACGAGGAGATGTGGCGTCGCGAAGAGAGCGAGCTCTGGAATTGGTTAGAGGATCGGACCGGAATGGATGGAATGGTATTCCCGACTCTTCATCACAGAATGGCCGAACCCGAAACAAGTCGCCGAGCGCCTCGTCTCAGTCCTTCAGACGAACGTGACCTGGCCGCGCGGTTACGCGAGGAAAAAGTGTCAGATCGTGAAATGGACCATGCCATCCGAACTACCCGCCAGCGCCTTGATGTCCTTGAAGGAATGATGAACAAGCGTAAGACTCAACCTGCGGATGAGTCTATCCGTATCGATTTATAGGGAGCACTCAGTTGCCTCCCTTGTCATACTATCCAATATCCGATTCACGTTTCGACAGCCCCGACGTCACCTTCCTCTACCTCATCACAAACTCACTTCACACCATCCACGAACAAGCACCCTTTGAAAAAAACTTGTCTTCACTCTTTACAACTATTTTTCCTTTCTCATTACATCTTTGTGGACAGTCATTGCTCGTTGCCCGCGTCCTCTCTCTCGACAGATACTTGGGTCCCTCTGATTCCTCTGCCAGGAATGCAGACAGACATGACCCTTCCATTCTTGTACATGACCACCAACTGCTTTGCTGATACTGGCCAACATTATACTGTGTTTTCCCTTTTTGTTAAGCGAGCCTCTGCCTCATTTTGCCTGATTCTACCTGTACATTGTCTGAAAATATTTTCTCTGGCGTTTCGCGGTTTCGCAACCCCCCTGAGCACTCCGGGCGTCTTATGAGCACCTTCTTTCGTCTTTTTTTTTTGTTTTTTTCTTGTCGATTGATTCGGTATTGATATGTTCAATGAGCGCTGATAGCTAGTGAGTGTACATAGAGATACAATATCCATGTATTGGATCTTGCTGATCTTGTTGATGAAGGTATTATTACTAGTAGTATCCCATCTGTAAGACTTTTACAGATGAGCCTGATCAATATTGAGTGTTATTATATCCTTATAATTCAATGATGGGTAATTACAGATGCCCTAGGTGAGTGATACAGTCTTTTGACAGGGACTACTCCCCATTTAGTGCCTGAATCCTCGCTCTAGCGATAGCCCTATTCTCCCCCATGGAAGTCTTCCACGGTCGAACACCCGAGTTGAAAACATCATCAATCTGCTCCAACGTCAAGGCCGCAGTCTCAGGAACGAGAACAAACACCAAGCAAGCAATCATCACGGTAACCGCAGCATAGAAGTAGCCGACATTCGCGCCCATATTTCCATGGTCTGGATCCAACATGTAAGGCGTCCAAAAAGTCGCGCCGAAGGAGAAAAGGCCGTACAAAACTGTTGTGTTTGCTTGGCCATATGTTCGCAGCGATACACTGTGCATCTCGACCGAGGCCAGACCCGCAGTTGGGGCAATAGTTCCGCCAAAAACAAACGACCAGAGAGAAATTAAAATGACGATAACCATCTTTGAAACGCCAACTCCACCGAATGCAGTACTGACTGCAGATAGGACAAGCATGCAAGCTGCCATGGCGCTGTATCCCCAAAGAATTGCGAATCGCCGCCCACCATATTCGACGACGAAGGGACCGAGGCACGCCCCGCCGAAGATGCAGAGGCCAATGATCACATTTATCAGATACGGATTGCTGATACCGACACCCTTGAGGAAAGTCGTCGCATAGGGTTGGACAAACTGGATGCCAGTAATGGACATTCCAACCATGATCAAAGCGGACGTCATGGTACGGCGAATCTGACTTTTCTGATAGATCTGGAACCACGAGGTCGATGCCGCGACCATGCGTTCGGCTTTGATGTGATTCTTGACCTCTTCTATCTGAGCTGTGATGGTGGGCGAGCTCGGAGGAATGCGGTAGAGGATACTAAATGCTCGCCGCGCATCTTCTTCATTTCTGCCATGGTTCAACAACCACCGCGGCGATTCAGGGAACATCAGAATCCCAGCACCAAGGAGAATGCCCAGTGGAATCTGACACAAAATAGGAGTTTTCCACTGCCAGTTATTGTGTGGCTCTAGTTGAGCAGATCCTGCGCACACAGCGGACGAGGCGACGTTTCCCAGTGCCAATCCGACATTGTATAGACCCAACGCGATCCCACGTTTGCTGGCGACGATGCATTCCGAACTGTAAGTGAGGCTTGATGCAGCGAGCTGACCAAGACCAACAGCACTAATGCATTTGCATACCATATAATGTGCAAAACTCCCCGCTTGCCCAGCACCAGTCCCTAGCATCCCTGCCGCTCCAATAATGGCCAGAAGACACCCGATCTGGATATTGCCGCGTCGGCCGGTATATCTTCCTGTCAGACCAGATAGACCTCCACCAATACCGGTGAATAAATAATTTAGACTGATTAAAGATTGCTGAATCGGAGCAATGGAGCAATGCTCAACGGTCTCGCGGGTCGTAGGATCGAGGAGATGCGTGCAAGTTCCAAATGCCTTTCTGTAGGACGGCATGATTAAAACTGTCCCAGTATATCCGTGGTCGAAATTAAATATCCACGCTGCAAAGGCCATCCATAATGACAAGCGCAGCATAGCCCGGGTAGAATCTAACTCATTTCCTCGTGTGTCGCTGCCATCGTCGGATGGTGGGGGCGTTATATCGACTTTCTCGGGCTCCTCGTCGTCATGATACTTGCCGAGTGTCATTATCACGGCAGTGACTAAAGCAGGTGGTAATAAGGCGAACAATATCTGGAGTGATTTGGTTGCCTTATATCCCGGTGTCAATTTTCCGAGTTTTGGGGTATATAAGGCTTGTCCTAGTTGCTCGGTCCTTCTTGCATACCAATGATGCGCCACACATATCTAGCTTGCTCATCAGGAATTCTAGCCTTACATTCAACCAATGGGAATAGAATTTCATTCTCAAATGACTGATAAGGTCATGAAATGTTCCTAATTGTGATACATGTCTAACCGTATCCAGTTCAAGTTCCTTGTATCACTGAACCATGGCGGAAAATTAAACAGGCCAAGCATCTCAGGGCTGCGTCAAGGCTTGCTGCCTATCTCTTTCTGGAATCTGAATGTTAATCCCCCGGGTCCCTTCCTCCACTACAGGAGTTTTATTATGCCATTGGATGGAGCTGGGGTTGCCTTTCCATGAAACGGCTCTCGAAACCTCGTGCCAAGGGACATGATCCCGGTGATTTGAGACGAACATGCTTTCTAAGCCGGTTTCGCGAGAAATGAGCATCAATCTTGATTCTCTTTTTTCTTACTTCCAAATGTGGCTCCTTGAGCCGTGAAGTTTACTCGCGAGATGTAACAATAGCAGATTGTCCAAACTTGTACCCTTGGTCGTGGATGTGGCAGATCTGAAAAAATCAAAGTTTCAATTCACCATAGCATGTGAAAAGGAAATAGACAACTCTCCTTTTCGGGGGGAAAGAAGATGGCAATGTCATTGGTTCTTCCCATTAACGTATTGAGAGATTGGAGATGGGAGCTTTCCTTGAAGCAAAGAATTTGAAATGAAACGAGATGAAAAGCCCTTATGAGAGGATATTGTCAATCACATTCATATTAGCCAGCAATTATACAGAAGAACAAATATTGGGACTATTCACATCGGCAAATTATTCTTTCGGTGCGTTATGCTTAAAAGAAGGGAATCCCGTTATTATTTCTTGTCCAATTGATACTGTACAACAGTTATCTCAACAGCTATGCCCAATCCTGGATACAGACAACTTCATACCTATATCGAAAGGGAATGAGCAGACTTGATATCTTCTCCGTTATCCGGATTGAGCTCAGCTACGTACACAAGCGCATCACTTCCTTTAACGACTAATCTCTCATAGGCGTCTTCATCCTCCGACAATTTCCACTCCGGCAGAACCTGGTACTCGGATGATCCAGGATATTTGAATCGATATTCGTAGTACCCGTCATTGTTCTTCCGACGCTCATATTTATCCCCTGTCAATCCAATGGGACGATACTTGATGCCTTTGTCGGTTCTTTCAACCCGGTATCCCACCACAGGATGAATGTGCTCGAAAGTCTCGCCCAGCTTCTGGCCCTGTTTATCCAGTGCGTAACGGCCTGGTGTACGCGGGCGAGACCCATTGGCAATATAGACAACTCCAAAATTATCTGGTAGATCCCCGAGTCCCCAAGTATAGATGCGATGACCCATATATGCGGGCTTCTCTCCTGGTATGAGAGGGTGCAAGACAGAAGATGCGATCCACTGGCTCCCTCGTTGAAGCCACTTGCTCCACGATTCTTTCTTGCGCTTTTCCATTCTTTCATTGTACCAGTTGAGGGCGTTGTTGATTTTGGTGAGTCTGACTTGCCGTAATAGCTCATCCTTCCGTAGGGTTTCCTCATTGAATGAGACAAATCCTTTGATTTGGTCAAGCATCCAGGCAAAAGCGATATTCGACATCTCCTCCATGTTTCCCTTGTTTTCCATAGTCAAGGTCGAGCCACCTCCAACGTTGATGTGGACACCTGGAAACCATACTTGCAGCAGTTTGGAGCGATCTTTCTGGCTGTCCGCCATGTCCAATAGTTTTCGCTCGGCCTCATTCTTGGTCTTTCTGACATCTTTCACATCCTCGAGAGAAGGGCGATCGGTCAAAACAATATCTTTCCAGGCGTTATTTGCATTCTGGCACAGCTCTTGTTGCTTTTGAACTTCCTCGTCCGAGGCTCTTGTGACAGAAGACACGTAGAATAACGTCGGAGTAAAGGCGGCACGATGCTCATCGAGGGCCAACGCCTGAAAGGCATTCTTGATATCTATTATTCTAATTAGTCATGTTCGAAAAGAATATCTCTTTATGGGTAACCTACTTGGAGAGAGTCCAACATTGTGCCATTCCGGTTTGTCAGTTCGCGTAAGCCATTGAGGCATCTCGTATCCAAAGACCTCTGGGAAGCCAAGCGCACCAACTGTCTCGAAAACCCCTACTACTTCGACCTGTCTTGATCCCGGACGAGCCCATTCACCACGACCCAGTGACTCCCACACAATGCGGTCATTCTGGCGCTCTTCTGGTTGAGGGTCAGCGGGCTTTCCATCATGCCAGTCGAAATAGGCATCGCTGCCATAGAATCTCTCGCCAGTCACAGCTGTGTGGCTCTTCTTATAGAGTTTCCACACTTCGGGAAAGTCCTGGATATCAATTTTGGAGCAAATTCCTAGGTCTGAAATCAAGCCTGCGATGGCACGCGCTGTGTATGCTCCTCGGGAGAAGCCGAAGCACAGAATCTGGTCGCCAGGGTTCCAGTTCAGTGCGCAGAAGTGGTAAGCCTCGATGACATTTCCTTCCAGATCTCTGCCGACTGAGACTTGACCATCTGAGTTTGTGCCGACTCCAGAGTCATACCAGACAACTTGTTGCCAAGTTCCGTTGTCGTCGTTGTCGACTGAGACACTGTGGATTGCCCGACATAATCGGGTCACGTTGGATGGGACGCTCTCTTCGCCAGAAACCGCAGATTGGCCACTTCCATCGCAGCAGATTATAATCCGCTTGCGAGATGGAGGAGGGATATAGGTATGGTTAATTTCCCCCATTTCCAGCAGGTGGTGGGTGCGTTCAAGTTGGTGATAATGCTAGATGGTGGAGGTGAAAGGGAAGAAAAGAAAAGAACTCTACTACATAACAGTAAAGGAAACGACTTCTCTTTTTATTTTTATTTGATTTCTCGTATCCTTCAAAGCGAATCAAGAAATTTGCCAGGCTGAGCTGAATCTCATCACGCGGCGCTGGCTATTGGATGGGTTCTTGTCATTCTCGCTAGGAATGACCCATTTCGACCTCGGCCTGTCCGATAGCTACTAATGCAGGCGATCGGGAAAGATAGCCGATTTGACTCTGCATGGAGACACAGCCACCGAACTACTCGGCTTTTTTACACTATATGCTAAGAACAGGCAAAAGGCAGACAAACTAGCAAGCGGCGATTTTGGTGTCCTTTTACCTGAGGGGTAATGTTTAAATGCCTGAGGCAGAGTTAAGGCACCAACTAGTTATTCACAATGTAGACGAACCAATCCCAGTCATAGGTACATTTTGGACCTTTGAAGGAGACTTTACCAAAATCATAGATGCTTGTTATTTAGCCGGTGTATTTACAAGTTTGAAGTGGCTGTATGAGTACTAGTACTGTCGGTTCCAAAGTGACTCGGACCGTGGGACGTCAAGGGATATCTTCCCAAAAGAGAACTATAGCAACTGATTATTACCCAAACAGGACCGCGACTGATTTACCTCAACTCAAAATCACAATGCTCTGAGAAAACTTCAATTTTTCCATTCGCTCGGCTTCAATTTGAAAAATTATCTTCACTCCCCTTTCGAAATCTTTTTCACTCGCGATAGAATCAGATTCCCCAGACGACACACTTAACTATTAACCATGGAAGGAGAACTTTTTCTTGACACCATATACGAAGAAAATTCCACAAAGCGACGGATCCAGGAGCTGGAGCATATAAAGAAGTTACTTGTTACTCACAAATCTCCAAGAGGAGATCTTGTGTTCCCCCTTGCGACAGAGATCAAGAAGATGGGCATTACGGCAACTCAGGTCGAGCTTTCGCCTGATGAGACTCTACGGTTTGATCCGTGCTTTTTTCTCCCTTTATCTTGTAACGGACTGCTGCAAACATACGCCGCTAAGGATAAAGAAAAGTTACCCCATCTTCAACTCTTGACGTCAGGTACTAGCATAGAGTCTTACTTGAGGTCCGCTCAAATGTATCCCGATAGAATACACACGGGCAATATCCTTGAAGAGCTCTACCACTGGTATCATGTCGATGTCGAAAGCCATAAGGAGGAAATTGAAAGGGTCGACTCGGACTTCTTGGAATGCGCAATGTCATCAGCTCTAAGACATGCCCGTAGCCAGCTTTGGACCTATCATGGCTATGAGGCGCTCACATATGACAAAAATCAAGATAAGCATATCAAGAAACGTGGATTAGAATTCGACGAATTGTTCGTTGACGGTCGTGATACGAATCCCAAGAGACGTGAATTAGCATTCGACAAAGGGCTCGGTGGAGGTCGCGGTACAAATACCAAGAGACGTGTAGTAGCATTCGACGAAAATACTAAGCATTGGGAGGAAGAGGAGGATGAAGTAGGATTTGAATACAAGTGGATGTCTAGATGTCTAAGCACCAAACAAATGGTCCGTACCAGCAACCTAACCAAAGAATTGAATCGCAAGAGCTTCAATTTACAACAGCTAACACATTGGCGGTGAGTATATTTGGTGCTATTTTGGTTTCATAATGTTGGCCAATTTCACTTGTTGATGCTAACTTCTTCAAGCTGTGAGAAACGGGAGCATCTAAAAGCTAAAGATTGCCCAGATTCTTTGGATGAAGACTACGGTATTGAGTGGCGGGTGTACGACTTCTTTCGATACTTCGACCCCAAGTGTCCCAAGCCACATATTATGGCTACAATGGGCTCATCTGTCCACGATTCTGAGAAAGATCGCGGGATAAGCAGTGCTGAGATTTCCACTGCTATCGGTATCATGATCGATAGAGTGATGCGTACAGGATTTATCAATTATTGGGTTCATCCGGTGAGCATAGTACAACATTGAAGAATTCTTTTTGGCATCGTCAGAAATTATCATAACTACTAGTACTAACACCTCTTTCTATTAGATACTCTTTTTTTCTTTTCTGGGTGCCCACCATGTGAGGATTATCCAGGCCACCTTCGATGGGGAAACTTTTACCCTCCAATATTCCCGACTTTGGGACTACTTTGCGACAGGGAATGATTCACCTGTGAAACTTCTTCTTCGCTATTATTTGAATCAACCAGTCGGAATGACCCGTAAGTCCGAATCGGCATGTTGATTCCCTATCCTACTCAGATTTTACCTTGTCTCAATAAAAGCGGGTATTCAATCAAGAGGGGAGAAGCATCCAAACAAACAAAATCGGAGTTACTAAGTCAATTTACATGACCATTGTGGCTACAAGACTAAATCGCAAGTCAAAAATTTGTACACAAAATCATTGTACTAAGACAGAGTCGAGAATACTAAACTTGCTATACGAAACCTATCTCATAACAACACATATTAGCACTAAGGCCTACCAGTGAAATCAACAATGTCAACTGATACTAGCTTTAAAAATGGCTAAGACTTCGTTTCATCCTCACTAGAATACATGCAGAGTGAGTTGTGGTGAACTACGTAGTACACTTGGGCTGCACGATTGTTTTATAGTCCGCACGTGACACCGTCGATTGTTGGTTCACTCCGACCGGCGGCGACCTCCACGGAATCCACCAGCAACCCACAATGGAGCTATCGACTCTGCTGATCCTCGCAGCCCTCTTCCTCGGTAGGTAGCACTGCGCGTACTATCGCACAATCACACATCTTACGGTGTCGCATTAATCCTCGAAAGAGCATCGCGACCTGTGTCCGCCACTACATGCGCAACATCCCCTCACTCCAAGACCCTCAACTGACGATTCCCCGCCAGTTTTCCGCTTCGTACAATCTCGACGAGCCGCAGCAACACCAATGGAGTCTCACGGAAAGGTCGCCAACATCGACAAGTAAGGAATACCATACCCTCGCGCAATCGACAATATAACCGGGAAGAATGGGCTCTAACAAGACCACGAATGAAACAGCGATGTCATCTTCAAGGCTCTAGTCCACTCGGGCGCTGCCGTTGTCGACTTCTACGCCACCTGGTGTGGTCCCTGCCGCGCCGTTGCTCCCAAGGTCGGTGAGCTGAGTGAGAAGTACCAGAACGTTCGCTTCGTGCAGGTCGATGTCGATAAGCTGCGTGGTGTGGCTTCCGAGTTCAATGTCACTGCTATGCCCACTTTCGTTCTCATGAAGGATGGCAAGGAGGTGCAGCGCATTCGTGGTGCGGATATCCGGGCTCTGGAGGCTGGTATTCAGGCTATTTCTGCTTGAATTTCTTTCCGTCATGGAAGCTACAAAAGGAGAGGCGAATAAAAGGATCATGCATATCCGATCCAATGTCAATAGTGATAATCAAATTGGACGATCTACATTTCAATGAATACCCCTGTTCAGGTGGAATCTTGCTGACGATAGTTGTCTGTCGCCGCAAATGATGACCATGGCCGAATTTATGTGTAGATTTTGACCTACGATGGATAACGACGAGATGTTTCGGGACTGCTCGTAGTCCCCATGGGATGTCAGGTGGCTAGGTACTATATCGGTGTCTATTAGACATCGGGGATGAGAGGATAAGAGGGTCTCGTTACGAAGATGCAACTCTACATTTGGAAGCAGGTATAAGGAAATTATGTATTATGCGGAGATATGATTACGACTGTGTTTTGTCACAGAAGCAGCTAAACCTCACAAGAAAGGCAAAAGAAAGAAATGCTGAAGGTATATCACAGGACACCTGAAACCTCTAAACCGAAACCCAATAAACCTAGAAGCGATGCGCTTAGAGGATGGAACCGAGAGCAACACAAGGAAGACCGGCGCCAACCAGGTCGTTGGACTAAGCATGGTGTTAGTATATGAGGTCGAGAAGATCGTATGGAGGTAACTCACGGCAGTGGAGGGAGAGTTGGCACAGCAGGCAATGTTCTGCTTGCAGCGCTGGTCGAGGATATCCTGAGCGGAGATAGCGATGAGGATGGGAACTGTGGCATTATTAGTATGCGGGTCAATAGTATTGTGAACATGTGGGACATACTCTGAGCGTCCAGCTTGGAGCACTGGTCGAAGATACCGACACCATCGGCACCGGAGCCAGTACCGATCAGGTTGGACAGAAGACCGCCACCGAGGCCAGAGTTAACATCAGTGGTGTCACCGGCGTAGGTAGCCTTGTTACAGCAAGAGAGCTGAGCCTGGTCACCACACTTGGACTGGGCCTGCTTGACAGTCATGCCGCTGGGGACGGGGAAGCGGACGTGGCCACCCTCCTGGTGCTGGATGCCAGACTCAGTGGGCATGGCAGTGGCCAGAGAGGCGAAAGCGACGGCAATAGCGGCGATGGAGAACTGCATTTTGAAGGTGGTAAAGATTAAAGATTAAGGTCTTTAATAAAAGAGATAGGGTTTTTTGGTTTTTGGGAAAGAGGTAGAGATGTAATGAGCAGAGAATAGAAGATGCTTGGATAAAGAACACTGAGGACCATTGTTCAGGCGCCTTTTATCTAAGAGATTTGTCTGTTTAGGGCTCATGTTGAGTCCATGCTCCTCCAAAAACAACCCTCGAATATTTCGACCTGGAATGCCTCACGCAAGGGCGAATCCTTTCGTGTGGCCTTGATCATCTCGGGCAGAGTGTTCCTCGATTGGTAGGTTCTCTACTTCCGGAATTTTCTGGTCAATCAGAGCGCCCCTTTGCCAGGAAGAACCTCCTACGCCCTACATTCCTTCACCCAGTGGTATCCATGAGAGTTACCTTACAGGCCTCTTTGCATCTTGAATGTCGTCGCCCATCAACAGTCACATCTCTCAAAGAAAATCAATAGCTCACCGATTAATAGGAATCTTTAATTTTATCGTTGTAGTTCAATGCATCTTCGCCGTGGCAATTCTAGAATCTATCATCCTTTCCTAGTATGTGATAGCCTCTCCAACCAAGAATGCGGCAAAATCAAGTTTAGTACGCCGCCATATGAAGATATCACACTCTATAGAGCTTTCTTTTCGATCTGAAAGAGAAATGGAGTTAAATGGCGTTCGTGGCGTTCGGGAATTTTTCTGCGGCTTACGGCAAGCCGCAGATGCATGTCTTTCATGCATCAAGTACATATTTTACGCAAGATGAGCCTATTCTCAATATTCAAAACCTCATCAATATGAATAGACACTCACTATCAACTCGAAACTTGTTCTTTGTAGCGGAGACAGCCACCTGCTCAACAGTGGGTCGAGCAGGATTCGGATCGGGTGCCCGATCGAATGTAGGGCTTCGACGGTAACAGGGCCCTGTCGATCTCCCTGCCGGTTGACTCGTGAAAAGCCGAATGCTCAGGGTTACGATGGGCGACCGTGAGGATCGACAGGGCCGTTCCTGAGTGGTGTATCCACTGTGCATAGGAGAGGAATGTATTGTCGGGCTTTAGTGAGTCGAGGTCTGCGCAGGCCCATACCTTGAACGCACCTTGCTGAGACCTTGATGGGGATTTGATATTTGGATATCTGATTTCAAGGCACACGCATACAGTCGAGTCTTCTTGGTATTCGAGTCATTGAGGAATAGCGATGTTTGCAATCACAATGAGAGATGGGACCCGCTGGGAGAACGGAGTTGACAATACTAAGGGGTGTGAGCCCCTTGATAGGATCGTGATGGCTGGGAGTCCTCCGCAGCCCTTCAAGTCTGAGTATTATATTCAACTAGATTTGCAAGTCTGCCTAGGAGCTCAAAATTTCAATCAAATCGTTGTTATTAGATATTAGTAGGAAATATCTAGCATATGCCGACAAGATAACGTCCGAGTCTCAGGTACTAGATTAATTAAGGCTGAAAAGTCAACAACTCAAACGACTGTTCATTCAACGCGAATACCGATATATACTATTGTAAGAACAGATTTTTTTCCAATAATAGACATGATCATATCGATCCCGGTGTACTACCTTTTTAGTCGATGCTATTTTCATTTTTCTCGCCGACATCAGAAGAACTAACGTGTCAAGTCTACATGCTAGTAGACGTGAATGTGGACATGTGAGACCAGTAGCCGAGACTATCTAGGCAGTAGCAAAGTTGAATACAAAGGGAGCAAAACTTCAGACCACCAAAATAGAAATTTTTGAACAAGTTAAGATTAGTATCAGGATCATCTATCAGCCCGCGCCAAGGCTACGCAGCCTCATGCATCCCGCGCAGAATCATCCTAAAAGGGTAATACACTAGCCGTTTTGGGACTCGACTTCTCACAGTAAATACTAGTAGTATCAGGTGTATGAGATTGTTATTTTCAATTCCACGAAATTCTATTCCTGGCTTAGAATTGGATCATATACTACATAGTACTAGTAGTACTATATATCAGCGCTTGAAGTCACGCTTGTCGGTGCAAGAATATTGTTTTCTTATGCAATGTATGGTGTATATGGTCATTGTCTTGGAGCTATCCATGGATATATCCAGCCCTACAACTACGAGTAGCATTCTACGAACTTGAACTTGAAATAACCAGTACAGTGGAGCCGAAAACCACGCCGCCCTGTGTCTCAAAGACGGGGATGAGCTTTACGGATCAAAGCTAATTTGACGTCAAGTACTAGTAAGCTTTAATTACTTCGCCCCTAAATCAGACCTGGACAACTCAGCCTGAAGCTCAAGTTGGTCCGCTGCGGGATGTTGTTCCACCGACACTAAACCTAATCCAGAAATGATCTACCCGTAGTTGTCCCGAACGGGTGCAATATGCGCTGCAGTCAGTAACCAGATGTGTAAACGAACAAACAATCCGTAAAATCATGGGCAGTAATGCATTTTCGATGAGGCTGTGTCCCAGAGAAGTAGATAATATAAGAGTGGTGTAATCCCGGCTTGGATTTTTTTTTGTCATCTACATCGTCATCTACCAGTTCATCCACATCTAATACTCGGGACTATCTATATCTCCCAGCTCGATCTATAACCCATACTTCAAGTTCACCACCACACAGCTTGAACCACGACCCATAATGTCCGAATCAACAATCGCATTCTTCGGCGCAACCGGCGGCTGCGCAAACGCCTGTTTAGCCCTGACCCTCCGCAACGGCCAAAAAGCCGTAGCACTAGCCCGCACGCCCTCAAAACTGACAACCCAACTCCTCGAACAACCCGGCCTAACGCAAGAAATCCTGACCAAAACCCTCCGCATCCAACAAGGCGACGCAACAAACGTCGAAGACGTCATGAAGACCCTCATAACCTCCACCTCCACACACGGCGATTCATGCCAGCTCGTTTCAACCATCGTATCCGGAATCGGCGGCGCACCAGTAATGACCTGGACCAAGGCGAATCCATGCGAAAAAATGACCATGCGAATCCCAACACTACCCCACATCTCACTAAACAACCCGCACATAACGGAAGAAAGTACGCGCACACTCCTCGAAGCCCTGCGCCGCATTGCGACGGAGTATTTCCCTTCCTTCTCGGCGTATGCCTCTGCCGCGCCGCGGCTGGCGATCATCTCCGGGACCGGGATTGGGTCGAAAAATGGGATGAAGGATGTTCCGGTACTTTTTCGGCCGATGTATTCGACGCTTTTGCCGGAGCCGCATGCTGATAAGTCGCGGATGGAGGCGTTGTTGAATGAGGAGCGGGGGAGGAAGGAGTCGTTGCTTGTTGGTGGGTTGGTTATTGTTCGGCCGAGTTTTTTGAAGGGGGATCATCGGATTGTGGCGGTTGGGGGGGGATTCTGGGTATGATAAGTTGCGCGTGGGGACGGATGAGAATCCGGCTGCTGGTGTTGGGTATTTGGTTGATAGGGCTTTGATTGGGGAGTGGATTTTTGAGGAGGTTGTTAAGAGTGGTGGGGATAGGTGGGTTGGAGAAGGTGTTATTTTGACTTGCTAGGGTTCAAGTTGAAGCTTAGGTTTGCTTTGGTTTCAAAGTTGTTTTTTCAGCCTTTGCATTTGTATATTTGATTTTGGCGAGGTAGACAATTTATAGCCAGGGGGATACCTTGCGGAGTTGGATTTGTGTTTCAATGAATGATTTGGTTAGATTGTTTATCTCTTTTATTATCAAAATCAAAGTCCAAACATGTCTAAATAACATTCCAAAGACTTCACATAGTGAAACTGATCAAAGCAAAAAAAATCTCAATCAAGTGACGCACGGTCTAGATTAAAGGTGGGGGAATCATAGTACAAGACGAGCTATTAAAAAGCAATATGTAGTGGTAACAAAAGCTAGATACCGAGCAGTGATAAGCTCTCGGTAACGCCGGGGAAATTTATGTAACTTTCTGACTAAGAGATGACGAGTGGAGGTCGGGGAGGAGGACTGTACGGTCGACAAAGACATGAAGCTCGAGTATACAACGTCAGAGAGATCTTCATGACAGAATTCGTGAAGGTCATGGGACGGTCGTGAAGAGGTGAACGATGCGAGAAGATTCTTCAGGTGCCCTCGTATGCCGCCGGCCTGTTCATCTGTAAACTCTTGCGTTCCTCCTTGGCCTTGCGTCGCTCCATCTTTTGCATGGCCTCTTCTGTCAATTGCTGCCGGAAAAGCCTTTCCACAATCTCCTTCTTTCGCGTTCTTCGGTCACCAATCATGATCAGCACACCACCTGAGATGTTGCAGGTGATAGAGCAGCAAAGAATGACGGTAGTCAAAGCAAATGGTCGCTCGCCCGGGTCTTCCATACTCCAGGTGCAGGCACCAAGGGCCATCTGGAGCAGGGAGTGGCAATCAAGCAAGACAACGATAGCGACAAGAATCCGGAGAGGGAAGGCATGGTGGGTGAAAGTTTCATGGGGTTTGTAGAATGTGTGTGATTTGGCAAATTTGTTCTGGTGGTGCATCAATCGGAGTTGTTGCCGGGCGTCGAGAACTGAATATTCGTGCTCGTCTTCTGGGGCAGTATCTCCAAAGTCCACATCCACGTCTTTCTCACGCTGTGACGGAAGGTCGTTTTTGTCCTTCAGGTTGGGGAGTTGCCGCTTGCCGCGGATTTTCCAGGTGAGATGTGTATAGTGTGCGATGAAAATCATGTGGTAAGTGTCGACAGCTCGGAAAGGGGCAAGACCATCCCCCATGATAGCGAACAAGCCGACAAGGATGTTGTCAATGATGTTAACAACTTGCAGCTGCTTGCCACCGACATTAATCCAGCCTGGAATTACTGTCAGTCGTGTTCCCATGAATTTAAACAAGGGATAAGAAGAATTTAAAAGACATACCAATCAAGAAAAGTACCCAGGCCAAACCGAACAAGGTGATCAAGGTGGCGTACAGAGTGATAAAAAACCCAAGGGCTAAAAGGCGACGTAGGTTAGTTTGATGTCTTAGCATGGAGGGAAATGGAAGACTTACGTTTCCGGACATATTGCCCGAATCCCTTCATCGCTCTCTTGAACTTTGAACGGCGAGAGTGAAGCATGTGCCGAACATGATCGTTGAGCTCCATGAAATCCTCTTTCGTCCAGTTTTCCAATGCGTGCCCTTCAGGCAAAACAGCATATCGAGGGCCCACCAACACGGAAGACATGCTAGTGAATGGACGGAGTTGGGCAAGGTCCGGTCGTTCTTTGAGCTTATCACCATCCGACTCCCCTTCGTCTGTAGAGCTAGTTTGTTCTTCATCCGCGAGCGGGCGCGTGATGGTATAAGTGGGCATTCGATTGATGAAGCCACCCAGATTCGGCACGAAGAGGGAATTCTGGACATTGGTCAGGGTGGATAGGGCCGAAACCTCCGGGTCTATAATAACGATTGTCAGTAAGGTCAAAAGCGTCAGCTAGATAAGCTCGGATAACTTACCGATCACGTCCAGCACGTCAACCACATGAGATCCATATTCGTTTGTCCGGGCATCCTGGTTATTGGTGGTATTATTGAGAGTTGGCGGAACGCCCGTCACAGTTGATGCGCGATTGCGAGAGAAGCGATTGAGAGCCGCTTGACTGGTTCGCCGGAGTCTTCCCGGTTGTGTTACGGGCGGGCGCTCGGAAGATTCAAGACCATTGTCCGAAACAGTATCTTGAGCCTCGCTTGAACCGGGAAGCGGAGTCGCAGAGTTGTGACGGGATTCCTCTGCCAACGGCATCATACGCATGGGAGTCGCCACTCGCGATAAAACATCGGGGGGAGGGGACGACCATCGTCCGGGTCGCGGCTCCGAGCTGCTGCGTCGTCGGCCAGTGTGTGGGGATTCATCCTCTTCGACAACAGGAGACCGAATTTCGATAGGTCTGCTTCCAGAAGGTCCGGGCTGAATATCCGATTGTGGTTGTGGGAGAAGGTCGGTATCCAAGGAGGCGAGCGAGGGCAGACGGGACAGGCGAATACTTGGCCGGCGAGACTGAGTAGATGGAGCTCGAGGCCGTACAGTCGCCGGCGGTGGTCTCTCAGGGGCTGTATCTACAGCATGAGCCTCTGGAGCATTCCCAGAGAAATAGTCCTGGATAGGCTCGATGCGATCATCGCGATCGCGATCGCGATTATCGTCATCCATGAGGGGGGTTGGGGATGGTCGGGGATGGTTGAATGGCAGATTTCGGAACAACAATGCAGGGAGAGATTAAAACTCCAAAGGAAGACCCAAAAGGTCTTGAAACGGATAAAGCAGCCCAGCAGCCCCTAAGCCATTGGAGAATCAAGGTTGACAGTTCCTGGAAGGAGAATTGAACCGGTACCTTCTCGGATGACTCAGCTTGCGTTTTCTTGTTTTCCCGCCTTAATGTGACGATTTCGGTGGAGAAAACCGGAGTCTGTGCGGAACTAGTCTGTCGATCTTGTTGGATTTTCTTTTTTTCTTTCCTACATGGTTCCGCATGCATTACAACGTGCGATCAAGTCTTGCGTGGCTGGGGGGCAGCACTGGGAGACATTGTACATACACAACACGGTGGAGACGTCATGAATGGAGTACTCTAGGGAATCTTGGAATTTAGCGCTGAGTCCACCCTGGGGCAGGCCACAGTGGAGTACGGAGTACCTACTAAGCATCGGGGCCCACGGGGCAGTAAATAGAGGATACCTACTAGGTAGAGTAGGTATATAGTAATGGGCTACAACCTTACCCTTGCTCCCAGATACCTGGTACCAATACTACTAATAATGGTGGAAACAAAACCATAATCAGATTAACAAAACAGCCAAGATCTATAAGCATTTCAATTTCGGATCTACCAGACTGACAGAGCCAAGTATCAGCCAAGACAACCTAATTTCAGCTGGTATACCATTACCACCCAGTATACAACCCTGGACATCTATTTCTACCTATAAGCTATTTGTCAGAATGGCTTCAATTAGGTTGTTTTTATCTGCCAGTGAAGACCTGAACCTGCCTAGGTAGGCACCAGTTCCAAGGTTGCTGCAAAACAATTCGTTTGCTTCCGTTGGCAAAGGATACTCGCAGTCACCGTCAAAGTAGTCCCTGCTACTCTCTGAATATCTGGCACTGGCAGTGGCACTTCAGGCTACCCGTTTCTACCTTCAACTTCACTTCTTTCATCTTTCTTACAATCTAGACCAGAGTTCCAAGGTTTTCAGTCAAGTTGAAGCATATCCTAGATGGACTCCTACACCTTCCAAAACAAGAGTCAGCATCTCCCTCCTCTCCTTTTACAACCCCCCCCCCCCCCCCAACTAACCTCGATGTCGAACACAGTGAGTAGAGAGTCAACCCCGTCAGACTTCGCCATACTAGAGGGAAGTCGAAAGCGATCACTCTCCTGTTCAAGCGACGATGGCTACAACGCTGAGAATGACAACAACTCCTGCGACAAGCAAGCACAAAAGCTGAAGTCCCATGGATACGACAATGAGTACAACGAAGAGCTCAACAAAGCGAACTTCGACGACCTCGCCCCAAAGCGTAAATCACCAGAAGAACTACTCTGGTGTCCATTCACCGACAATTTCTTCGACGACATGGCCACAATGATCGCACGGGACTTCCCAGTCACCCAATTCGCCAAGCGACACAACTGCGAAGGGAGAGACGTCCTGCACGCCCTCCACGCCGTAGTCATGGACCCTCTCCGCAGAACCCAGACTTGGCACGAAGGCCTCTCTGTCTCCGAATACGCCCAAATGCTCATCGCAAACTGGCGTGCGCCTTACATCCCCTCGCCATCTGGACTTTTGGGGGCAGGCGGCTCGCAGAGCTCACCTATTTTCATCGCCGATGATTCTCCTGGCCCGTTGAGTCCGCGTGAGAATTCAGAAATATCGGGCGTTGGTCCTTACAAGATTGGTCTCGATGGCTTCGAGGAGAGCCCTAAGAAGCAGCTTGGCGCTATTCTTCGTGCTTATGCAAATGGGAGCCCCGGTTGCAAGAAGAGAAGATATGGCTCGCGAACTCCTTCGGTGGATGGCTCTTCTCGCTCAGCACCCGCTGCTTTGGGAATTTTCCCGCCATCGAACAGTCCAAATCAGAATCATGATCGGATTCAACTTCAAGATCAGGATCCTGCTCCTGGTGATTCGAGTGGTGAAAGTACTATCCTGGATACCAGTCCAACAAAAACCCAGAGGGCAACGTCTGAGCAGGAGAAGGGCCCAGTCGCTCGGACTGAGTGTCGCAAGAGTGCTGATGGGACCTGGATCCCTACTCACAAATGGATTCCGGGATATCATCGCCCAGCAGTGCGAGGGGATGATGATCACTTCGAATAGTCCGGGGTGATCGAATATGAGTCGGCGGAGCCATGAGAGAGCGGAGAGTATGGATGGGTTGTCTGCTGTCTGCTATGTGACGGAGAATCTGAATGCAAATTTTCATAAGATCAAGATTCGGAGTAGATAATGAATAGCCAATAATTGACTTTTACTAGTACTACTGTGCGGCGCGAGTTAGTTACTTGTACCATGTAGACCAACCAGTTGTCCAACGGGGCGGATTTCACATATAAGGAGAGACCCGTACTAGTTATACTCCGACTTTAGATGTCGGCAGGATAAGCTTTCTTCAAGTTGTTTAGCTGAAAGATTGCCTTGGGATTCTGGCCGGATAATACTACAACAGGCATCGACCCGGGACACCTCTCGTTCACCATAGGTGAATAGTCACTATGATAGGGTTGACACGTCGTGCGAATGATTTGGTGTCACCTACTAGGTGAGTCCTATGTCAGGCGTTTAAATTTATTTTTTTGAAGTTTATCCGAAGCGTGGCTGGGATAGGGTACATGTCTAATGCATGTCGGATCGGACTAGATGCATGCATGTATGTAGTGTTGAGCCATTGCGATTATAATCTCTGTACTGCACGGCACTGCACGACATTACCATAGCGGTGACATGACATGGCCATTTCGTCCGTGCAGGGCGAACCATGGGCGAAACTTTTCAGCCTGAACGACGTGGAGAAGGGAGAGACAGAGTGGATCCAGCTGAGGTGGAAGATCAACACAGCCGGAGAGAAGACTGTGGCCAGAACCGGGTGTGTCTGAGGGATGCAGGGGTGGGATGGTGGGGGGCAAAATCATAGATTGGTTAGATTGGCAAGTCTCATTGGCAAGGGTGGAATCGGGGTGGAAGTGAAATTAAATTGAAATGAAGTAAAATAAAAAAACCCGAGTGTGCGGAGTAGACTCAGGTGGAATGGAGTCGGTGTAGAGGAAGAGATCGAAGACGATGGCACCTCACCGAATTGGGCTGGAGTCTCCAGAATGACATCAAGTGTTGCTGTGGCAAGTTTGTTGGTGATAGCTACCCTTAAGTTAGGCCAGCTCGGGCTAAAAGTACCCCCGAGTTTGGGGGTGTGTTTAGGGGTGAGTTTAGGGGTGACAGCTAAGCCAAGCCTGGCCAACAACAACCCATCGGGTTAGTGCCACACCGCCCTCTCTTCTAGGGTGAATGACACTCCCTCACCACCTTCTCTCCTTCCTTAATCAACCTACTCTTCTGAATCATCATCTCTTCTTTCTCTTCTCCTCCCCCCCTTCCCCCCCCCCCATTCCGGTATCTAGGGCACCAAGCTACCCTGCTCCTTCCAAATCCTCTCCTCGTCAAGTTTATTCGCCTCCCCACCCCACCCCTCAGGCCCAATCCCAAACAAACACCTTCTGTTTGTTTGACACATCGAGCTTTTTCCATCCATCTTTGTGTCCCGCCTTCAAGATGTCTGCTGTCGACAATCTCGCTGACAATGTGGCCGCTGTCACCATTAACGACACCCCCAACACCAACGGCGCCGCTGCTGCCACGCAGTCTACCGACGCCGCGGCCGCCAGCGCCGATGAGGGCCGTCGTCTATACATCGGGAACCTCGCTTATGCGACCACCGAGGAGGAGCTCAAGGACTTCTTCAAGGGTTACACCATGTGAGTTCTGATGGCTTATCTTCAGTGGAGCTCTCGTGGCCAAGCTGAAGATGGCTCCCTACTCCCCTTCCACCTGACAGCTACAGTTGCTGACTCATAGCCTCCAGCGAGAGCACCTCGATCCCAGTGAACCCCCGCACCAACCGCCCCGTTGGATACGCATTCGTTGACCTCGCCACTGCTACCGAGGCGACCACTGCCATCGAGGGACTCTCCGGCAAGGAGATCCTCTCTCGCAAGGTCTCTGTGCAGCTCGCTCGCAAGCCCGAGCCCGCGGAGGCTAAGGAAGGTGCTGCCAGTGGCGGCGAGGGTGCCAGCGGTAACGAGGGTCGCAAGCGCTCTGGTGGCCGTGGCCGCGGCCGTGGTCGCGCTCGTGGCCGTGGTGGCCGTGTTGGTCGTGGACGTGGTGTATGTTTTGACCCCTTTCCCTCTCATGTTCCATCCCTGCAATCATCGGCAACGACGATACTAACGAACCTTTCTTTCGATTTCACAGGCTCAGGAAGGACAAGAGGCTACTGACGCCAACGTTGCTGGCCAGGCCCCTGCGACCGAGACTACCAACGAGAACGAGGCTCCTTCCGCCGAGGGTGCTAAGCAGGCCAAGACCCCCCCGTGCTGCTCGTCCCCAGAAGCAGCGTGGCCCCCCCCGAGGACGGCATTCCCTCCAAGACCAAGGTCATGGTCGCCAACCTCCCCTATGATCTGACCGAAGACAAGCTCAAGGAGATCTTCGTTGAATACTCCCCCGTGTCTGCCAAGGTCGCCCTTCGTCCCATCCCCCGCTTCATGATTAAGAAGCTCCAGCAGCGCAATGAGCGCCGTAAGACCCGCGGCTTCGGTTTCGTCAACCTGTCCACCGAGGAGCTCCAGGCCAAGGCTGTCAGCGAGATGAACGGCAAGGAGATCGACGGCCGTACCATTGCTGTCAAGGTTGCCATCGACAGCCCCGGCAAGGAGGACGATGTCGATGCTGCTGCCGACCAGTTCGAGGAGACCAACCCTTCCACTCAGGAGAACGTCACCCCGGCTGCCCCAGCTGCCCCAGCTGACTCTACCCCTGCCCCTGCCCCCGCTGAGACCACTGCCTAAATGCAGGCCCAAGGTCCCAAATACCCACAGATACTGGCTTGCTAATTGGCTTGTTTTTGAGATGGAGCGTTAGATCCTGAGATATGGATATGACCACAGTGATTTTCAAGTCATCTGCGAGTATTCCCTTTTGCTCGACAAGTGGTTTGAGAGCGATCTGTGGTGATGAGAGGGTGTGATGACTTGTGTTTCTTTTTATGGATGTCATGGAGAATACGTCCATGCTGGAGAGCTGTTTCTTTTTTTTTTTCTTTTTTTCTTTTGTTGCTTGACGCCTCCATCCTTAACGACCTTTGCCTTCTGTAATGTATCTTAGCACCCATTTAACTAACTGATGACGATCTGGCCTGATTCCCCGTATACACTAGAACTACCATTGCTACTATTAGTATCCATGGATATATTATTATTGTATTTGTGTTGAGATATCCACGTAGACTGTTGACCGAAACCGGGGGCTAACTTGAATTTGGCGATGACGCTGGGCTGGGGCGACTGTCGATCACTGGCCAAAACATACCAACTCCCCCCATCCGACTGAGGTGAAACCACACACACTCTCTACCATCCTATCTATATTATTCCTATCTCATCGAACCCCTTTTCCTATAAGATTAGGGTGGAGCAATCACTAAACGGGGGTAAGGCACCAAATTCGACATAAGACTCCGAAATCAACGTGCGGCCCCGAGCCCCAGGTCCGCTCCGCCTCCTAGTAAACCCTTTGGACCGCCAATCTGCGTGTCCGCCTCTTCTCTCCCCTCCCATCTTCACACATTCTATATAATTTACTGCAATGTCTCGCATGTGGGAAGTTGACCCGGAGACGAGGACAAAGGTGCGCTCATGAATTCCCCCTTTCCCCTCCATTGGCGCCCAGGAAGCACACCGCAGAACAGAACAGCGTGACTGACCACTCAATCATCCCAACAGCTCCTCCAAATCTCCAAGACCAACGGAAATGACAGGTGCTGCGATTGTGGAGCGCCTTCACCCCAATGGGTAAGTGAGAAGCCAGCCTCGAATCCAGCTAGCAGTTACAACTACACCCCTCTTCCTCCTACCCCCAATCGAAACCAACCCAAATTGGCCGCAACACCCCTCCAACCCCAACAACCATACAAAGCAGACAAAAACGCCAGACTAGTCTCATATCATTAACACTTACGCAAAACAGGCCTCCCCCAAATTCGGAACCTTCATCTGCCTCAACTGCGCAGGCACACACCGCGGGCTCGGTGTCCATATCTCCTTCGTCCGCTCAATCACCATGGACGCCTTCAAACACGCTGAGATCCAGCGCATGGAGCTAGGCGGCAACGAGCCGTGGAAATCCTTCTACAACGCCCATCCAGTCACCACCTCCGAGGGCCGCACATTCGAAGACTCCACCATCAAAGAGCGCTACGAAGGCGACGCAGGCGAGGAGTGGAAGGAGCGCCTTTCTTGCAAGGTCGACGGCCGCGAGTACGTCCTCGGCCAGGAGAAGAAGAATATCCCCAACAATGCCTCGCGGTCTAGTACACCGATGAGTGCTGCCGGCGCTGGCGCGGGCGGGAGGACGGGCTCGCCTGCCACGTCCATTCGCTCGGATAGTCTGCGCGGAAGCGCTGGTGCGGGTGCGTCGAAGAAGGAGCAGAATGAGGCTTATTTCGCGAAATTGGGCGGTGATAATGCTACTCGTTCGGACGCACTTCCCCCCTCACAGGGTGGGAAATTCACCGGGTTCGGCGGCGGCGTGCCTCCGGCCGCGGCTGGGGACCGTCGGTCTTCACCATTTGGAGGACTCGGGGGTTGGGGTGCATTTGGCGGTGGTGGTGGTGGAGGTGGAGGGCCGGCGTTGGATGACTTCCAGAAAGATCCCATGGGCAGTATTAGCAAGGGATTTGGATGGTTCGCGTCGACGGTTGGAAAGGGCGCTAAACAGGTTAACGATTCATACCTACAACCTACGGCGAAGCAACTCGCCGAGTCGGACTTTGCGGCTCAAGCTCGCGTGCAGGCAACCAACTGGGGCCAGAACTTCCAAACCAGTGCGCGCAGTGCGGCGGATCAATTCAATCGTTTTGTCGAGGGCGATGATGGGGGTCATGGTCGTGGGAGTGGTAACGGTAACGGTGTTGGCTCGGGCCCTGGCTCCGCTGCTCGTTCGAATGTTGATCCTGAGCGTCGTGATTTCTGGGATGACTTTTCTTCTATCGGTGCGCAACAACAGCAGCAGCAGGAGATGTCGGGTCATCAGCGCAGTGGGTCACGGTCTGGCGTTATTGGTACGGCTGCTATGCGAAAGGGTCCTACGCCTGCGGCTTCTTCTTTGTCTAACGAGACGACTGCCCCGTCTGGTGTAGAGCAGGCGGAGGCTCCGACGAAATCCAAGCCCAAGGAGAAGGATGACTGGGATGAAAACTGGTAATTAGTATTAGTATATATGCTTGTTCCATCTCATATTTGGAGTTAGGTATGTGTTCATGGGGCGGCGGGTTTACAGATGTCATAACTTTTGTATTTAGTCCTCGTACTACCTCCTTACTAGCCCTGGAGTACCTTGAACCCATACTATTCCTAGCTGCATGAACGAAATGTCTCTAGCATGATGACCATGAATAAAGAGTGAAATTATGAACGTTGATTGTCAAAATTGCGCTATGGTACATTTGTAGATATAGAAATTAGATGAAATGTAATATACAATGTCTTAGCTATACCGGGCATGGGCACTCGGAGCCATACTAGTACCCAATCCATGACTATGCAAGAGGGCTCGGAGCAGTGTCAACTCTTAGAAGCCACCTCTTAGCTCCGCAACAACAGCCTTCTGTCTCTGAGGAGACATATTTTCAAACCGATCAACACTCATAACGAACGTGCCTCGGCCAGCGGTCAAACTGCGCAGATGCTTCAAGTACCCAACCATCTCCTTCAGAGGCACCTTGGCAGTGATGTTACGTGGACGCGACGTGGAGACAGATACCTCCGTACCAAGAGACGGGGATTCGAATGGATCCAGAGGTGCATATACACGTTTGGGGTCGATAGGAGGCAGATCCTCTGCGCCAGTAGACGAGGCATCCGTCCCGGCGAGGGGAACTTCCTCGTCCAGCGAAATGATATGGCCACCTCGCGAAGATGAGATATCATGGACAACCGAACCCAGGCTAGCTTCGTCCACGCTAATAACGACATTCATAAGCGGCTCCATCATGACAGTTCCCGGACCGGCGGGAAGTTCCCGCAGAGCGGAACTCGTAGCCTGTCGTGCTGCGGCAGAGAGCGCAGATGTAGTGGTATCGCCACCGAAGAGATGTTCAGCGGGGTTGATGGTCAGTGTAACTCGGGTATTATGCATTGGGAAAGTGAACTGGGGTCCGCGAGCAAGAGCTGCCAATACACCATTTTGCAGCGCAGTGCGAAGAGTAACGGCGTCCATACCTGGCGGTAGGAATGGGCTGGTTTCTTCTTCCCCTCTGCCCGCGCGTTCCATCTGGAGACCTGGGGCACGGATGATGATCTGGTTACCTTCAATCGTTTCAGCGAGCAGGGTGTCTTCATCCGCTGCTTCGGAGATGTCTTCGTCGCCGAATGGCTCCACGATAGCGGTGCAGCCTGCTTTGCCGCGGCGGCCGGCAATCTCCTTGTCGAAGATCTTGGTAATAGCAGAGGATGCACCCAGTCCGCACTCGCGGTAACCGATCTCGATACGTCCCATAGATGCCTTCGCCTTGAGGTCGTTTATCAAACGATCGCGGGCGATCTCTAGATGCAACTCGCCCATGCCGCTGAGAAGAGTTTGGCCGGATTCCTCATCCACACTGACATGCAGACTTGGATCCTCTCGTAGTAGAAGCGAGAGCGATTCCTGCATCTTCTTCTCTTCACTCAGACTGTGCGGTTCGACACTGGTGAAGAAAACTGGCGGTGGGACATCGATTGGACGCAATTGAAGACTGGTTAAAGGCTCTGGGGGTGTGGGTTTGTTTCCTGCATAGGTAACGAGTGTGTCACCGGTACGAGCATGTTTTAGTCCAACCACAACACCAATGTGGCCAGCTGGGATTGAGTCTACCTCTACCGCATCATTGGCGTGCATTTTAAGCAAGCGGGGCGCCCGCTCAGAGAGATGCAAGTTGGTGTTAAAAAGCAGGCTGTTCCGATCAAGTGAGCCGGAGTATACTCGCACGTAAACCAGCACGCCGCGTTTGGGGTCATTGACCACCTTGAATGCCAAGGCACAGCTCTGAAGTTTGCCAATTGCGTCCTTGGGGTTGGTTGGAAGTGCCGCACTCTTCTTCTTCTTCCCTTTGGCGGGTGTAGCGGCCTTCTCACTTTGCTCAACAATCAAATCACCCGAGAGTAATCGTCTCAATCCGCCTTTGACTCCACCGATGCTGACCTCTGGATCAGGCGCCTCAGGCGGGCTAGGGAGGAGGTTCACCACAGCATCTAACAGCGGCTGAACACCCATGTTGCGAAAGCTCGCCCCTGCGAAGAGGGGAACGATCCGGCTGGTCGGATCGAGAACGCAGCGGCGGAGACTCTCAGTGATATCCATCGAAGAGACAGCCATATGGTCTTCATCGCACTCAAAGAACTTCTCCACAATGGTCTCGTCCTGCTCGCTGAGAAGCTCAACTAACGCAGCCCGCGCCTTTCTCAGCTCCTGTGCCAAGGCTGGCTCCTCTGAATCGAGTTGCTGGAGATTCATCATCTTTATCGTCCGTCCATCTTCACCCTCCTTCCATCGAAGACCTTGCAGGTTTATAGCGTCCGCGATGCCGACGAACGAACCAGTTCCCCCCTCGAACCAAGGAATATGGCATACTGCTGGATAAACAGAGAGGCGGGAGCTGACCTCTCGTACTGTGCGACCAAATGCGGCCCCATCACGATCTAGTTTGTTCACGTAGATCACTCGAGGAATCCGGTACGTACTAGCCTGGTGCCAGACCTTTTCAGTCTGCGCCTCAACACCAGCCACACCATCTAGGATACAGACAGCACCATCGAGAATGCGCAAAGACCTCATGACCTCAAAAGTGAAGTCCGCATGGCCTGGCGTGTCAATTAGATTAATTGTATGCGAGACCGCTGACCGCGGTAGAGACTCGTCGCGCGGTTTCGACTGGGCTCCTTCACTGCCAGCCCCCGGAGGCCAATGGAAAGTGATGGCCGCCGATTGGATGGTGATTCCTCGTGCACGCTCGGCCGGTAAGAAATCAGTGACGGTGGAACCTTCATCGACATCACCGATGCGACGGGTGAAACCGCTGTAGAAAAGCATGCGCTCCGTAGTTGTTGTCTTTCCGGCATCAATGTGAGCGATGATGCCGATATTTCGTGTTCGGTCTAAGACCTCATCTTGCCACCTAGATAAGGAGGTCGAAAAGCATTGTGTCGAGGGGAGACGTGGTTTGAAACTCTTGATATCGATAATGCTCCTCAATGGGCTGATTGGAGTCCTATAAAAACGGGAGTTCATACAACGCACCCCGGATTGGGGGACGCGCAACAATGGAGTTGCGACCATTTCTCTAAAGAGGGACCATGTAAGGCCGACCTCGATGACTGATATTGAGATACTCTTGTCAATGTAGAGCTCAAGTGGATCGATTGAAACTCGATTGGGTCGAACCTGAAGGAAAATCGAACGGAGCTGGCAACTTCGGGCTTGGCGCACGCATTCCACTTCCCTACGTAACTCTTCAACTGCACCTCGCCTCTTCTCACCTCCCTTTACCTCGACTTACTTAACTTACTTGACTGATTGGACCTCTTTGTTATGCGCTCCATTTAGCGACCTCTTTCCTTCTCTTCTACAGTCACGCCAAGGTAAATTATTCTGTACAGCTGCTTTGATCTACCTGGCCGCTATTGTGGGGTCCCGACTCCCGACCCCCAGCCATAATACTGACGCCTGTCCATCACTAGCAGCTCCTCTTCCCCTTTGGCCTTCGTGACGACCCCCCTTACCTCCAATCCCAACCAAGATGGACTACTCAACCATCTCGAATGATCCGGACCACCCCGTCGAGTCCTCGCCTTGGGGTTCTCCGCGCGCTGACCGAAACACCTTCCCCACCTCCGGCAACAATGACATCCCTTCTTCTCCATTGCCTGGACAGGGACAATCGGTAGAGGGCGCGGAGGGTGACCAGGATGCTCGCAGTCAATCCCCGGACCTTTCTGCACAACTCCAAAACGCACAATTAGGCGATCATGACTACCCCGAGGCCCAATCACCATTCGCGACTCAGCAATCCCCCAATGCAGACCAGCGGTCTCAGCTCCCCGCACGCTATCAAACTGGAGCACGTCAGAATTCCAGACCTCCGGCGCCAGCACCTACATACAAGATTCAGGGAAAGATCACTGGCCTCGAAAGGACCGGCAAGAAGGACCCTATTCTTCGATTTGACGTTCATGTGGGTTGATCCTCTCTGACCGGACTCGACTAGGGTATGACGGTGCGCTCTGACAATGATCGACTAACTCCTTTTCGCTTCAATATAGACAAATATTCCCAAGTTCCGCACGACCCAGTACCGTGATGTTCGCCGGACACACTCCGAATTCGCCAAACTCGCCGACCATTTAGTCTCGGCTTGCCCGGAAGCTCTTGTCCCGGCGGTGCCTCCTCCGGTCACCCCAGCCGGCGCAGGGACCGATGAGGACGAGAACCGGGTCAAGGCTGCCATGCAGCGGTGGCTCAATATCGTACTGAGCAATGAGGTCCTGATTCAAGATGATGAAATGGTTCTTTTCGTGGAGAGTGATTTCGGCTACAGCCCCGTCCTACGCATGAAACAGCCTGCCACTGGTGTACGGCGCAAGATGCTAAAGCAATTTGCTCCGCCCCCAGATGATACACCTGAGCTTCAAGGTGCTCGTCCTACTGTCAAAATGTTCTACTTGGGATCAATGGACGCGAGCCATAAGGTTGACCGTGTCGTCAAGGGCCGTCGAGGTATGCTTGTTTCAACAAATTGACCTATCATGAGTATATAGCTAATTTTTATAGGTCTTGGATTGGCCGAGTCTGACTTCGGTGTCAAGATTGGCCAGCTGCACGTCCAGGAAACACACCCAGGCTTGAGCATGGCATACCGCAAGCTGGGCAAAGTAATCCAGACAGTCGGTGACTATCACGCTATCCAGGCGACAGCCGAGGCTACAACACTAGGAGAACCTTTGAGCTACCACTCTTCTGACGCGCTGATCGTCAAAGAGACTCTGACCAACCGACACATTCTGCTGCGCGAACTCCTTCAGGCCCAGCAGAGTGCCCAAAGCAAGCGTGCCGCGGCAGACCGATTGAAGGTCAGCTCTTCTGTTCGCCCAGACAAGGTTGATGAGGCAATCGGTGCCCTCGAAGAGGCTCAGACACGCGAAGACTACCTGACCAAGCGCACCCAGCGCGTGACGACGAATTTGCTCCACGAGAAGCGCCGCTGGTTTGACCGCACCACTGCGGATCTTCTATTCAGTCTGCGAGAGTACACTCTGCGCCAAATTGAGGCAGAGCGACGAACCTTGGCTACTCTGGAGAGTGTGCGACCTGACATTCGTGCGATTGATGCCTCTGGTGGATTGAGTCGACTGGGTCGCGAGGCTCACCCCGCCCAGCGCCGACCAAACGCAGTCTCGAGCCAGGGTCCTAAGGGCGATGCTTGGAGTGGTGTCCCCCGTCGTCCTGACAACATGAGCCGCAGTATGAGCGGGAGCTTCACTGCCCCTTCGATTGCACAGGAGGATGAGGATGCGAGCCACCAGGAATCTGGACAGGGTCGGGCTCGATCTACCAGCCAAGCTGAGGCGATTGCGGAGGAGGACGATGATCGTCTGGATGCTCGCAACGCTGCCAGCCGGCTGGCCACCAGCACTTTTTAACTGAACAGGATGCCGAATTGTATCGAGTATGTTTGTGTTCGGCATCGAATGTGTACATGTAGCCTGGACACGTTCCGTGATTCCCCTTTTGTTGCCTTTATAACTCGTTTTCTCTTTTTTTTTTTAGTATTAAGTTCGTCTTTCAGATTCCCACGGGTAGTGTGTGCGAAGATGTCAAAAATGCCACATCTCAGAAAATCCTTATTCATTTGGTACATTGGACGGTGATGGCTTCTACATCCAACCTTAACTCAAGAAAACAGTCTCAGACACAAACTTGCGATTCATACACTGTACTAGCAGATCCAAAGTAAATCAATACACTCTGCTAGTATTGAATCTCGATACCTCTCTAACCAGCGACAACACAAGCCCCATCCGAGCTCCCAAACAACGTCTTTCAGCCACTCGCCAATCCACCATACTTCTTTTCACTCACTGAGGCCACACATCAAACCTTTCTGCACCATCTTCTGGTAGCTCATACCAAGAAGCCTTCTCCGCCAGGAATATATGAGCAGAAGCGGGTGGAATGCGACCTTTCACATCATCATCCAGCGTACCAGCCGCCACCCCTTCCACGTCAGACATCGAATCAACTTTCATCGAGAGAACCGACCCACACCGAGGACAAAAAGTCCGCGAAGCGGTGTCACTCGACTTCCATTCAGTGGGATTTGTCTGCCATTGGATCGAGCCTGTAGGGAAATGCACAAAGGCCAGGTAGGGGGCGCCGGACTGTTTGCGACATGTAGTACAGTGGCAGTTGACCAGTCTGGTTGGAGGTACAGAGGCGGTGTACTTGATGTATTTACATGCGCAACTTCCGGAGGCCATTGTAGTTTTGATAATGAGGAGTTCAGGGATGATGTTATACGAAAGTTACCCCACTATAGAGGTTGGTGACTTTTATACTCCAGGGCGCTCGTGCCACCGGTTTGCTTGATGGTGTGATTGGTTCATTTGGAGTACATTGATGTCATTGCAATTGTTCGTGTGGCAGGTAGTGGTTCACAGAAAAGTGTTGGTTTTAAGTCTTGGGATGATTAAATAATAATGTGATTAATGTAGTTAAAATAGTACAAGAGCTTTGCCCGTTGATTCCGGTATTCGAAATGCTTCGAAGCTCGGGGATAACTCGGACTCAAATCCATGGATATCAAACCCCACCTTTGTGGTCCTCGGGCCAAGTTGCCTGATTTCAAAGCATGCAGAATATAAATGTAACAACACTCCAGGGCTTAGATTACTCCTCTTCAAGTTTCAACCTCGCAATCTGATTCTCAAACTTACTCGTACTCGTATTGTCTGGTTTCCCACAACATGGCTCCGAAGGTCTTCCTGTCAGCACCCTTCCCCACCCGTCATTCTTGTGAGTATAAGCTGATCTAACCGTCCCCGCAGCACTGGTGCTACTGGCTATATTGGTGGTGATGGTCTATATGCTATATCCAACGCCCATCCCGACTGGGAGCTATCTGCTCTCGTTCGTAGCAAGGAAAAGGCCGCCAACCTGAAGGCAAAGTATCCCGAAATTCGGGTCGTCTTCGGCGACCTCGATTCCTCTGACATCATCGAAGAAGAGGTGAAAAATGCAGATATTGTCTTTCGTGAGCACACCACATATTATTATAAATCAAAAATACATTATCTGGCTGACTAACTCTTGCTTAGACTTTGCCGACTGCGATCATGTCGCGGCGGCCAAGGCCATTTCCAAAGGAGCTCAACACCACACGCCCGAGCGCCCTCTCTGGCTGATTCACACCTCGGGTACTGGCATCTTGACCGTTGAGGACCAGAGAGCTCGAACCTACGGAATCGAGCGTCCGAAGGAGTATAATGACTGGGAAGGGGTAGCCGAGCTTATCGATCTCCCCGAAGATGCTTTCCATCGCAACGTGGACGAAATTATCATTGGAATTGGTCGGCGAGATCCATTCAGTACTCGCTGCGCTATTGTTTGTCCTCCAACCATTTACGGCCCTGGTAGAGGAGCCTGTAACACGAAGAGTATTCAGGCCTACCTTCTAAGTGCCGCGGTGATAAAACGTGGCAAGGGATTTTTGGTCGGCAAAGGCGAGAATGTCTGGCATCAGGTTCATGTCCAGGATTTAAGCAACGTCTATCTAGCACTAGGTGAAGCCGCAGCTGAAGGTGGTGGTAAGGCTACCTGGAATGAGGAGGGCTATTATTTTGCAGAGAATGGGTCCTTTGTTTGGGGGGGATATTCAGCGGAAGGTGGCCGAGGAGGCATATGCTCAGAAATTGATCTCCTCGCCTGCTGTTGACTCACTGGATGACAAGCAGACTACTGAGATATTGTCTGCTGGGCTTTATGCTTGGGGATCTAACTCTCGTGGACATAGCCTTCGTGCGCGAAAGCTTTTCGGATGGGAGCCTAAGCAGCCAAAGTTGATTGATTTGATCCCGGAAATTGTATCACTGGAGGCGAAAGGGCTTGGTCTGTGAGATGCATCATCCAAGGCTATTATTTTCTGGAAGTCACATAGTATTTGGGTGAATGAAGAAGATATTACTTGATCTATGTACACCTTGGAATACATTGAGAAAGTGAGTGCTGCTAATTGGACCACCCCCGCGGTATTTTCTGGCTATTTGGACCATGGTGCTTCCTAGTTAAGATTAGTATGTATATTCCATACAACTTGCAGATACACCATCGCCATATCCAACTTGAATGTACTCCTGACGCCTACTACTTGTCACGAAACAGAGCGGTGGCTTCATTTAGTTGGTCTTGGGTAACTTCGCTGCCACGAAGGATCGTGAATGTTTGGGTGGTCATTTGAAAATATGTGATCAAAGGGTGCTGAAGACATGATGGGAAATAAAATGACTACTAGTAGAGTGGAAGCTACTACCTAAATACCTAAGTAGGTAGGTACCTGAGTACATAGTAGGTATATAGTTAGTAGTAGTAGTACTGGATGAGGATGACTCAGACCCTGCAATAACATCAGCGTGACAAACAGACTTACTGAGGTACCTACTTGTAACTAGTACTCACTGGGAAAGCCAGAGCTTCAATTTTTAGTTACTTGTAATTAATATTTTCGTGATTAATCCTGGGTACTAGTACTACTACTACTACTAGTATTATTGTCCCCGAGCTTGATGTCTTCCATGTCCTCATTCCTAGTAGACCTAGGTATATATTACCCAGCCCATTAATAGATTTGATAGGGTAACTTGCAGGCCACGACAACGCCTGATACTGGATATCTATTATCAACATATTATCCGAGCAGATAAAGAGAAAAAAATCGAAAGCAATTGAAAGAATGTTTCTTTTGTATCTGATTATGAGTAATCAATTGAGGGAGTTCTAGTGCTACGAAGTACCAGTACTACCCCGTGGGACGCGGTCTGATGACTTACCTGATTCGCCGCCTCAGGCAACATTTTAGCCCCATCTTTGCTGCTCCGAGCTTCACTGCCATCATCCACCTCCACTACCTCTCTGCCTTTGCCTTCACTGCCCTCACTGCCTATCCCCTCACCCACCGGAGGATACGGCATTCAAGTCGGTATGGCACTTCTTACTCTTCTTCGCTACATACGCGTTGTATCGCCGGTTCCCAATTGCTGACAATCGCTCTACCGCGTTCCTTCCAGCACCAAATCCATGACTTAAGATCATTCCTCATTCCCTATCCCCGAGAACTTCTGCCTTTTCCAAGCCGGCTACCCAACGGTCGTTAAGGCCGTCATGGCCCCCGGTCAGGGTGGCAGCAAGCGCAAGCGCGGTGAGCGCTCCTACTCCGGCGACTCGGCGAGCAACGACGCCTCGCGACCTTCTCCTCATCGCCCCGGCACTCTCAACATGGCGCATCACCCTTCACCCCATGGCTATCAAGCCAGTCCGCCCCGAGAGCCTCATGATATGCGCGACCGGTCTCGTCGCCAATCGTATCGTGGAAACGGAGGGCGAAACAACTTCCGCCGTGGGTCTTACGAACAACAGCAGAATTTTTCTAGTTCGCAGCAGAAAGAACCAAACGCAATGTCTCCCCCGCCACCAACACAACCTCGAGAGGCCACCGAGCATGCGCATGTATCCGAAGAGCCTTTATCGCAACCTACGCCAACCCCCGCACCCGTCACCCCTGCCTCGCAGCCTCAGCAACGACCTCCCTCGAGAGCCAATTCAGACGCCGTCCCAGCCCAGGTCACCGGGCCGCCTCCGCCCTACGATTACGAATATGTCACGGATAGTGTAGTTGAGGAATGGGCCTCCGGAGGGAAAGAAAAGCTTGTGGAACAAGGGCGTGCCGCTCTCTCACAACAGGACCTTCCCCGCTTGGCATCGGTCTACCAGGAACTTATTCGGTCCGCAATCTATGGAAGACTTGCACCATCTGGAGCAGGAAGTGCCGTGAAAGAAATAATCGGAGAGGAAGCCGCATCTCGAGATGGGGACATGGAAGGCGCTGGGTCGACGGCCTCAACCGCTGAGCTGGACTCGCGTTCTTTGTTCCTTGACACGCTTTCGATTGTAACGGATACTGATACGTCGAATCCAAAACTTAAGCCCCTCGTTTTTGCAACTGCAATTCCTCCGAACCTCATGCGCCTTCAGCTCGATACGCCCCTCCTACAATCGCTGGGTTTGGTTCGTGAAACCTTCGCGCGCATGGGGATTCGCAAACAGACCAATCTCCTTTACCGCCAATCGAACTACAATCTTCTCCGAGAAGAATCCGAAGGCTATTCAAAACTCCTCACGGAACTATTCACCACCAGCAACAATGAGCCGCCGTCGAGTGAAGTGGTTGAAGATACATTTGAAAAGGTGAAGGGTATGATTGGCGCATTTGATATGGATGTTGGCCGAGTTTTGGATGTGACACTTGATGTGTTTGCCGCGGTCCTAGTCAAACAGTACCGTTTCTTCGTCAAACTCCTACGAGCCAGTTCTTGGTGGCCAAAGGAGGGCCAGTCTCCTCATGTCGAGGATTCCCAACGTGCTTCGGGACTACCTAGCTGGGCACTTCCCGGATCATCAGGATGGGTTACAACAGACGAAGAGCGCGCAAGCATTGTGCAATCGAATGAGCAGCGTGACCGAGAATTTTGGGATCGTGTACGGCAGGCGGGCCTCCAAGCTTTCTTCGAGATCGGCCGCAAGCCGATGTCTGAGGAGGAGAAACAAAAAGCACTGCCGGCGGCCAATGGTGCTGCCGAGGAGGATGCCACACGATCATGGATCGAAGAAACAGGAACATTGCCACCTATGGGCAATAGGGTTGCCGCGCAGCTTCTTGGCTTCAAACTACGGTTCTACGCCTCTACAGCTCGGAACAAGTCGGACACTTTGCCAGACAACCTCATCTACCTCGCCGCCCTTCTCATCAAAGTGGGCTTCATCTCTCTCCGTGACCTCTATGCTCATCTCTGGAGACCCGATGAATCTATGGATGACCTGAAGACAGAGAAGATGACCGAGAAAGCAGACAGAGAGAAGGCTGCTCGTCCTGGCGGTGGAGTTAACGCCCTCATGATGGCCGGTGCTCTATCAGATGACACGGTTCCTATTCCACGACTTCGAGATCTCGATTCTCGATTGGCGACGCCAGGAAAGGATCAGGATTCCGACAAGCAGACAACCCCAAAGCCCGAAGACCAATTGCCCGAGCCTTCAGACCAAAAGGTTCTGTTGCTTAAAAGTCTTCTCGCAATCGGTGCAATCCCCGAGTCATTGTTTATCATTAGCAAGTTCCCTTGGCTAATGGATGGCTATCCCGAACTTCCTGCATATATCCATCGTATTCTCCACCATTCATTGGACAAAGTTTATACCCAGCTTCGGCCTCTTTCAGAGAGAAACGACCTCCCTGGGCAGCATCAAATACTGAGCACTGATCAAACCGGTGTTGCCAAGGGCAATCTCCGACTCGCACAACCCCCTGCTCGTCGAATTCTACGATGGGCCCAACTCGATGCGGCGGACACGAATGAAGGCACTGACTACCGATTCTACTGGGACGACTGGGCCGATGATGTACCAATCTGCCAGTCTGTTGACGATGTCTTTGCCCTGTGCTCAACATTCCTCAACTTGTCTGGCCACAAGATCGGTCAAGACCCGGCGTTGCTCACTAAAATTGCACGAATTGGAAAGGACAGTCTTGCCAAGGACAATTCGGATGCAAATAGAACACGCTGGCGCGATCTTTGCAAGCGTCTTCTGCTCCCCGCCGTCAGTTTGACCAAGGCGAACCCTGGTGTTGTCAATGAAGTGTTCGGCCTTGCCAGCTTTTTCCCTCGCGATGTTCGCTACAACATGTACGCCGAGTGGAATTATGGACAGACATCTCGACTTCCGGATATCAAGGCTGCTTTTGACCAAGCAAGAGCAGAAACCAAAGACGTTCTAAAGCGTCTCAGCAAAACCAATACTCGACCAATGGCCCGCGCCTTGGCCAAGATCGCCTACGCAAACCCTGGTGTTGTTATCAATGTTGCTGTTAGCCAAATTGAGTCTTACGAAAATTTGATCGAAGTTGTTGTCGAGTGTGCACGCTATTTCACTGACCTGGGCTACGACATCCTGACCTGGTCCCTCATCAATTCACTTGGCCAGAAAGGAAGAAGCCGAGTGCAAGAAGGAGGCTTACTCACTAGTCGATGGCTTAACGCGTTGTCAACATTTGCTGGTCGAACTTTCAAACGATACTCCGTCATGGATCCTGCCCCCTTGTTGCAATATGTGGTGGAACAGCTTCGTCATAACAATTCAACGGACCTCATCGTTCTGGAGCAAATGATTAGCTCCATGGCAGGTATCATCACGGACACCAACTTCAACGAGGCCCAGATCCAGGCTATGGCTGGTGGCGAGAATCTTCAAGCACAGACCATCTTGCAACTCCTGGACAAGCGAAACGAGTCAAAGCTGACCTCAAAACGGCTGTTGAAGTCACTCACCCATACTCGCCTCGCCGGTCAGCTGCTGGTCGCAATCGCGCAAGAGCGGCTTACATGTGTCTTCAACGAGTCATCGTCAGAACTGAAGCTTCTTGGCAATATTTTCGATGAAATCCACCGCATTCTCACTCAATACCTCGATCTCCTCCGCTCAAACTTGTCCGTTGATGAGTTCGACTCATTTGTTCCAGGCTTCGCTTCCCTGATCCAAGACTTCGGCATTCAACCCGAGATCGCTTTCTGGATTCGGCGCATCAGTGTGGCCAGGAAGATCGCCGATTTTGAGAAATCCAAGGTGGAGCCGGATTCTTCAAGCAAGGAGATTGCAGAGATCTTGACGCCTGCGTCTAATGGCGAAGCCAAGATGGATATTAACGAGGATGGAGAAGTTGTAGTCAAAGAAGGGGAGACTATGGACATTGATGCAGATGAGGAATCTACACCTGGTCCGCCTGCGGCACCACCTATTCCGCTAGCTGCCAATCCCGCCATGCAAGAGCTGATTGATAATGTCAAGTCTGCTTTACCAACCGAGTCATGGGATACAGTGGGTGCCTACTTTTATGCGACATTCTGGCAGCTTTCTCTTCACGATATGCACATGCCTCAGAAGTCATACGAAGAAGAGATTACCCGCCTGAAGAAGAAGGTGACGAGCATCAATAACGACCGTTCTGATCTTAGCATGGCTGGTATCCAACGAAAGGAGTGGGATAAGAAACAATCCACAATTATGCAAGAGCGCTTATTGGTGGAAAACAAGCAACATGTCAAAACCTATCAACAGACGCGCAGTAGACTGCAATCCGAAAAGGATCGATGGTTCGGTGGCATGCGTCGCAAACACGATTTGCTGAACATAGCATTGCTAGAGCAGTGTTTTATTCCCCGACTGCTTTTGTCTCCCATCGACGCTTTCTTCTGTTTCAAGATGTTGAAGTTCCTGCACAGTGCCGGAACTCCCAACTTCCGTACAGTTGGTCTTATTGATCAATTGTTCCGAGAACAACGCCTGACATCACTCATCTTCATGTGTACCTCAAAGGAAGCCGATAACCTTGGATATTTCTTGAATGAAGTCTTACGGGACCTTGCCCGTTGGCATGCCGACAAGGCTGTGTATGAGAAGGAAGCATTCGGTTCCAAGAGGGATCTCCCTGGTTTTGCGAAAAATGTTGATCCCGAGGGAGTCCCGGGCGCGTTCTTGGAGTTTGAAGATTTCCGTCGCCTTCTTTACAAGTGGCACCGATTGTTTTGCAATACCCTGAAGACTTGTCTCAATGGAGGCGAATACATGCATATCCGCAATGCCATCAGTATTCTCAAAGCAGTTGTTCAACATTTCCCCGCCGTGAACTGGGTCGGCAAGGAGATGCTCATCTGTGTCAACACGCTCAGCAAGGAGGATGACCGAGATGATGTCAAGATCCCCGCTGCCTCCCTCATCGGTGATCTCAATCGACGAGAGAAGAAGTGGATGCTCCCCCAGGCTTTCAACCTGATCCAGCACCCTCATAGTGGCCAGCCGAACACTGGATCTCACCCCCCCGCCGATCATTCCGACAAGGCCGGTACTCCTGGCTCACAATCACCCGCTTTGAATGCCACTGCACCTGAGTTCAAGCCCGGCACCCAAGAGTAAGTCGCCAATCCCGTACAACAGCAAGCAACAAACACTGACATTTTGCTCAGGGCCGCCATCGCGACCAAGCAAGAATCCACTACAGGTGAAGTTGAGGATGGCGAGATAGACGATACCAAGATGACGGATGCTACGCCTGTCAGGGCGGACGAATCCCAGCCCGCTGCTAAATCTTCTGCGGATATCTCTGCCATGGATACGAGTGCGGATACTCTGGATCGCCCCGCAGATCGTGAACAAGAAAGTCGAGCCCGGTCTCGCGCAGGACGCCAGCCTGATATTCCGAAACGGCCGGAGCCTGCCATGAATCCGCGCGATGTAGCTCGTCTTCCTCGACACACCGAAGGCCGACTTCCTCCACGGCCCGACTTGATGGATGACCGACGAGGCAGACACCCTGATTTCAACCCTCGCAACCGACAGGGAGCCGGTGCAGATCAAACTCGTTCTTTCGATGGCCCTGGTGCCACAGATCCCCGCGGCCATGGACGTGATCGTGAGTTTGGAATGCGACCCCCCTTGGACGACCCAATTCGTGGACCAGGACCACCGTATCGTGATGGTCGCCCTCCACGCGATGCAGAATGGGGATCTGATCGTAGTCGTCCCCGGCCTGATTCATTCCATGGTCGCGACGCCCCTGCGCGCGGGGAGATCCTCCCTGACATCCCAGATCGACCAGCTGATGGCCCTCGACGTGGAGACCAGATACGCTCCGAAAAAGATGATCGACGCCCTTACCCACAACGTCCTCTATCGCCGCCCAGATCTGATTTGCCCAACCGCCCTGAGCGCTTCCCTAACGATCGTCGATCGGGTAACTTCAACCCAGCAACTCGACATGACGAGTTTCCTAGAGGTCCTCGTGGTGACCGTTCTGGGGGTGAACCTGATCTACAACATGGCCGATTACGCGGGCCCGAGCCCGTTCTTGACATTCCATCTGGGCCTCGCGGCAGTGGAAAGGGCCGCAACGCACGCAATGCGCCAAGTCATCCTCCTCCACCGAGCTCAAGCAATGGCAAGCTACCCACCCCTGAGCGCCAAATCCCCACCGGCCCTAGTCGCGCGAGTGGTCGCGGGGCCCCAGATCAACAACCTCCTGCTACCCCATCCCAAAGCTCAGAGCCTGCTGAAAGCACCGGCATTCACCCTGACCGCTTGAGGCAGTTTGAAGCGGACTCACAGCAATCACCCGCAACTAACATGACTCCCCCTTCTGGACCTCGTGCCTCGAATCAGCAAGGTGGACGCGGATCTGGTGGTGACCGCAGTCGAGGTGATAAGCGATTCGCCGGTATCAACAACATGCTCAAACAGACCAATGGCGCTGTAGAGCGCAGTGCAACCACACCTCCTGTTCGTGGACGCAACGGAAACCGACAACCGAGTGCAACCATGTCTTCTCCCCAAGCTGCGCCTCGGGCCCCTCAAGGTCCAGCTGGTGCCGAAGAGCCTGGTTCTGCTCGCAGCCGCCCAGAATCCCGCACGGAATTGATTGGTGATGCACCTATCCCAGACAGTCGCCGCTCGGGTCGAAACCCTGATCGGGATAGGAACCGCGACAGGGATCGTGAGCGCCGAGGTGAAGATGCCAGCACCGGTAACTCTCGACGAGAAGAGCGACGTGAGCGTGGCCGTGACTCTGATCGCGAACGCAGCCGTCGGAGTGACGTTGGCGGCAGCGGCGGCGGCGGCAGTTCCGGACGGGAGGACAAAGATCGTGATCGAGAACGCCATGCGGAGCAACCCCGCGATACTTTGCGTAGGGTGTCAAGTTCGCGCGAGGAGATGCGACGCCGAGAGCGACGTGATCGTGGTGATGACGGACCCCCAGACCCAAGCGGAGCTGCATCTGGCAGTGGCAGTGGAAATGCCAACGAGGCCGAAGGACGTCTTCGCCCGCCATCATCAATGGGCGCACCACCGCCCCCTCCACCTCCTCCCCCACCTCCTCTTCCAGCTGATGACAATTCTTCCCGTCGCTGGGGACCTGGTGGAGGCGGAGACCGAGGAAACCGCCCCGAGCATCGGGATCGTGAGCGTGAGCGCCGTGGTGACCGTGGACGTGAACGAGACCACCGTGAGAGCGGCGGTGGACAGCGCAAGCGTGGACGTCCTAATCCCGAAGACAACGGTGGTGAAGGAGGTGGACGAGGTGCACGTATGGGTGGAGATAGCAAGCGTCCTCGCCGCGGAGGAGCGTGATGTATCCCATACATAAAATGCGGTTGAAAGTGTGAATTATTATTTTGTCTTCTCCTATGGGATTCTTTATCTTCTTCTGATTCCCCTTTGTCTTCTTTTCTATCATGTTACTATTATTCAAGTTGCATTTCGACCGGTGTTTGGGTCCCTCACTATACTCCTGTTTTCTCCTTTCTCATATCTCGCTTGATGTCAAAGAAGCCAATACAACCATCTCAATTTTCCAAGCCTTCCAAGGTCCATGCTTGCAGAAATTAAATACGTTTAGGAAAGGTATTCAAATGGGTAGACAGGAAGAAAAGGGTGGTTTTGTTCAAAAACGAAGTCTAGTGCTAATGGGTATATGTACAAGACAAAAACTTGGGAAACCATATCAAACAAAAGAAAAAAAAGCTAAAAGCAGCGAGTGGACATGTTGATCATAGTAAATCTTTTCCTCTTCAACCAGCAGCAGCAACAGCTGTCTGTATCCTCCTCCCTTCCATAGAAGGTTCCCTCTTCCGCATCCCCAACCCAGCCAACTTCTTCAGCAAATGCGACGCCCGCTTACGCTTATGCCTTGGCTGCGCATCATCAGGCACCAATCCAACCGAGTAAATAGCCTCTTGATTTTGAGGCACATCAGTCGCAGGATTCATAGCACCAGCCCCATCAATGGAAAGCTTGTAAAAGCCGTGATAAGACTTCTCCTCCCCATCACCATCTCCATCGAATGAAGAAAAACTATGCACCGAGATACTCCCGCAAATACTGGAGTTGCGACTGCTAGTGACCTCGTATGCGGAGAAATCGGCGAGATTCTTCTTCACAGGCGCTTGGCGGGTACTGTAGAAACGGCGCGGTGCAGCCGTCGCTGGATTGAAGGTGTTCTTTTGAGTGGGGGGGTTGGTCGGTAGGGGAGGAGTGGATGTCACGGCGTGGTTGTAGATCCAGGCTTGCTCGGAGCCAGGTCATGCCTTCTACGCCGAGGGAGATGTCTCGCTCTACGAGCGGTTGGTTCAGAGGTTTCATTTCGTGTGTATCATCGCGGGTCCAGAGTGCGTCTGTTTGAGGCGGGCTGTATGGGAAAAGGACAGGGCTTGACGAGCGAGAGCGGGAGAATGAGGGGGAGCGTGATCGTGATCGAGATTTTGGCGATGTTGTTTCTGTAGCGAAGCTGCGGCCTCGCGTGCGACCTCGGGATTCTTCTTCGTCGCGTGGAGAGGTTGATGCTCGGCCTCCGTAGAACCTGCCATTGCCGGTTACTGTGGCAGTAGTAGTGGCAGTGACAGAGACATGGGCAGCCGGCGAGATGTTCTGATATGCTCGGCCATAGTATCTTGGCGATTGATTGCTAAAGGCCACGCCGGAATCATGCCCAGCCTTGCGCGCGGGAATTTCCTTCATCAGGATTCGGGCCGGAGATAAACGTCGGCCCTGAAAATTGGTGCGTGTTTCATGTGAAGAAGCTTTGGCCACTGTGCCACCATGTCCATGTCGAGTGTGCAGGGATCCTGTTTCGAGACACGGCCACATGGGAAGTCCGCGGTCAAGACTTTGGATGAGGAGGGAGCAGGAATGTTTAACCTCGTCTTCCAAATCTTCTTCGATTTCTTGTCGGTCAATCAAAGGAGACGCTGGGCGGAAGAATCCTGACTCATCCTCAAAATTGTAGCATCGAATGTCATTGTTGTTGTCCAATGAGTTCTCGGCAAGGTTGGACGAGAGAGGTGTGGTTGCAGAGCGTGGACGGCTTCCAGGCATGTTGATGGATGCTGTGGATGAACTCATGGTTGAGGCGCGAGTTCGGCCATTTCGACTGAATGTTAAGCGCTGACGGATCTTGGTTGCTTTCTGGGAAAGCTTGCGCTCCATGATGCTGGTGTAATGAGGCTTGGTTTGCAATCGGTTGTGGTTGATAGTTGGTTGCAGACACTGAAGATAGTTGTTGACCGTGGCGGGGGGATGCTTATAGTATGAGATTCTATGATTTGCAAATGGCCCAGGTAGCCTGATCGGTTCTTGAGCAACCGGTCTGTTCCCCTGCAGGTGCTGAAAGGACAAATCGATAAATGCTATGTCGGTGGGCGTGAATGATCGAGTAAAAACAATGAAAGTGACCTGCCAGCACCGGCAATGTGCGTGCTTTAGTGTATGCAGCTGGTGGCAAACAGCTTTCAAATGATCGACCTCAATCCGCTGCGGCCGGCAACGTAGAATTCCCAACTATGTCAACCCAGTTGATCGGGTGTTGCAGTGCTTGAATCGGGGGTGGCAGCGTTGGCCGTACAACCAAAGACTGGAATGCGGGGGGTGGTAACGAGGGATAGATCCCGAGTGAGGGGAGGAAGAGTAGTGTTGAGGGTGTGTGTGTGAGAGAGAGAAAGAGTCGAATAGTTCATGAAAAATCAAAGACACTGGCGCGTCATGGGGCATCCTGGTTTGCTTTGAAGGACGCTGCGATTCGGCGAGTGTCAATCGTCCCGACGCCTCAAAGGGCCCCAGCTGATCCATTTCATGTGGAGGGGGGGCCGATGATCCATAAATCAGAAGGATTGGATAACCAATAGATAGTCACCCTAGCCAGTCAAGGCTTGTGCTCGCCTGATTATCAGGAGTCGAGTGGAGTGTCCTTTTAGCAACCCAGTTAGGGTTGCGAGGGGAATAGGGCGAGATGGACCTGATGAACCTGAAGATGGGTTCCACCACCCTACAACAAGACCAGAAGGGGGGGCTAAATCTCACCTAATAGGGTTTAAGATCAGCCAGTGGCCGTTAGTGTCAGGTCCAGACCGTCATAGATGGAGTTATTATCCGTCATTGTCCTTTAGACCCGGTTTCTGAGCCTTGGTCGCTTAGGTTTGTATGGGGAGTAGGTACTCCGTTGTGGCGCCCCTATTCCAGCTTTTGTCATACGCTAGATACGCCCTCGATGCTGATTCGTGCTGTCTCGTGCTGTCTCGCACTGATAGAAACCATTGGGAAAGGCGTTCGGCCGTGCTCCTTTCGGGGCGATCGTCTGTTTTGTCCCCACCGTGAAAGCTCTGACTCGTTTCGCGGATTTCATGCCCAAGGGGGGGCGATACGCCCAGTGGGGGGGTTCCTCACTCCTGATAATTATTAGATGTGTCTCCCACTTCAGCCCTTTATGTGCTTGCCAATAAAATTATCCAGTGCAGTCTCCACTTCAACGGCTGTCGTCCCACTTCTTACCCCTTTGCTTGAGATTGGAATTTGTAGCCTCAACTTTGAATGGGTTTCCACCATAATTTCTGCTTGGCTCCGGTGTTTTGAATTTGTTTGAATCTTCACCGCTGATCGATGAGGATTGTTGGATCTACAAAAGTACGGAAAACTTGGGCTGTGCTCTGGATATTTCTTTTTCCCACGTCGATCATTGATGGTGCAATCGCAAGGACGCTACACAAGATCCATCAATGTCTAACTTCTATGACTTAACCGTTGAAGCCCCTTGCAGCAGCTTCTATGGAATTACACTGTCACTTACAATTTAATAAATTGAACCTCATTCAATCCATTCGCACTTCCCCATGGTCTAAATTTAGAGCAGAAATGTACTATCCGTTTTTGCCATGTGAGACATTAAGTGAACACAGTTACGATTTATTGACGTACCCTTGCTTGAAACCTCATTAGTATACGAGGTTGTAGTAGTAGATTACCTAGGTACTCCGTAGTAGTATTAGCAGTAGCATACCTGGAAAGGTCCAATCAGACTTGTGCTGCCTCCAAGTCCAGCCTGGGAGCTGTGGCATTTTTTAAACTTCAAACCGAGCATATTTTAATATAGTAGATTGTATTTTAAACTACTAGTAACTACTATCTACATTAGAATAAAATAATTCTCAATACTGCCTTGATCCGTTAAACCATCAAGCAAATTGTAAATCGCGTCTTGCTTTTCGAAATGAAGTCCGAGTGGTCCAACTGATTGCATTCAAGCCTGGTACTATACTGCGGCTTCTCAACCTTGCCCACAGCTGTCTGTAAGCGCTCGCTGGCATACTGACGTGGCTAATCTTGAAAGGTCAGGAGCCCTCGTCATCTGCCCACCAACACCCAGGCGTGTATACGACCGATTATAAACCGGCCTGGAAATATCTATCATAAATAGGGGTAAACTCCGGCTTGATCGCACTTTCTCATTCATTGCCCCTTCTTTGAAATATCAAGGCTTTGCTACTACTGGTGGTAACTTGAACTTCTCTATCTAATTAGTCGCAGCGCTGTACCCAGATACCCAATTCCACAGCGAAACAATGTCTGACCCCCCCGGAAAAAGAGATACCGTATTCATTTAGAGATGAAAATCCTCTAACTGAGGCCCTTGAGGCTGCGGGTGCCTCTTTGAGACCAGAGGGGAATAAAAGACTCGCTTTGATCGGGGATGCAGTGCTGCGGCTAATTATCTGTGTGTACGGATACACTCAGGGTTGGTCGACAGGTGAGAATGTGATTGATTTGACATGAGAATCAGAAATTAACCTCCATATAGGACAAACAAGCGACTACCAAGTCAACATTGGTAGAAATACTAATCTGACCGACGTCGGGTTCCGTCGAGGCTTGGAGAGAAGGATTCGACCCAATCCTGCTCAAAATCGAGTGCAAGTTCGATTGATGGCAACCACGGTGGAGGCCCTTATCGGTGCTGTCTACATCGACTCTGAAATGGACTTCGCTGTGACTCGACAGTTTGTCATAGATTTGGGCCTACTCCCGGACCTTCCTCAATGACTATGAGTTTGTCCAATGTTAGTCCCCAGCTGGAGAATCCAGGAGAATCAAGGCTTACACGAACAGGAACTCGCCCCCCTGAGGAATGTTTGAATATGCCTCCGTCGGCAGTTACTGGTACATGCCCTGGTAAAGATGACCCCGACTTTCCTCTCGAGGGAAAGACCAGGGACGCTGTTGCGTGGGTCCTTCCGCTAGCATGAGGACGCATACAATGTCGTCCCCGGTCTTTCCCTCGAGGGAGAAGTCGGGGCCAGCTTTATGATGGCATCTAGGAGTTAGTGCGGAGGGAGGAGTGCTTATGCATTATCTGGGGGTTCGGTTTGTTGATTTCATATGTTGCAAGGTGGAGGCCGAACGTGACGGATAATCGTCTTTACTTGTCTGGCGCCAATACATTCAACAAGTGTTGCCAGGCATTCAGAGGATGATTCAACATCATCAATTTTGCGAGGGTTCTACTTGAATATGTATCGTGATTTAGAACAAGCTTAGCCGCTCATTTGAATTAACTCTCCCCAATATTCACTGGGGAAGACACTACCATTGCGTTGCGAGAGGATGTTGTAGTGCACTTTAAATGTGCAATGGGACTATAAGCCCACGGTTTTGATTGATTTCTATTTATAAAAAAGCGACTTGTCGTCGCGCGAGTAGCCAGACACCTGGCTATCGAATCGAAAATGGACCCATCAACCTCCGGAGTGTATCTCTTCCTGGAGAAATGACCCAGAGGGTGGGTCTGATGGAGAGCAGTTGGATGCTTCTTTGGCAGTCTTCTCAACATGGACAAGGCCAAGTGAGATTCGAGAGAGGCAGTTGGATGCTCATCTCCCTGACTAGCGAAACGGATGAAAGAACGGCAACCTCTACTTCCCCTGGATGCGCCATGGCAACCTGTTCAGACGCGAGCCAAATACCGAATCATCTTTGCCCTGGTATCCAGAGCAAGAAAGCCGGACGAGGATCCATGTCAGAGACAGGAGCATGGGATGGCTGCAGAATAGAACTGCGCCGATAATGACTATAGTCAGCGAGGAGTTTACCATGCGGTAATATCCTCCACTTCGGCCTCGCCGAAAGTGCTGCTCTTGGTGAGCTTATTGACACTGGCCACGGCAGCACTGTCGCCGTCACGTGCCATGATGTCTGGCAGGACTTCATTGAAGAAGGCTACGATGTGACGATTGACCTGCTCGAACTGCAAGAGGAAGGCATCGTGTCCTTCAGGGCTATCGATGCGTTCCAGGCGCGAGTTCGGGATGCCTGCTGCAACCTCTTGCTGCTCCGCAAAAGTAAAAAGACCATCCGATTCAATTCCCAAAACCAAGGTGGGCTGTTCGACGCGAGAAAGGGCATCAAGAACAGGGTCGGCTGCATCAGGGTTGGCCCGGTTGCGAGACACGTCGTGTGTGTCGAGCTTGCGGGTCATGGCAATATAGCAGTTGGCATCGAATCGCTTGACAAACTTCTCACCCTGGTAGCGGAGGTAGGACTGGGCGGAGAAGTAGGTGGGAGGGCGCGGGCGCCCGCGAGAGTCAAGCTTGTCAGGTATCGGGGCGACAAAGGTCTTGGTACCAGAGAATTGAGGGTCCATGAACTCGAGCTCAGGCTGTGGAGCCTGTGGGGCTGGCGAGTTCTGACGGCTGTCCGATCGTGATGAGTTACCACCTCGGTGTCCATCATTGTGAATGGCCCAATGCTCATTGGGGGGTGTAGGAAGCTTTTCGGTGCCATTGATGTTCAGTTGCTTCGATGGGTCTGGCACGTTGCGGCCAAACCGCGACTCGAACGAGTTGCGACTGCGGTAGGTAAGAAGCGCCGACATGCGAGCAGCTCCAAGACCGGTGGCAGGGGGATCATCAAATGTGTAGTAACCATCGTCGTACTTGGGGTCACTGTAAATGCTCTGTCTTTGAGCCTCACCCCAGCTAATGCACCAGGCAGAGTGACGCGCAGAGGTGGCAATCGGCACAATAGCTCGGACGTAGTCCTTGCCGAAGAAGGAGTATTCCAAGGTGAGCATGCCACCCATGGATCCTCCAACAACAGCAGCAATTTGCTTTACACCCAAATCGTCGAGAACCATTTTGTGAATGCTAAACCGGTATTAACAA